ACTGTGCAGTTGATTTAACACAGATGCTACCAGCACCTTAGGGAGAACCACCTGTACTTTTGAAGCTGCATCTGAGAAAGGAGGGGGCACTCGTACCAACCGCTGGTCTTGCAACCGCAATTGGCCCCAAACAGAACTATACTTCTTCAGGGCAGCATTATGCTGTATTTCAGTAGCATTATCATCTGGGTCCTGCCTAAGATGAATTAGGAGGGCCAATTCTGGATCATCTCGCTGGGCCTGTGCCAAGTCATCACCCACCCCAACATTTGTTTTCTTCTGCACCACCTGAGGACCTTCCTTAACAGCACACACTGATATAGCTGGTCTATGCATAGGGCTGATGTGGCCTTCTTGCTCCTTGGCTTTCACGTAAGCAGGTAGCCGCGACAAGGCATCTGCATTGCCATGCTGTTTTCCAGGGCGATGTACAATTTTGTAGTGAAAACTTGCCAATTGCTCCACCCATCGAGCTAGCTGCCCCTCTAAGCCCTGAAAGTTATGCAACCATCTCAATGAGTTATGGTCTGTGCGCAACACAAACTCTTTCCCTAGCAAAAAATGCTTAAAGTACTTTGTAAAAGTCACCATCGCTAACAACTCTTTCTTTGTAGTTGCATACTTGCGTTCCTCTTTGGTAAGGGCCCGACTGGCATAAGCTATTACTCGCTCCAACCCACCCTCCTCTTGCGAAAGCACAGCTCCTACCCCCACATCACTACCAATATAAAGGTTTTATTGGGGTCAGGATAAGCGAGCACAGGAGAAGTAATTAACCTAGCCTTCAACTGGTTGAAGGCTACCTGACACTCCTCACCCCACCTAAATCTTCTCCCCTTCTCAGTCAGCTGATGTAATGGACGTGCTATGTCTGCAAACCCCCTTACAAACGGTCTATAATAGGAGGCCAAACCTAAAAAGCTCCTCACTTCAGTCTGAGTCCCAGGGATGGGCCATTCTCTCACTGCTTCCACCTTTACAGGGTCGGCCATAATTCCATCCGCAGAAATTATATGCCCTAAATACTTGACACGAGAGGAAAACAAATCACACTTAGAAGGTTTTACCTTCAGATTTGCAGCCTTCAACTTAGCCAATACTTCCCCCAATCTCGATAAATGCTCCTGAAATGAACGACCGAACACTATAATGTCGTCCAAATAAACTAAACACGTAGTCCATTGCAAATCAGCTAAAACCAAATCCATTAAACGCTGAAATGTACTAGGTGAATTGCAAAGGCCAAAACTTAAGACGTTAAATTCGAATAACCCATGTCTTGTGGAAAAAGCGGTCTTGCACTTATCTTCAGCATCTACCTCAACCTGCCAGTAACCACTGGCAAGATCCAGAGTGGAAAATAGCTTTGCATTAGTCAAACTATCAAGAGCATCATCTATTCGGGGAAGGGGATAGGCATCTTTAGCTGTAACATCATTCAGCTTCCGGTAGTCTACGCAAAAGCGCAAACTACCATCCTTCTTTCTTACTGGGACAACCGGAGCCGCCCATGGACTACATGAGGGCTGTATAATCCCATTTTTTTGCATTTGCTTAATATGATCATGTACCTCTTGTTGCAAGTGCAACGGAACTCGACGTGGGGGTATCTTAATTGGCTTTGCCTCCCCTGTATTAATCTGATGCAAGGTCAGGTGGGTTCGCCCTAGATCATGATCCCCTGTGCTAAACACAGGATGGCCTGCGTTTCAACCAGAGACAGCCCCTTTTGGTCTAACCCCAGCTGCCTTAAGAGAGCCTCCACCGACCACCCTACGGGCACCTCCATCTCATTCTGTTGGCTGAAAGCCACTGCTTCAGGACCAACTACTATGTCTGTAGACAAGATCCCAATCTTCGTCCCCTGCCTAAGGGTGAGAGGATTATCCGTTACATTAATCACTCTAACAGGAATAACCCCTTGCCCCACATTACAAATGACTCGAGCCACTAAAAGGTCACAGTGTTTTGATAAAGTGGAGGAAGGCTCCACCATCCCAGCTATCGGTCCTGCAAGGAGCCCTTCTACTACCCCGGAAATAATAGCTTCACTACGCGGCTGTACTATTGAGTCTATTTGAACAGTGACAGCCTTAGGCTGACAAGCATCCACTAATAAAATTAAAGGGAACTTCCTACCCATGACTGAACAGCACTTTTCCCTCAAATCAATAATTGCCCCATACTTAAGCAGAAAATCCATTCCCAACAAAATATCAGGGGTAGATATATCCGCTACAAGAAACTCATTTATTAATGCTAGTGAACCAAACTGACAAATAGTTTGCCACCGGCCTAGAATGTACATAGTACCCCCATTAGCTGCAGAAGCTTCGCCCCCATAATCGAACAACTGACACCCCCCTTCTGTTAACTGTAACCACACATGTTTCGGGATAATTGAGGCCTGCGCCCCCGTATCCAATAACAGATGTACATCAGACCCACCTATTTTAGCATTGAGATACACTCCAGAGCTGGGTTGGTTACACAGGGCCAATCTCGTGGACTTCACTAATGAGGGGGTAGGCATTTGGCCCTCTGTGCCTGCCCCCTCTAGTTTCCCTGCAAATAGGGACAATTTCGACGTAAATGACGGTTACAACCACACTCCCAACAGGCTTCTCGATCACGAGATGACCGGTCCGTAGCCCACCCCATCTGTCCCCGAGTCTCAAAGGAACCATTTCGCCTCCCAGATGGTGGCATCTCAACACAAGCCTGTAGTGACTGAACTGTCTGCTGCAAAGTTTTTACTTCCTGCCTCAACCCTTCAACCACTCCCAAAAGTGTCTCCATTTGCTTATTATCTGTAATACCTTCTGACACCACCCGCACTTTAGTATCTGCAACAGGGCAATTTCGCTCCAAACTTCGGATTAATTCTAATTCAGAAGCCAAATTGACAGCCTCTTCCAAGGTGGATGGTTTTGCACTGCGAAGTTGGACACGCAAATCCCCGCTCCCCACGTGTTCTATAAAATGGTCACGGGCAAATAGATCACGTGTATTATTATCAGCAGCGGGATAAGCTTTAGTAATCAACCGGCGCAAAGCATTGCCAAATTCCCTCGCAGTCTCACTATGCAATCGCCGACGGGCTAAAAAACTGGCCCGGTTCCAATCATCACTATCACACGGCTCCAAACACCTCCCTAACGATGCTTTTAATACTATATAACTGCTTCGAGAGTCAGTTGATAATCCACAAAAAATGTCTCGAGCCCTTCCAGATAACAATAAGGAGAGGAACTTCAACTTCAAGCTATCGTCCCAGCCATTCACCTCAGCGGCCATTTCAAATTGTCCTATCCAATCTGACCAATCACGATTAACTCCTGTAAAAGTTTCAGGCATAAACACTGGTCGTGTTGTCGCCATCCTAGACACTGAACCTTGCCCTGTTAGCACCCTATCAAAAGAAGCCGATGGTGTGTTATCCCCCTCTGGGTCCAACATAATGACCCCTAAAATCTCACCGCTGCCACCAGTGTAATAATTTATTAATTTAATAATTTGCCAAGACAATATCCCAAAACGCCACCCACATTACAATAAGTTATACAAGACAAGAAATAAAGTAAACCATTCAGACACAGCAGGATACAACGTTAAAATAGCCAAAATATAAAGTTATGAAACTTCACTTTGCCCTCAGCCAAAACGATTTGCCAGGGAACAAATGATACGATTAATAAGACCAAAGATCTCCCGTTAGATATACACAAGACGAATTATACCTCGTTTAACCACTACTAGAGACATCAGAGCCAGCGGCACACGTCAGACGCACTAGCCGAGGAAAGGCTGTTTCAGGCGGGGTGCAGCACCCCGCCTGAAACAGCCTTTCCTCGGCTAGTGCGTCTGACGTGTGCCGCTGGCTCTGATGTCTCTAGTAGTGGTTAAACGAGGTATAATTCGTCTTGTGTATATCTAACGGGAGATCTTTGGTCTTATTAATCGTATCATTTGTTCCCTGGCAAATCGTTTTGGCTGAGGGCAAAGGGTCTCAATAAGCTGAGACCCGGTGAAAGACTGGTCCTCACAACTCCGAACACGTCAGATCAAACTTTTAAATAGGCGCTATCTTTATAAATAAACCACAGATTTGAGCTTTAAACAACTACATTGTCGACTGAAAAACTATTAAAACTACATTTCGTGACACAATAACAGTAGTATTTTTAAATTTCGCGGCTTCTCTCGTCTGTCTATGCGCGAAAGCACCAGTGAATGAAGGATTGCCGTAAAGCAGGTTTCTGGTCGTACGATGTGTATGACGTCATTGACATTTTAAAAGACTTTTTAAAGCAAATAAGTGACTCTAAAAAATCTAACACCCAGTAATGTGTAATTTTGTTGCATCTTCTTTCGAATACAACATTCAAATTACTAGACAAAAAATTATATCCTGAGAAAAGTGGATTTTTAGGGGTATTGCTCCATAGACCTCCATTCATTCTGCACTCCGCCTGTGAGCGCCCTCATATGGATCTAGAGTGGAACTGCAACCAGTTCAGACCCCGGAAGTTTATTATTAGACATTCTCTGATTAAACTTTAATGTCAAGTAGGGGGCCACAAAATATCACCCCGCGGGCCTCAAATGGCCCTCGGGCCGCGAGTTTGAGACCACTGGTCTATGGCCTAGAGACTGTAGTGTACACTGTGACTCATGAGTTTTAAAAAGCTTACCTTAAATATGTCAAATGAATAAATAGTGCTCATAAACAGCTGTTGAGATTCTCACTTGAAATGCGTGGAGGGTTGGACCAGAACCGAGGGTTTTTACCCAAAACCCTGCTCATCACAGTTGAATTGCTGTTGCATTCAGTGAACTAAATCAATGCATTATATAATTAAATGAATACAATCTGTAAATGCGTCATGCTGTAGACTAGTTCTAAATGAATGTTTGACGGAAAGCATTGCGTTTAACATCTCTAAATCTGCCGATCATTTCCCAGTGGTAAGACTTGCATCTGTTCTTCTTGTCTGCAGCTGTTTGATTTTGACATGGAGGTCCGGCCCGTGCTGCAGGTGTTGGTGGGGAAGACGATAGAGCAGGCATTGCTGGAAGTGCTGGAGGAGGAGGAGCTGGCTAACCTGAGGGCCCAGCAGCAGACATTCAAGGAGATCCGTGACGCTGAGCTGGTGGAGGTGCAGAGGCTAGAGGAGAGGGAACGGCGCCTCCGTGTGGAGAAGGTGGGAATCACTACAAACCATACACAGCATGATGCTCAGCCAAAAAACACCAAGGTTGTGGTTTTAATTAAGTCAGAGGTAAAGACTATGGCCACAGAGATACGGGCCACAAAACAATATTGTTGTCTGGAAATATCGGCACAATTTAGTTGCCGGTTGTTAAAAGTTCAGTAGATAGGTGCATTGTGGCCTGAACTTGACTTTGTTCCAGCAAAATGCATTAGGGGGTGGCTGACAAATTACAAATAAAGAAAAGAAAAAATATAGAGATAACTATAACAATAACTGTAGCATCCACACCAAGTTGTCTGTCACTTTAAAGCAGGATGGATTCTCATTGGCTGTCAAAAATCAGTCTGAAAGTAATTCCAATGACAACTTTTCTATGTGCCGTTATCGTTATATTTGTGGTGTGGACTCTGCTCTGTTATATTTAGAATGATTGTTGTTGTTATTATGGTTATTGTCCTTGGTGTGAATGGTGTAACACATATGACACTAAAATAATGCAATAAACATTAACTTAACAGCATAAAATGTCACACAAAACACCCTACATTTACAGACAACAAAAATTAGAAGAAACCAGTTCTTTTATTTATAATATATCGCAATATCTGATGTGTCACACTAGGACCTCTGGGAATGTCCTTTTACTGTTTTCAACTGTAAATGATATGGTAATTTGTTGGTAATTTATAGTTTTTACTTGCAAAAAAACAAATTTGACAGTATTTTACAGTAAAATACATCCAACTGCATCAACCATAGCAGTTTTTTCTTCCAGATTTTTACCAATTTACAGGTTTTTACTGTAACATATATACATTATATATAAATATAAATTATATTTATATATATAATATATCTTTTTTTAACATAATTTATTCACATATTATATTTTTATGAATGTACAAGTGATAGTATTTTTTTTTCAGTTCACTTATTTAGTCCTTTGGTGTGAAATATATTTTTAAAGTAAAAACATTTCATTTCATCTCTAAATTATTATCTTAAAACAGTGTGCATAATAATTATAAAAGAAAAATCTTGTTTACGAAGCTTTGTAATAGAGAATAAACACAATAAAATTATAATATATATATATATATAATATATATATATATATATATATATATATATATATATATATATATATATATATATATATATATATATATATATAAGCAGTTTACTGCACCAAAACTAAATTCTAGTAAAATGCATTTCTCTTGACGTTATGACAGTAATCCAAGAGGGTTAAGTAATGCTTCTTATGTATTTTCAATGTATTAATCCAATGCAGGAGAACCGGATAAAGCAGCAGAAGGCAGTGCTGGAAAAAGAGAAGGAGACAGCAGATAAAATTGCTGCCAGAGCATTTGCTCAACAGTATTTGTCTGACTTGTTGCCCTCAGTCTATTCCAATCTGAGGGATTGTGGGTACTTCTATGACCCTGTGCAGAGAGGCAAGTGCATGAAAAACAGAGAAACTGAATTCAACTCTGTATTAGTTCATCTCTAGATCTTTATTGAATAATACATGAATTGCCATTATACTGTCTATGAAAGTTCATTATCTCTGCTCCAGATATCGAGACCGAATTCCTCCCTTGGCTGATGGAAGAAGTCAGCAATACTTTAGAACAGAGATATGTAGCAAGAACAGTGCTTGACAGTGAGTGATTTTTGTATTTTATTTTTTTAATTTTTTACATAACACTGACTTTGGGATTAATCTATCAAGTCTGTTGTTGTCTTGTGGAGATCCATTAGGCAGTGATAACAGTATTTTGGGCATAATTTGGATTTCTTGTTCTTCCACAGTGCTCATTCAAGATGTCACTAACCAAAGATCTGAGGCCTTTCAGATGAAAGAATGAATGATTTCCATTAGAGGTAAACAGGATGAAACATTTAATCACTCTAACACATTTGTCAAATTAAAATCTGTTTATGTAATGTCAGTTTAATTAAATAGTTGAGGCGAAGAATTAACCTTATAGTCTATTCTCATTTCAGGTCATACCAGGAAACCAGAAAGATGCTGGAAAATAGTAAAGGGTTCACACATTCTTTATAAAAATCTAATTAATATTCATGTCATTATAAATATATTATTTGAATCAAATTGCGAAAAAGATGCAAATCTGTCACTATACTGTTCAAGAACTGCGCTTCAAGAACAACACTGTAGGAGGCGCTGCGGAGTAAAAATACTGCTCATCACTCAAACTATTATTGCTGTAATGCGAGTGTATTAAATTGGAAACTTGTAATCGACTCTCGTTTATATTTAGAGTTTGTAAAAGCAGCATTATTTGAAGAATATATTAATGGTTCGGTTTCATGTCCTCCCCAAATGTGATATATGTTGTACCGAGGAGCTGTTTTCAAAACGTTGCCCATGATACTGTACTAGGATGATGTCAGTCCTCGTAAACTTCATAAAAAAATAAAAAAATTCCAGAGGAATGACTATTTCATTTTTCCGTCAACCTGTCTCGCCTGGTCCTTTGCCTAAACACCGTGACGCGAACTGTTGGACGGTTCCGCTCCAGCTTTCATTCACTTCGCCTATATACCGCTCTATTTTAATCCTGCTTCTCCATTGGTCAACTCCCACCTACGGCCACGCCCACTAGGTGCTCCGGAGTTTCACTTCCGTCGGTGCAGCTCTGGCAACACAAACAGAAACAGGCGTGTTGATGTAAATACATCGTTAAGGAAAGACCTCTGAGCCACATCACAGTGTACTTACTTATTCAGACTTAAACCGACGTGAATGTTTGAATGACCTAATTACTATTGTACATCATTCAAACATACGAGGTTTCATTACAAAGCAAACACGAAATAAAAGCTGGATGTACGGAGACGTTTAATGGGCAAAAGCGCCCATAATCTATTCTAGACTAAACAGTTTTGTATAGAACTCCCTCTCTCTTTCTCTCTCTCTCTCTCTGTCTCTATCTCTCTCAGATAAGCGATTACCCTTAATAATTCAACAGTTTGCAGTCGTCATGTGAATGAAAGTGCTAAGCTTTTCCTCATGTTACGCATACATTTTTTTATCTTGTGAAATTTCCAAGCACAGGTGCAGCAATGACTAAAACATTGCCTCAAACTTTTCACATTTAGATGTTCCTGCAGTAGTTATGTAATGACTGTAATGATGGCTCTCTCTAGTGAATCACTGATCAAATTACCTGTTTATCATTTCTTGAGGTTAAGGGGAACACACACGTTTATTTAGGTAGCCTCTTTAAATGATGATGTACTACACAACTTTATTTTGTCAGATTTTGTTATCTTTAATTTAGTCTCCAAAGTATAAGCATACACTCGCAATATCTCTGTCAGACAAGCAAAAACTTTGTTATATTTTATATTTATGAATAGGTGATGGATGGATCAATTAATTTAAAGGTGCAAATGTTTGAGTGATACAAGGGGGATACAGCATGACAGTCGAGTCATGTAAATATTTTTTGATTGTTTCAGAAATTTGAGTATGAGAGTATAACCCACATTTTTTTAAATTTGTGCTCAACATGCTCAGGTTGGGCAAAGTGAAATGTGTGTGTGGCATGGTAAACCCATAGACTAAAAACAAACACAACCCTACATTATGGGGACAAAATGTCCCCACAAAGATGGCAATATCCAAAATCCTTGTCCTTGTAGGGACATTGTTTGGTCCCGTTGGAGAAGTGGTGTTTTTTTGAAAATGTAAATGCAGAAAGTTTTCTGTGATGGGTACTGTAGGTTTAGGGATATGGTTAGTGTAAGGGCATAGAATAAACAGTTTGTACAGTACCGTATAAAAATCATCATGTCTATGGAAAGTCCCCATAAAACACAAACGTGTGTGTGAATATGTGTTGGTTCATGGCTTAGTCTTCTATAGCCATATAGCAATATGTTGTATAGACTAAACATTGTTGATGACTGATGACTGATGTTGATGACTGATGACACAATATCTTCACAATATATAAAAACTTGATTTCCAGAAAAGCACGCCATAGTAGGCGATCCATCTATTGATGTCTGTAATATCTCCCACAAATTGCTCCGTTCCTGTATTTTATGTGACACACTTTCATTATACTGACAGATAAATATCCAAACACCCTTTTCAAGTTCCAACATGAAGAAAATTGTTGAAGCATTCTGGGTTTTCGGGTTTATTATGTATGTGTTTGAAAATGGCCTTCATAGACAGTAAAGAAAACATCACAACCAATCAAAAGATGTTTACAGTAGTAGGCCTATGTAGCCTACATTTACCTGTACACTACTAAGATGAGGAATTTACACTGCCGGATAAAGGGAAATCATATTCATTGACACAAATGTTAGAGATTTGTAAATAATAATAATAAAATAAAAACATCCGAGTCTTTTATGACCTAAAAAAAAAAAAAAAAAAAACACGAACTTGAACAGTCCCACATTGTTTTACCACTTTATAATGCTAGCTAGCTAACTATTTCTGAATGGTGCACTTCCGTTTGCAGGGCACCAGTTCCTAGTACTATTACTGCACATTATTCTGTATTTGAAATCATTTTTCAAGTAAACTTCAGTCATTCAGCTATCTTCTACTATGATGTGAAAGGCTTTGAAGCCACACTTGAGCAGGGCGCTACTCCTCCGTTGGCGTTGTGGGCGTCGCGCGCGTGTCTCAAACAGGAACTGGAGTCGCTGACTGTCATTCAGCCGCGCGCACAAAGGTGAGCGCACCGTCAGCCATATTACCAGCGCCGGACTCTGTGCTCATTTCCTCGGAGGGAGGGGAATTATCGGCCGAAGCTGGACTGAATTTACTCACCGGCTCTGGTAAGATTTGCTCCTATCGATTATCGCATGGGTCAAAGACCACAACACAGTTATTGCGTCTATCATTCATTCCCTGCTCTTTGTATGACGCCGCCCAGTTCAAACAGAAATCTCTACCAACAACAGGTGCTGCTCTGATAATGGGACAGTCTGTATCTTACCATAAAGATGGGGTGTTTTATAAGTCATGAAAAGGGGGGACAAAGCGTTCCTATTTTAAAGATGAACAGCGTTTAGTTACCATGAGGATACTTAAGCTAGATGCACATTTTTGTTTAGATAGCCCAGTGAGTGATACGTTTGGGAAACGTGAAACGCGCGGTTTTTACTTCAGTTAAGTAAAATATCGAAATCAGCTTATTTTCTTTACCCTCGATTCCGTTAACGCTTATCAAACATGCCGGTGTAATCGGAACACCGTAACGTTACTTAACTGTGTTTCCTGCACTATTCAACAACGTCAGTCTTCGGTGAAACCATCGGTGTAATCTGAATCCCGAACGAATGACTATATGAGCCAGTTCCTTTCAGTGAATCCAAAACAGACCTCCAGCCCGAGAAATGCAGTCACCAAATGAATGACTCTGATGAGGTTGCTATTTTTAGTGATTCAATAAATAACTTACAGTGCTTGCAGTGCATTGCTGCCCGAAAACAATATTCTCATTAACCGGATCTTTATTAGTGCATGATTCATGAAAAAAAAAAAAAACATGAATCAGTCAGAGGTGTTACTGAATTAATCGGACTCCCTTAGTGATAGCCTATTGCTTTCGTCATGTCCGACTTGTGAACCGAAACTGTTAGGCTAGTGTGCTATGTTGTAGCCTACAGTGCAAACAGACACCGAATGGTTGTTAAAGGGATAGTTCACCCAAAAATGAAAATTGCCATCATTTACTCACCCTCATGTTGTTCCAAACCTGTATGAGTTTCTTTCTTCTATTGAAGTTATTTTGAAGAATGTTGCTAACCACAGACAGACAGTTGATGGACCCCGTTGACTTCCATAGTGTTTTCTTTCACTGGGGTCCATCAACTGTCTGGTTACCAACATTCTTGAAATTGTCTTCTTTTGTATTCAACAGAAGAAAGAAATTCATACAGGTTTGGATGGAACAACTTGAGGGCGAGTAAACGATGACAGAAATGTCATTTTTGGGTGAGCTGTCCCTTTAAGAATCCTCTCCCACACTAGTATAAAGAACATGTTGTGCAATTAAAATGTTCCATGAATGTTAAATGTTCTTCATGGAACAATAAATTCCCCAAAAATAACCTTTTTATTTATTTTAAAGTGTACATTATGTATAATGAGAAGTAATTTAAATGTGTAAGCATACTTGGGGGGAAAAAACTGTATACAATTTATTTGATTTGCTATAGCCTATAATCTTTTTTGTTGTTGAAAATAAAATATAATATTAGAGAGACAGCTGAGGGCAGCAAATTCTCTCTCTCTCTCTCTCTCTCTCTCTCTCTCTCTCTCTCTCTCTCTCTCTCTCTCTCTCTCTCTCTCTCTCTCTCTCTCTCTCTCTCTCTCTCTCTCTCTCTCTCTCTCTCTCGCTATATGTATGTATATATATATATATATATATATATATATATATATATATATAAATAAATAAATTATATAGCATTTATATATATAAATAAATGTGTATATATATTATATATAAATAAATTATATTATATAGCATTTATATATATAAATAAATGTGTATATATATATATATATATATATATATATTATATATATAATAAATTATATTATGTAGCATTTATATATATATATATATAAATAAATTATATATATACACACACACACACACACACACACATTTATTTATATATATAAATAAATGTGTGTGTATATACACTACCGTTCAAAAGTTTGGGGTCGGTACGATTTTAAATACTTTTAAAAGAATTCTCTTCTGCTAACCATGGCTGCGCTTATTTGATTAAAAATACAACAAAAATCAGTTATAGTCACTGATCTATATAATGACATTATATATAGATCAGTGGTTATAGTATTAAATATTATTCCAGTGTAAATCAGCTGTTTTCTGTGTGAATATATAGTAAAGTGTAATTTATTCCTGTGATCAAAGCTGAATTTTCAGCATCACCAGTGTCAGTGTCTTCAGTGTCAAATTATCCTTCACAAATCAGTATAATATGAGGATTTGATGCTCAAGAAACATTTATTATTATTATCAATCAATGTTGAAACAGTTGTTGGTCTGTCAGTTTTACAGTTTTTTTTTAAAGTTTTTTTTAGGATTCTTTGATGAATAGGAAGTTCAAAAGAACAGCATTTGTTTGAAATAGAATCTTTTGTAACATTATAAATGTCTTTACTGTCCTTGATAATTAAAAGTATTGATTTCTTTCCTCCAAAAAATAAAATTCTCACTGACCCCAAACTTTTGAACGGTAGTGTATATATATATATATATATATATATATATATATATATATATATATATATATATATATATATATATATATATATATATATAAATTCTATTATATAGAATTCATATATATAAATAAATGTGTGTGTATATATATATAAATATATAAATGCTATATAATATAATTTATTTATATATATATATGTATATATGTATATATATATATATATATATTTATATATTATTAAGCTTGCTTGACTCTGGTACCGCTACATTTTATAACCGAATATTTGGCTGCATTCCCTGTCAAGGGTTGATCTTTGGGAAACAGAGACTGGAGCAAATATTTGCAGAATGGGGTGGGGACTTTAAGGCAGGCGGTGTTACCTCTTTTGGGTGAGGCTGTCACAATCTTGAGTTCCAGTTTTTTAATCGTGATTCATTTGGCTGTATGGAGTGCGTCAGGGTTTATTCTCACCCATGTTTAAATGACAGACAGACCGTTTGTGAGTCATTCTCACTAGCGCTGCTCAAACGCGTTCCTCTTCTTTCTGCTTCAGAGGGAGGCTCCGTGGAAACTCACATTATTCTGAATCTTTGACGGGATCTACAACAGGACTCAAAATGCCTAAACCTGTAAGTATTCTTCAAGTCTTATTCTTATTGGTAAAATGTTTGTTTGTATAGAAAGTGTTTCAACTTCTGTTCAGTGTTTTGAAATGTTCTGGACTATTTCTTTTAGGATAGAAAACATGCTTGTGTCTTTTGACTTCAACTTAACATGGAATGAAAGTTTAGTTCTTAAACGTTATACGTTCAAACCGTTGTAGTTTCTAAATGTTGGGAATTTATCTATAAATCTTTAACTTTATGCAAATTCTGGCAGTGCTTCTCACTGACAGTTACTTCTCAGAGGCATTTGTTTCAAGGCATAGTTTATAAGGCTTTTGGATAATTTATTCCTGTTTTTGTCTTGTTTATCTTTACAAAATTGTAATCCTGAGAATGTGTGACTTATGTAAGCCTAGGTAAAATGTTTGAAACAAACGTCATATTGAATTTGCTTATGAACACTGAAAACGGCAAGTGCAGCTTGAAGCATGTCAGTTTGTTTAAGATAGTAACAGCGTTGTCAGGAAGCGTACAGAGGAAATGACATCATCATGCTGCTTCTCATTCATTCCTGGCCCTCAGCACTGCCTACCGAAACACTGAATACAAAAACGCTTGTTCTTGGTGCCATGGTCAGTTTGGATTGGATCCAAGTGGAGGATTTCGTCATTTTTCAAGATTCAGTCATTTAGATGCTTTTAAATCAAGATTGGCTATCAGTAATGATTATCTGATAATGATTACACATTTGATTCGATTTTTCTCTGAAAGAGAGTGTAAGGGTTTCAGTTTTCTATATTATGTCTTAATATTTTCCCTCCTCTTTCAGGTGTGTCTATAATAAGCACTTTCAGCAGCTGAGGGTGTTTCCTCTCAAATCTTTGTTTTCATTTGTTCTATTGAATAATTGATAACCAGACAATGCCTGTCACGCCCTTTGGTGATGTAGTACAAAAGCACATTGTGCTGTAATCAATGTGCTCGTGTATTCTCTGGCTTTAGCTCATACCAGCTCAACGAAAGACTAACAGAACCATCCAAATCGGGACTTCAGGCTAAAGCCAGTTCAAAGGAAAAATAAGTACATGGTCCCTTTACTTTTTGTCCCCTTTTATAGTACATGAAGGCGACATTTCAAATTAGGCTCACTGGAATTTCTTTTAACTCAAATTGGGCCCTATCATACACCCAGCGCGATGCGGCGCAAGGCTTTTTTGCTAGTTTCAGCCTGACGCAGTTATCCTTTTTTGACATCCTGCGCCACGTTGTTTAAATAGCAAATGCAGTTGCACCCATTTGTGCGCTCTGGTCTGAAAGCGAGGTGTGTTCTGGTGCTTTGTTGGCGCGTTGCTATTTTTTGAGGCAACTGAAATAGACTGCGCTATTGACTAATAAAAACCTGGTCTAAAGTCAGTGGCACATTTTTTTTGTGGTTATTTAAAGGGCACATTAGTAATATGAGCCTATATGCGGGTGCACAACGCATGTACACTACTTATTACACACACAGAGACGCGCAGCATCACACAAACATGCCAAATATTAAAAATAAAAGGATTACAATGTAAAAGATTATTATTGTGTACATAAAGATATGGTGGAATCTGGCTTGTCCCGTCGATGGTCTGCTTGCTCGCTTTAACCTCGCGCGCTTAAGCTGATCCGTTTCCTTGCTAGAGAAGCGTTCAGTCTTTCCGCTTGCAAATTCCGCCGTGTATATAGCGAATCCGCCATGGCGTGAGCGCAACTGCTTTTTAAAGGGAATGGGAGATGAGACAATGATTGGTTTATTGCACGTTACGCCCAAAACACACCCATTACTCATTAAGAGAATAGGGACAACCCTTTAGACCATGCGCCGGGTGCGCTGACCATTTTTCCTGTCGTTAAACTAGCAAAAGTGTATTCGGACACGCCCTGAGTGCATTTTAGACCATGAGCTTAGATCGTTATAATAGGGCCCATTGGGATTACAGGGGCCTTTTATCTCTTCATAAAGACTTATTTTTGTGCAGTTCTTATGAACTTTTACCATAGTTCATTTTGTAAACTGATACATTTTTATGTTTACATATTTACGGCTTGCATAGTAAACTTGCTCGATCGCTCCCCTAGTACAGCATTGCTTTTGTGATGCTAAGCACTCAGGAATGAGTCCTGTGAAACACCAATCTTGATAAGCTGAAGATTTGTACATGGAAGCTAAAATGACATGGTTTCTTCTGCAAATGCATTTTCACATTTGTTTTTAACACTAGGGCTGCTCGGTTATGGCTAAAACTATAATCACGATCATTTTGGTCCATATTTAAATCATGATGATTTAACACTAGTGGGCAGTGAATTTCACGATATGAGTAATTTTAAATATCAGTGAAATTTCATCAAACTAATACTAGGTTAACTAATGTAAGAAAAAGGTCCTCAAAATAATTATATAAGACAAGTAAACAGTCACCAGTACAATAAGAACAAATAAACTAATTATAAACAAAACAGAAATAAAGAAATAAAACAGAATGAAAATACAAAATAAATAAACAATTTTAAGTTTTTCAGGAAGATGTACTAACAGATATTAGTATAGGGTATTCAGATACATAATAGCCTAAAAAAAAAAAATAATAATAATCAAATGTAAAATAACACTGCATAGTCTTACTCTACACATTTAATCTAGATTGATCCTTATTAAAGCTACTTAAGTAATTCAGCCAAAAATGATTTTATAACATTTGTTGTTTGATTATCATTAATGACAGCAGCAGTTTTTTTAGGCTGCTGTCACTTTAAGAGCTAATGCACCGATCCAATATACTGTTACCCACGCGTTGACTGTGTACGTTTACTTAAAGGTGAACTAAGTAACTTTTTTACCTTAAGCGAACAGCTTTGGAGTCATTGTAATGTTTATATTACTGATTTCGTGATGAATGGTGGTCGTCTCGCACCCCCCTGGTGCCTGTGAGCCGCAAAACCACCCTTGCAACTTTGGGCCGGCGGGCCGCCGGCCTCAGTGTTAGGAAGTATCGTGTGATATCAGGTCTTGCGAGGTAACGAATTGCTTTACGTCAAAAAACAGATCTGATAAAATGAGCATCAAAGAGAAATAACCCGGCGCCGTATACATGTGGTGTTCGAGGCGCACATACAATACAGACTGCCGACAGTTAAACAGGGCGCGCGCAGCTCTTAAAGGGGCCATACCTTATTTCCACTCGTTACAGCGTCCATCCTACTGAACAGGTACCGGTGTACAGGGGGAGGGGATCCGGCCGTGAGTGCGAGCCATCTCTGCGTGAGTGCTATTCACGACAGTACAAGTACTCCACAGCGACTCTAGGGGTCGCTGTTTGACAAAAACGGAATTCCTACTTATTGCTGCTTTAAGATATATCCCACTGTTTACACTCCAAAAGGGCATTTTTACATTTTTGGCATTTGTGTGTACGTGTTTTAGGCGCGTATCTGAAAGCCCGTTTGCTTATCCTTGTTCGGCTCCGACTCGGCTGCTCACACAGAAAGCCACCTGGGGAACTGTGTCTCTTTTGCGGCTTAATGCGCTTTTAATAACACCGCTTAATATTAAACACGTCCCGCAGTTTAGCAACAGTAGGCTGCATTTTACAATACTCACTTATTTGGCTGATTTGAATGTTATTTGGGCTTTTAGAGAGGAACAAAAGCACGCCGCTGTGAAGGAAAGGACGCTGTCCTGGAGGTGCACTGGCTGAATGTGGCAGCGGCACAATAATCGGTTTACCTCAATTATCTTGTTTTCATAATCTTTGGAAGCCGAAATCGAAAATCAATTGCGATTAATCGCACAACCCTAGTTAACATTGTTGGTTGGGTTTTGGTTTAGTGAAGGTGGTTAAGTAAAGTTAGCCACAGTAGAGCATTTAGCACCTAAATCAAACATTTCAATTCCTAACTTCCATGATGCATACGATACCAAAACCCGTCTCCTGTGTAATTCAGGACAGTGTTAAAGGGATAGTTCACCCAAAATCGAAAATTCTGTAATCATTTACTCACCCTTATGTTGTTCCAAACCAATCAGCAATGCTATTTGAAACACAATTTTGGGTTCTCCAGTTAACCTTTCAGTGAACAGTTCTTAAAAGTTAAGAGCATTTTAATAATCCAAAGAACATTTTTCAACTCTTGTGCAATGGAAAGGCTCCATGGATGTTTCTTCGTGGAACCAGATGCCAATAAAAAACCCTTTATTTTAAGAGTCTAGCATTATTTGTAGATTAACAGTACAAGCGTATGTGTGTGGTTATATTTTTCATAAGCAAACTTTTTATTTTTATGTTTTAGTCAGACATTTTCCGAGTTTTAAGCGCCTTGTAATGCAGATAATTTGGTCTGATGACGTCTGACGCTAGTTGGAACCTGAGATTGGCGACTGTACTTGATTTCGCCAGTCGGGCAGCTGAAACCTTTCTGAGAGCAATGCAGAGAAATGGTGAGACTCTATTAAAATGCAGCCTGATGCAGGAGGTGGACCACTGAGAGGACGTTTCTGAAAGAGACCCTTTGTTTGGCTGAGTAAATGGATACCCCTCCATCTCCCCCTCTTTGGCGAGTTGGATGCCAGGGCTTTAAGCTGAACTCTTCACCACTAGATTTCAGATGTACACAGCAGGCCTATGATTCCTTTTCTTTAAAACGACGGTGGATGGTCTAGATCAAGCTATGTATTTGTGTTGTTCATTATGTGTAATTGTATATTTTAATTAATTAACACCAACACTGAATGTCCGTGTGACTTGTGTATGTGAAGCCGCTATCGCAGTGCTGTTTTCAGGAAAGGTCCCAGCAGTCGTCTTAAGCTTGGTACAGGAACTTCTTTCCGTGTTATAATGCTCGTGGTGTTGATTGTGCTCTACAACTGATCACAGTCACTTTATATACTTCTATGTTAAGTAAAAAAAAAAAAAATTATTAATAGTTATCATGCTTTTATCCAAAAATAATACAAAAGTGGTGGTGCTTCCAGTACCATGGATTTAGCTCTTCTGGTGACGGTTGGGAGTTTGTTCTTCCACTGAAGTTCAGTGAGGGTCTGTAGTTTTGGAAAGTGACTGTGATGGCATCATCATGCATCATCTGGTTTTGTTAGCTGAACAATAATGTATATGCTATGAAATGGCTATTTTTCTCTTCTTCATCAAAACGGTAATTTCAACCAAACAGTCATTGTTTCAAGGAAAATCTAAATATTTATTTAACAGTCATAAGAACTAAAACAAAATAAAAGTGGTGAAAATAATGCTTTTCAAGGTATGCTTTCTCTTTTTTTTTTTTTTTTTTTTTTGCTAAAAGATCAAAAGGAAATATGATTCTTAAATATTGAATAATTTTCATTTAAATGCACAAATAAACATGTATATGCAGGCAAATATAACATGATATGACATGATATAATATGTTAATTAATAATACAATTATTAAATGTAGTGTATGAAATATGTCACATGTGGACCAAACAATATCCTGACCTAATAGCAGTGATTATGTTTCAAATTAACGTTTTAAAGGAATAGCACACAGAGTTCCGCATGACTTTATTTATTTATTTTAATTTATTTTATTTTATATTCCATTGAAGAAAGTAAGTACTGGTCCTTTTTTCCATAGAATTACAATAAATACTATACTTTAAAAATTATATAAAAGCACCAACAAATGATAAAAGCAGTCTGTATGACTTATGTTCTATATTCTTACTCTATTCCTTATTCCTGAATCCATCACTGTCTACAATAATTATAAATGCTTTGAAAAATAATGACATGTTTTTTTGTTTTTTTTTATTGACCATTTTGTGTTATGGTAGGAAGTCATACAACATTTGAAACAACATGAGATGATGACATTTCAGAATATACTTTTCCTTTTTTTCTTTTTCACCAGTGTAAAGAGTGGAATCTGTATTGTCTGGTCTTTGTTTTGGTCTGAACTCTTGTTTGAGTTTCTGTATAGTTATGACTTATCATAGTGGATCATTAGTTTTAAAGCAGTTACATAATTTAGGAGGGTTTTTTTTCCCCTCAGTCACCATTTATTTTTCTCAGTTCTCATGGTAATCTTATGAAAATAAATCACTGAATCAAATGTGGGTTTTACGATCTGAGATGTGCTGAGATGGGTCATGTTGACAATGGTAATTCTTGTCTGTTGGAAACTTCTCTTAGACAGCCGTTTTCTTTCCTGAGTGAGAACTACATTTAATACTTTCCTCTAGACGTGATTTTTTTTTTTATTGGCTCTCACAAATGGTTCATTGTTCCTTGATTCTGTGAGTCTGTTGTCTTCATTGTGAGGAAACGCCTCTGTTTCATGTTTCTTGAGAAATGGCTCAAAAATGACTCTTTGAGGTCGCATAAAATGGTGCAAATTTGCAGCTTCGGCCTTCTGTTTGTTGAGTTTTTCCTGTCAAACATTAACTGTAGAATAGATTGGCATTTCCCCTTTTCAAATAGTGGCTGAGACACATTGTTCTGCACAGCCACTTCTGCAGTTTTCCCAGTATCTTTCAAGCCACGTCTGTTTGGAGAATCCCAGTCGGGGTCATCTGCTGTCTACACAGTCAGACTTCAATATAGATCATTTCTGTCTTTATCAATGGGCCAATTATTGTGGTTTATTTTTTTTGTCCACATGGTCGTGATGGTCTCATCATCATCAGATGGAAAATTTGAAGTTGTAACCATCTTGTATTAGATGACCATTTTCTTCCACTGTTTCTGTATTTGAAAACACAGATGTCAACAGTAGTTGCTAATGAAATTTTTCTTTTTTTTCTCTCTCTCTCTCTCTTTAGGTAAATGTTCGCGTCACTTCGATGGACGCGGAGCTGGAGTTCGCCGTCCAGCCCAGCACAACTGGCAAGCAGCTCTTTGACCAGGTCTGCAACTAAACCGTTACTCAAGACATAACTGCATTAAATACTGAAAGAACTTCAGTGGTTACAAATAGCTGTCGCAATGTCAGCTCAAACTTGCTTTCTGCCATTTTCCTTCAATTATATTATTATAACATGAAAAAAGACAATTAGGGATTCACTGAAATATAATATAATTTGAGTTTAGTGAACTCATTTTAATGTTCAAGAAACCAGAGATGATTTGAGCTTGGTGACGTGTGTTATCCTGCTGGAAGTAGCGATCGGATGATGGGTTCACTGTGGTCATAAAGGGATGGACATGGTCAGCAACAATACTCGGGTAGACTGTGGTGTTTAAATGATGATCAACTGGTACTAAGAGGCTCAAAGTGTGGAAAGAAAATCTCCTCCACACCATTACAGCCCCAGCAGCCTGAACTGATGATACAAGGCAGGATGGATCTATGGTTTCAAGTAAAGTCAACTTTATTTATACAGTATAGCGCTTTTTACCGCACAGATTGTTTCAAAGCAGCTTTACAGTGATAACAGGAAGTTAATGCAACAAAGATTGTTTTGACTGTACAGCAGCTCTAGAAGAAAGTCATTCATTTCCATTGTAAAAATCATTAGTTATGAATTAAGATGCCGTTTACACGACACCGTTCACCTTTCATGTTGTTTACGCCAAACTCTGACCCTACCATCTGAATTTTTGCTTCAGTTTCTTGTTCTTATCTTACACTTGTCTATCTAAACTAGTGTGCATGTGAAATCATCCAGATTTCAACCTAGGCTATTTTATGTAAACATTGGATGGTGATGATATTTCTGCTAAATCCTTTTCTGACAACAAAGATTATACCTTATACTGGGCTGAGAAACATTTTTGCTGGAAGTACCTCACTAAACATCATGTGCCAAATTCTCTGTTGTCTGTTTAGATTTATAATCTGAATTAGTACAATTTACTTTTGATTGCATTAATGTAATAAATTGTCTGAATTATTCATTTTATAACATCAACAGATGGTAAAGTTCTGTTTTTCAGCAAATATTTGGCTGCAACTGATGTGTAATATATGAAAAGGAGACTATTTGATTTGATTCTTACAAGTTCAGGTTGTGGAACAGACAATGTATACCGGATATCTGCAATCCATCAGTTTAATCCCTCAATGACAGCTTCTCATTCTCTTCCCATAATTCCTCGATCTTAAACAAATTCATGTCCTTCAGGAGAAGCAGAGAGGAAAAGGTCTGCAAACAGTTATTCAGAGAAATGTTAAAAGGTAAATCAAGAATGCAAATGACAAATTCACATTTGTTTTCAGTCAAATTCTTGTTCAAAAAAAAAAAAGTGCAATGGTAGTACATGGGTTAACCACAAAAATAACTTTGCTCAAGTTTGAATCCAATCTTAAATTGGATTATTTGAATATAAAGTATATCAAACATTAGTTTTAAATTTGTAATTTAAATTGTTTTAAATACTAATAATAATAATAATAAAAAAACAGTTAAGGACATCACAGGACAAACTCAGACTTCATTGGGAAAGTGTCTGTTAGTAGCTCCAATGCCTATGACCTAATTTAATTACCAGCTTGGTGACATGGGATAATCCCCTCCAAATAGAAGGTCCCGCACACCGCGAAAACCTCACAGGAAAGCTTTTTCTTCTTGAAAAGAACATATCCCTTGAATCATGACTCATTGACTATTACACCGATGTGCTCATTAACTGCCACGACTGTGGAAACAGTGAATAAGGGCCGCACCTCTCGGAGCACACTAGTTTCCCCATGTGGAACAGGACCAGAATCAGAGTTTTGTGCTCTTAAAGAGGCAGTCGTGAACCGTGGATGGCACCCGGCATAGATGAGAGATTTTCACTGAAGCCTGTGGGAGTCCAGCTGTCCATGCTGGCAGGCTCAGTTCATTCCCTGCAAAATCATGGAACGCATTAAATAAAATGATGCCCAAAGTTGTTATCAAATATATCTCAGCAGGATGTTTAAGTTAAATAAAGCCTTGTCTACTCAACGTTCTCTAGCTTCAGTCTTAGAAATTGGTGCCATGACCCAGGTCTGGATGTGTTTTGTATTTGTTCTTATTGGGTTGAAGCATGCATATTGCTTAAGCTGGTTTTGCTTAGTTTTATGTCTTTAATGATACAAATGTATTCTAGGAATTGCTCTGCAGTTGTTGTTTTTTGTCTTTTACTTTACTTACTTAGCTTTGTCACTGAGTTTAGAGATGATTAGAACCTGTTGAGCTGGTTTACAACATTTCTGTTGTGTCCATCACCAGTTTAAATCTTTTATTTTTTTTGTGATTTGGCATGATTGTGAATGGTTATAAAAGGCAATAGAAAGTCTGATTGGTTGAAGGAAAAACTATTGTTGAAATGCTATTTTGACCAAACGCAGATGTGTGAAACATTTGCCTTGATTTTGGTTTCTGTTACAATTTTCTACTATAATTTGTCCCATATAAGTTCTCTTCCGCTACATTCCCACAGAAGAATACATGCTAAATACGGTTGTTCATAAGCACTTTGTTTGGTTACTAGACTGACATGCAAACATTGTGTTTCAGAAGTTTACAGATGGTACTTTTAATTGCTTTGTGGATATAGAGAGCTCAAGGCATTGTTAAAGTTTCCTGTTGACCTTTATTTGTGTCAAGTTAGTTCTGTCAAAAATGTTCCCCATCAATCAAAAGTTTTCAACGTGGTGTTAGTGTTGAAAATGCAATGTGTAGATGATCTAAACTCCGGTTGGATGATGGGCGCTGCATTAGGGGTTGCAGCATTAGTCGAAAACCGTAATAAATACCATCGTGCACAAAGCCTCTGGGAAATTGTGTGTATGCATATAGACCTTTTGAAATCTAAAGTTTTGCCTTCAGGGCCTCTGGTGCTCTATCACACCCATCCCTGCTAAAGCTAATGAGTGTGGATGAGCTAATGGCCTATTTGGTGATGGGAAGAAGGCAAAAATAGTATATTCAGTATTTATTCTTAAAATATAGCCATTATTCTGTTTTCTGGGAAATTCAAGCTTGTGCCATGTTATATTTCAAAGCACCAAATATACAACTGTCATAAAGCAGCCAACAACCACTTAATAATTCATTCATCCATTTATTGTGTGCTAAAAGGTGTCTCTTTTTCCTGACAGGTGGTGAAGACCATTGGATTACGTGAAATATGGTACTTCGGACTACAGTATATGGACGGCAAAGGGTACCTTACATGGCTGAAACTTGATAAAAAGGTAAGACAGTTGATTGTCAACACCATGATATTCAGATTTTCTCTACAGAATGTGTTTTAATAAACCTTTACCAGGGTTTTCGTTTTCATCCTTGTAAAATTCAATATGGCGTCTCTCCTGACTACAGTCTATTACTTGAGTATGTACTCTCTGTTTTCATAAATGTATTTGAATTACCCTCATGCATACATTTCCACTCCACATACATGCCTTTAACCTGCTGGACCGACACAGTCAGAAGGTTAAACATTTGAATTATGTGTTGTTTCCTCGTTATCTTTGGACAGTTGATGCAATACACTTCGAAGGAAAGCGGAATTCCTTACACATGGAAATGAATTACTTATTGTCATACTGATGTCTTTGTACAAGGTTTTGACGCAAGGTTTTGTACAACACGAGCCACACACTCGCAAATCCTTTCATTACTACCAACAAAGTACAGACATTATGTAAATAAGAGATTTATTGTACAATTAAGACTTTTTTTTATTAAAAGGAGTTTTCGCCATAGTTCAGAATTCAGTGAGTTTGCTCTTTAGAGATTGACAGCCATCATTATTATAAATGGAGAGGTTCTCTTGATTTGTTTATAATAACCCATTCACACCCGCATGAAAAACTAAACTTTTAATCAGACTTACACATAAAGTTTCTGGATTGACAACCGTATTTAAATGCGAGGTTTAATCGAAAACTGCAATGATTAACGGATAACTAATGAACAAGACAAAACGGGACAAAGTATAGAGTATAGAGAACTGCAAAATTGTTCTGGTAGTATTGACTACTGAAATTGTGGTACCGTGACAACCCTATTTTGGATTATGTTTCAGTCTGCTGTTTTTTTATTAATTATTAGATTAAGTATTAGGTTTGTTTAAAAATGTAAGCATCAGCGGCGGCTGATTTTATGCTTTAACATTTGCGGTAACAGACCTGTGGCTCTGCAGACAATGTCCCTTTAATATTTCCTTTTATAGAAATTGTAAAATGGTTATCAGGAGTGGTCAACTAACAATTATGTACTTTAGTGTGTCATCATACAATGTAATCTGAGTTACTAATTGCAATCTAGTTCTAATAAGAGGAAGACGCATTGACGTCCACCTAGTAACACAAAATACCCAAAACTGAACCCAAACCCCAACGTGTAACTATAAGCTACTTCATTAAATCTGACTGAATACAGGTGATTTAATACCAGCTGTTTTTGACTGGGTGATATGGCCACCACAATAAATATGCAGCACTAATGTGTCCAGTGTGAAAACTTAGACCAGTACAGCAAACAATTATGAAAATAGAACTTAAATTGTACCTAAAAAAGGGATTTTTTAAATTAAGTGACTCTGATTTTACTAGAGAACTAGATAGTGTCCTAGAAGGACTGTTATTTTAATAAGGTGTGAAAATATTTGAGCAAATGCAGGTCATAAATGAGGTTTTAACCACCATAAATCAGGAGCAGTAAAGATTTTCAGAAGAAACTTGTTTGGCTTCATTCCTCTCATAAACGCCTCACAGATCAGAGCTCAAATGAACGACATGAGAGAGAGAGAGAGAAACTTGTTTAACCCTAAAAATAAAATAATCTTTAAGGGCTCCCTGTGGTTTTCCTCCAGAATAAAATCTGGATGGTTCACATTTGAAAATGAATTAAGAAAGCCATAAATATTACATTTTGTAATTTTACAGTTATACTGTAATAAAATTGGTAACGCTTTACAATAAGGTCCCATTAGTTAATTCAACTGAAAATGACTAACAGTGAGAAATTCACCAATTCACTCTAACGTTAGTTATTAAAAATACAACTGATCATTGTTAGTTCATGATAGCTCAGGTCCATTATTAAAATCAAAAATTGCATCTGTTAATATTTAATGTATTAGTAAATGTTGAAATTTAACATTAAATTAAAATTAATAAATGATTTGTTTTTCATTGTTAGTTTGTCTAACTATGACTAACTAATTTACAGGGAAAAATTACAGTAGTTATATATATATATATATATATATATACATATACACACACACACACACACACACGCGCACACACACACACACGCATACACACACTCACTCACTCACTCTTTTTGGCCGAAGTGGGAAGCACAGCAAACCGGGAGCTTTTTTTTTTTTTATCACACCTCTCACACAGACTCACAAAGAAATACAAATAGTGCTGTTTTACTATACAAAAACACTCTTGGCACTCATGTTGCTCTGTCAGTCAGTTTTAAGCACCAAAACTAACTGGAGTACAGATAAAACTGGGGCTGCATGATTTGGGGAAAATGTCATATTGCGATTATTGAGGTCAATAATGCGATTGCGATATAATAACCAAATGGTTTCATGAGTCAACTTCCTTAGTTCTCATGGAAAATGCACACACAGATTAGTGATAATGCTGAAATGTGTATTTCTCAACTCAGTGTTTTCAAATTAAAATATTTTTTTTAAATTAATGATTTTTTTGCATTACTTCAAACTTTTGTCTCAATAGTACAGTAGTATAAAATAAATATAACAATAAATAAGAACATTTGTATGCTCATGAAAATAAGATATTTTGAACATTCTGTCCAGACAAACAGGGACATTTAAGCAGGATGTGTATTGTGTGATTGTCAACATTTGGTAACTAAACAGAATTGTGTTAAGTTTAGTGACAATATGTTACAATGTTTACATGGTACAATGACTGGTAGGCTACTGTTATTGCTTGATCTTGTGATTTGATTCCGATCTTGATTCAATATCGATTCATTTGGATAAATATTAGGTACAGTAGATGCATGTTAGTAAAGAGTAAGAGACGTTCGGTTCACGACCACGATCTGTCACGCCACATTTACAAGCGCCAAAACGCTATTGTTTGCATTTCGTAATAAAATTGACAGAATCTGAGAGCTGATGATTTGTTTCATATCAAAAGTAACCTTCTCTGTCTTGTCCGTCGGTGTCCGTGTCCTCTTTGCTTCGGGATTCTTCTCTCTGTTAAAATGGACGTGTGGCGTGAGAGCGTGTGAAAAGTGTCGATTGCGTGAGTCTCGCGCTGAATGAGTGAGAGTTGGCAGCCCTGCTCTCTCTGATCAGTGTCGGTTATCTTATAGCCAAAATATCGCCATAACAGAGGTAGTTTTTTTTTTTTTTTTTTTTTGCCACCAGTTCAATGTCCGTCCGCACTGTTGGAAAAAGTCACAACGTGACCATACACGCCACACGTGCCACTGCCTAAACTGAAACTGATTGGTGGTCTTTTTATTAGCGGTGTAGAAAATGGGCAAACTATGGAAGCTTGTTTCCGCCACTGAATAATAAAAAAAAATAATAATAGTAATTGCGACCTTTTTATCTCACAATTGCGAGATATGAAGTCAGATTTGTGAGAAATAAAGTCGCAATTGCGAGATATAAAGTCGCAATTCTGAGAAATAAAGTCGCAATTGCGAGATATAAAGTCGCAATTCTGAGAAATAGTTGCAATTGCGAGAAAAAAGACAGAATTGCGACATCTTTTCTCAGAATTGTGAGATATTAACTCACTTTTATACAACACGCAATTTCGACTTTATATCACACAATTCTGACTTTATATCTCGGAATTCTGACTTTATATCAATCAATTCTGACTTTATATCTCGCAATTCTGACTTTATAACCTGCAATTGTGACTTTATATCAATCAATTCTGACTTTATATCTCGCAATTCTGACTTTATAACACGCAATTGCAATTTTATATCACGCAATTCTGACTTTATAACCTGCAATTCTGAGAAATAAAGTCAGAATTGCGAGATGTAAACTCGCAATTGTGAGAAAAAAAAGGCAGAATTGTGAGAAGTCACAATTACCTTTTTTATTTTTCATTCTGTGGCGGAAACAAGCTTCCATAGCAAACAGCTCTCAGAGAAAAACCATTCAAATAAGATGTCAGGCTTTTAAAGAATTTGACATTTCTGAATTATTTCCATCAGTGCTTCCGTCAAATCCTAACATAGGTTGGAGCTTCATAGACAACAAAGGAGAACAATAACTGTAAAAATATATAATCGGCTGTGGCCTAAATGTGCATATTGGGAGTTGTGATACATTCATGATACTCAACATATGAAATCAACTCATTTCTCGCAGGTCTCCGCGCAGGATGTCAAGAAGGAGAACCCCATCCAGTTTAAGTTTCGGGCTAAATTCTTCCCAGAAGATGTGTCGGATGAGTTGATCCAGGAGATCACTCAAAAGCTGTTCTTCATGCAAGTAAAAGATGGCATTCTGAGTGACGAAATCTACTGTCCTCCAGAGACTGCGGTGCTTCTGGCCTCCTATTCAGTGCAGGCCAAATTTGGTGATTTCAGCAAGGAATTGCACAGGCCTGGATACCTGACGTCAGATCGCCTCCTGCCCCAACGGTGAGACACAGAGGTTTGGCTTAGCTGGGGCATGTCCTCCAGGACGTACATCATTTGAGTTCTGCTATCATTTCTCATCAATACTTTTTTCCATGGGCGTCAGTTTGGTTTGAAATGTGGTGGGGACAGAGACGCATTCGGAAGGGCATTTTCAAAAGTGCTGGGTACAATGACGCATTCATTCTTTTTTCTCTTTCGCGCAGGTCATGGTTTGAAAGACGATGTCCTGTAGCTTACTAATTTAAATAAATAAAAATGTATACAAAGATGTGATGATGTCCGACCAAAAATGTGATGGTACTTTGGGTTTAAATTTAATTGGTCGTAAAATGAGATCTAATGTTGTTTGTTAGTATCGTGAATTTTTACGTGAATATATACATAGATCCGCCTACATCGCTTATGTACTGTAATGGTCCAGTGGCGGAATATTTGCCAAGCGTGTCGGAGGTTGACGGTTCTAATCCGCACTCGTATAGTATTTTTTCCCTCATCAAAACCTAATGTTTATCAGTGGTTGTATATCAAGAATCTTGATATACTTTATCACTGATAAACATTATCGGTTTTGATGAGGGGGAAAAAAAAACTATACGAGTGCGGATGGATTAGAACCCAGAGAAGCAGGGACACGTTTGTGTGCCTTTTGAATTGTGATTTCTCTGGAACGAATAGAATCTCTGCAACGGATTGAAGCGCGCGTCCGAGTGAAGACAACACATTCCAGCGCTAGATCGCCTCTTATTTAACAAATGAATGAAACGAATGCTGCTAGTTAACTGGAGATGTTTTATTTGTATTGGTACCCGTGACGCGAGATGTTTCAAAAGTGGTGGGGACAATATCGACCCTGGCAAAAAGTGGTGGGGACATGTCCCACCCGTCCCCCCCGTAAATGACGCCTATGCTTTTTTCTAAACCTTCATTTGTTATCTGAAGCCAAGTCTTTGTTTGTCTTGTGGTTTGATTGTCCATTTCCACATTGTGTCCTGCAGGGTTCTAGACCAGCACAAGCTGTCACGGGACCAGTGGGAGGAGAGGATTCAAGTGTGGCACGAGGAACATCGAGGAATGCTCAAGTAAGTTGACTTCCTTGCAAAAGCCATCAATGGCCCCTTTATTATGACTTCATCTTATCTGACAATTGCACACATGCAGTTTTGTGTGTAATTGTGTTTTTTGAGTAGACATCTTGAAAAGAAGATTAGAGAGTATTGGGTTTCCACACATTCCACTCACAGGCTTTTTTTAGTCTTTAGAGAACAAGGTGGGCAGTCAATTGGACAGTCAGGCGCATTTATTGACTGATGCCTATTAATTGACTTGATAAATCATTCTATAGGCCCGAGTGGTTTGACGATATACGGTATGCCATGCAATGATAATGTCAGTTGGTAGAGATTCTGTTTTGCCATTTATACCGCAATATGTCTGCGGCGCAATTTAACAAATTCCAGTGTGAATCTGCAAACTATAGTTTGCGATCTGTGTCACAGTGTAGACCACTATAAACTTGGTATAACTGTCGGTAGTTTATGGTTGATAATGTCTCAACTTTCAATGTTAACATTCAATTCATGACATTCATAAATCAAAAATGTCAAATGTGCAATTTTTCAACGTCTAATTTTATATATCCATATAAAAAAAGTAAATAATCATATCAGGATTGTTTTAGAATTATATATGATTATATTATTTAGTAATATTTTTAATACATTTTAGGTTAAGTTACTAATTAAGTTATGTGCTTTTGTTATTGTTTTAGTTTTTTTTAAATATTGTAGTTTTCATTTTTATTTAAATTTGACTTTTGGTAGTGGCATGGCACTACTTCAACTAATAATTAGTTTAGTTAGTTTCTTACATTTTCTAATTTCCATTTAAGTTTTTCATGTAATATTTCATTTCAGTTTTATTTCAATTAGTGGATGATCTAATATTTTTAGGGTTTCAACTAAAACCTTTTATGCATGTTGGCTGTTCATTTACACAACAACAGCGTTTTGGGGGCCTGAAATTGCTAATTTTTAAAAAATGATACCGCTATCTTCTCCATGTAAACTACAAAAACGTGAATTAGTGAAAACGGTGACGTCATGCACATGTGTATTGCGTGTTCAGTCTGTAGGCGCATAGTGTTTCTTCACAAAGTGACATCGCCAACTACTGGCCTGGCATGAATAATACAGCGTTTTAGTCGTTTTTCGTAGATCCATGTGAACGGCGAACATACCTTAGTTAACAAAAACAACACAGAATAATATAAAAATAATTTAATACTCTGGATTATGGTTTATGTAATATATATAAAAGTGTATTTAATGTGTAAAACTCTAGTTATGACTACATTGTGATATAAAATTACCATGTTATAACATACTATGCTGAAATATTTTGTTCATATCACCAGCCAGCATTACAAACCGAATCTGATCATTGTGTCGTCCTGTTTTATTTATCCCTAGAGAGGACGCAATGCTTGAGTATTTGAAAATTGCTCAGGATCTGGAAATGTATGGGGTGAACTACTTCGACATCAAGAACAAGAAGGGATCGGAGCTATGGCTGGGTGTGGATGCCCTGGGCCTAAACATCTATGAGAAAGACGACAAGTGAGTTCAGCCTTTCCCTACATTCATTTGACATTATTCATATCTGAAGTGCCATTTCAACTACACTTCAATATCTTCAGTGTTTTCCTCTTCGTTGAAATCATTTCGATTACAAAAAAAGCACTGTGCCAGTACCATGGTAAAATAATGGTATCGGTTGTTAGTACTGTATGGTTACCATAACACGATGGTATTTTGTGGTATACCTAGCTACTTAGTAATACTTTTGGCCTGCACATCCATCATCCCCCTTTCATTTACACCAATCTGTGAAATCCAAGCTATCGAGGAGTGCTTTTGGTGATTTTTAGTTTGGTTTGAGGACACGATGTTCTTCTTTGAAGTTACATCTATTTTATTTCCATTGTTTCCTTCAACAGAGATCTCTCTGTGTGTGCACATAAGAGCAGTGGCGTGCAGTGGCGTCTAATGGCTTTTCCCCCACAATGCCCTCTATTTTAACCATAGCAACAAAGACTGGTTTTTCAAGCTGTGCAGTCCTTGAAAACGTTGGGCAAGGATTGTGTGTGTGACTGAGTGGAGGCTTCTCGAGTGCACACATGTTGCACAACGACCTGTGAAATAGTTCACATTCATCTGATCTTTGCTTGTGTTTGTACGGCGTAAAGTGTTGTTGTGTTAGCTGTGCTCTTTCTGCCGAGTGGCCCACACTCTTAGCTTCACATTTGTTTCAAATCGCGATTCTGAACCGACAAATGCGCAACATGTCGTAGTTTTCTAGAGGTTATGACAATGTTAATTTCTGCAGTCTATTTAAAAGTATTTAATTAATCTGAATTAATAATTAAAAAGTGGTGAATGAATGATTAAATGACTCACTCATAATGACTTTACTTGTTTCATTTCTACTGGATGAATCAGCGTTTTTTGAACGAATCTCTTGAGTTAATGATTCAATGACAAATACATTTTTTAACAGTTAGTTTACCGGTCACCCCATAGTGGCGTAACAATATAGCCAATACAATCGTTATTTTAAGCTGCCTTACTCAGTCTTCACTTGATCCTTAAGCAATCATTCTTATATGCTGATTTAATGCTCAGGTAACATTTCTTCTTGTTATTAATATCAATGTTGAAAACGGTTCTTAACACGTTTGTGGAAATTGCGATTATTTTTTCAGGATTCTTTGAGGAATAGAAAGTTCAATGAACGACATTATTACATTTATTTATTAAAGAATTTATTCAATAGAAACATTTTGTAACATTTATAAATGTCTTCACTGTCGCTTTTGATCAATTTAATGAATACAAGTATTAATTTCTCTCTTTTTTTAATCTTATTGTTTGATTTGGTATCATTGTTTCCTAAAATGTTAAGCAGCACATCTGTTTTCAACATTGATAATAATAATGTTTCTTGATCATTAAATCAGCATATCAGAATGATTTCTGAAGGATCATGTGACACTGAAGACTGGATATTCAGCTTTACCATCACAGGAAAAAAATACATTTTACAATATATTAAAATAGAAAACAATTATTTTAAATTAATAATATTTCACAATATTACTGTTTGATGAAATAAATGCGTATTTGGTGAGCATAATAGACTACTTAAAAAAAAAACTAAAAAAAAAAACATGTTTCCAAACTTTTGACAGGTGCTGTATATAATATATATATATATATATATATTTTATACTAATAATAATATATTATATAAACATGTACTGGTATATAATATTGTAATATTATTTTATTTATTTATGGATTTAGCATTTTCCTTAAATGGTAGAATAACCATTATAAATACGGCATGCCTTCTGTCCACAGGAGGACAAAATAAGCCGGCACGTTCGCGCCATCTTTAGCAGCTCTACTCCACCTAGACCTAGAGTCAGCACAATCTCTCTGGAACTCTATTCCCACTAGAGCCAATCAAAGCCAAGCATGAGACCGACCGTAACAGTCATGGCACTACAAGGACAAAAACTAGGGCCTCTTTAAATACTTCCATCGATGATTTAAAATGTAATAGTGTATAAATGTTTAATGCTAATGAAATTTGTCAGTCCGTGGTCTAGTGTATTTGTTCCACTCTTCTTTCCCCACAAATTCCTGGCACCCTATACTGCACTACCCTTAGAAAAAAATCTTTCATGCCATATTTATTTGAACCATTTCTGCCATTTGTTTTAGGGCAGGTTTGTGGCGTGTCATACGAGGTGGGCCACAATAGCTTTGTGTTCTCTTAGCTACGCGTTAAGACAGTGTGACACACACACATGTTGTAACGCCACTCCCATGAGCTCCACAAAGACATCACAGCACACTCCTCACTGCGATGTTGTCATTCGCTTACGTTAATCGCAGGCCCTTCTTTGTCTCAGCATTCCTCGAGTATCTCAGTGATGGACCGTCATGCCTGTGGTACAACATTCTCACTGCATTACAAACTGATCTCAATGCTAATATTTAGTTTTTTGCTCGATCGGCGAGATCTGATGGTTGTCTTCCACCTTTTCAGTGGTGATTTCAGGTTTTGCGTAGCTATGTTTGGAATGCAAACATCTCATGATTTCATCAATGTCTTCACAGACTCACACCGAAAATTGGATTCCCCTGGAGCGAAATAAGAAACATTTCCTTCAACGACAAGAAGTTTGTCATCAAGCCTATAGATAAAAAAGCTCCAGTAAGTGAAACTACAATTGTGACACAAGCCGCCTTCATACATCACACAGTCCCAGCTGAAACCGAAAAACTGACGAGACGAGAATAAAACTTGTTTTATTACACTCTAATCCAGTGTTTCCCAACCCTGCTCCTTGAGGCACACCAACAGTGCACATTTTGGATGTCTCCCTTTTCTGACCCATATATTTCTGGTACTTGGAGTCTCTACTAACGAGCTGATGAGTTGATTCAGGAGTGATCGATTAGGAAGAGTTGGAAAATGTGTAGTGTTGGTGTGCCTCCAGGAACGGGGTTGGGAAACACTGCTCTAATCAACAAACGTTTTATCTCACACTAATGTTACAACATCTAGGATTAGGTTTTTGGATACAAAGTCCTAATTAAAATAGTTTTTGGATTAAAAAAGAAAATGTTAAAGAACCATTATTATGATAGTAAGAAACGTTTCAGATTTTAGGGCACTAATTGTGTGTTTGAAACATTGAGCATTGTGAACTTTGTACAAAAGGCTGTAAAGCACAAGATGCTTTTTAAAACCATTGTTTGTTTGTTTACTTTTATTGTCCCCCTTAGGGGAAACTAGTTTTGCAGCAAAAGGTAACAGAAATACAGACAATGCATAATACACAAACAATATATGATACACATCATAGTTCATATCATAAAATCTACCTTTGACGTGTGGATTTTTTTCCACATTTAACTGAATGTGGAATTTGAATACACAAGTCATCTACTACTGAACCATGCCCTTGATCCTGTAGAAGACTCATCAGCATATTTATTAATAATGTGCCTATTCTAGTATGAATTGCGACCATCATTTGGACAGAATGTATAAGATAAGTGACGAACAACATCCTTGAGGAGACCCAGTAGAACAAAATAACTGTTCTGAATGTACATAAATTTTAACACACTGTGATCTTCCTGTTAAAACCATTCAGCAACATTTAAATCAATGTTAAAATGATACATTAATTTCTCTATTAACAAATGAGGCTGAATTTGATTAAAAGCAGAAGAGAAATCAACAAATAACACCAGAGGGTTTTCCAGATGCTTATAAACAAGATTTAAAAGATTAAGAAAATGGCATCCTCCACACCTCTACCCTCAAATTGTAATGGATCAAGGCTAGACTATATTTGCTGTAAAATCACTTTCCTAACACGTTTCATAATTAACGACGTGTAAGCACCTGGTCTAAAATCATTTAAAATCTTAGGCACGTTTGTTTTTTTTGGCACAGATTTCTTCCATATTCTTGGGACTTTTGTAGCTTAAGAGACTCTTAAAAAAAAAAAAATGGTTAAAAGTCCCACACAACTGTTCTGCACAGGTCTTTAACACCTTACCTCCTATATTATCCGGGCCTGGACTTTTCTTTACATCTATATTTTGAAAAAAGACATTTAACCTTGTGCACATCACAATTACTACCTTAATTATTACTCATTCAATGTATCAGAATAATCCATATCTGAGTTAAAACCATCCAATTAAATCCTCTTGGTTTCCTTTCTCTCATTACCTGCCAATGTTTTAAATCCTTGTCATGTTGCACTTACTTTTATTTTTTTCATTCGGCTGATATTCCAACGTATCTTTACATTTGAACCTATCCTTCTTCATTTCTGCTCTCACCATATTACTGATCTCTCTAACTGTGTGTGATTCTCCCATCTGAAAAGATATTTTCTTAATAAAATTAAATAAAATTTGGCGTGTCTGGTGTAGAAGTAATCCTAAAATAACACTGTGATGATGTGACAAAAAAAGATGGTGAAATGTCTATGTCTTTATTGTGACACACACAGTAAATCACTGTAATGCGTGCCGTTTCACAGTAAAGAGTCATTAGTTGTAGCAGTGCTGTTTCAGCTGATAAACACCAGCAGTCGGTCTCTGTCTTCATAGAGCGTTATCTCGGAGCGTCAGCTGAGCTGCTTTCTGCAGGACTTACATTCACACTACCACACGACTTTATCATACTAATACACAGACTCCTCAATATGATCAAAGCCCAGGATGATTCATAAACCATATATCTTGTCTCTTCCGTCTTATCCCTGCAGGATTTCGTGTTCTACGCCCAACGTCTGCGCATTAATAAGCGTATCCTACAGCTGTGCATGGGGAACCATGAGCTGTACATGCGCCGCAGGAAGCCGGACACCATCGAGGTGCAGCAGATGAAAGCACAGGCTCGAGAGGAGAAACAACACAAACAGATGGAGAGGTGAGGATGAATCACCATGGCGATGTGAGGAGTGATGTCGTCTCATCAGCAGATGCTGCACGACATAAAACAGACCATATTTGTGTACCATATGTACACATTACAATTTCTACTACATGTATTACAACTAGAAACTGTGGATTGGCAAAGCCTGCCATTTTAATTAAAATTTTTTGGCTTTGTTTTGGTTTCTTTTTGTTTGATTTCTTTTGGTAGTTTTATTTTGTTTGTTTGGTTGGTTGGTTTGCTTTTGTTTTGGTTTGACTTGAAACTGGATTAGCAAAGCCTGATTTGATTTTATGTTTTGCTTTTGTTTGGGTTTTTTTTTTCTTTTGGTTTTGTTTTGGTTTTGTTTTAATTTACAGGATGTATCCGTGGTTGCTAATGTGTTCTATGTAGTTGCTAGGTAGTTTCTAAAGGGTTTGAGGTTAGAGATTTGCTGTGTGGTACCTTTTGATCTTCTGAAAGGTTTCTAGGTGGGTGATTAAATATATTATATGCTACTGATTTATCAGTCTCAAATCAGCATCAAATAGCAGTTTCCAACATTATGATAACTTTGTGGCTTTGGCTTTAGTCAACTCGTTACTTTTGTTGCTGCAAATTACTTTCCAAATAGCATTCAAGCAGTTTTATATGTAAATGGCCTTGGTTATGATTGGTTAACTAGCTGTTGCCCATCATGAGTTGCTGAATACTGAATAGATATTGAGACGTAAACTTGACCGGCCGTCTTTTAATGGTTGTGATGTCATGAAGCCAACACGATTTCTGAACAAGCCATTTTTTGCAGCAGGTCAATGAGTTTTGAATTATTAACATCGGATTATGAGCGAGGCAAATTGAGCTTTGTATTATACGACCACTTTATTATGTCTCCCATGGCAGGTCAGTCTGAGAGATGACTTTTGTTTGCGGGTATAGAGCGGTGTCCTGAGCAAACGTCACAGTGTGTCTCTTTGGTTGTGTCTTATCTGCAGAGCTCAGCTGGAGAGCGAGAAGAAGAGACGAGAGGCCATAGAGAGAGAGAAAGAGCAGATGGAGAGGGAGAAACAGGAGCTGATGATGAGACTCTACCAGTTTGAGGAGAAGACCAAAAAAGCAGAGAAAGGTAAGAAGCCAGGGTCCAGCGTGTTTGTTTTTCAATTGGACTAATATCATGTAAAATTATATTTTGTTTTGGTTAAAACATTTTCATGTCTAATGCAAGATAAGTATTTTAATGACTGCGTTCAATAAAACAGTCAACATGCAAGTTGTTTTGAATGTGAGGAATCATGTTTATACTTTTTTTTTTTTTTATGAAACAACAAATGGATTATAATAAAAACAAATCTGGCAATTATTGCGATGATTGGTTTACTTTGTGACTCCATATGGAAAATGTGTGAGTCATAATTGGAGACGTCAAGCCAGATACAGTCACTTTGGTCTTTTCAGTTTATGTAACCTTTTAGCTTGTTGTTATATAAAGGGGAGACATTATACTTTGATCATGATGAGTGTGTTCGAGCTGACAATGCCGTTGACTGGCGATCCAAACACAAGGTGGTGTCGAACTGCACCTGTTACTCTGTTTCTGCTGTTCGCATGTCATGTTTCTTTTGTGTTTGCCACAAAGCTTTTCTTTTTGAAACTAGATTATTTAATCCAAAACACAAACTTTCTGAATGAAAAATGATTAGCCTAATAATGTTCCTGAATCAACCATCAGCCATCTCTGACTATACAAAGTCCAACAAAGCTTTCTGAATGATCTCATTTTATGTACTCTGCAGAAAAGGCAGAAGTGATGTCATTTTGTGACAAACATCACTCAGCTCAAAGGGATTTTCTGTCATTATTTACTTCAAACCCCAGATGTCTCTTTCTTATATGGAGCACAAAAGGAATTATATGTAGCAGAAAGTTTAAGCTGCTCTGCAGACAATGAAAGTGAATGGTGACCACAGCCATCAAGCTAGAATTCAGTGAATAATTATTCTACAGCTTTCAGATACAGAATATAGTGCATGAGTAATAAGTATAAATTGTATGGTGCTTGACAGCCCCTCATTCACTTTCATTGTGTGGAAAAAAGCAGCATTAACATTTACTAAACTCCATTGGATAAAGGTCAAACAGTGAAACTAGGGGAGTAAATAATTACAGATTTTTTTGGGTGACCTATCCCTTCCAAGTAGACTAATAACCGTATTTAGTGTTGAATTTATGACTATTAATTAACATCACAGATGTTTAACCATGAGGGCATCACCACCTTCCAGAGTGAGGCCCAGACCCATAGTTAGGATGTATTGATGGTTGCACTTTAAATGAAATCTGGATGTGTGTTTTCAGACCTGCAGGAGCAGATGCAGAGGGCCGTGCAGCTGGAGCATGAACGGAGACTGGCCGATGAGGAGGCCGCCAGGTTGGAGGCAGAGAGGCAGGCAGCCCTGCTCGCGAAGGAGGAACTGGCCCGTCAAGCCAAGGACCAGCTAAAGAGTCAAGAACAGCTGGTGAGAACTTAACGCCGATTCTCAGAAAAATTAAGAGTTGTTTAATTTCCATTAACAATCCTCCCCATTCGTTTCTCTCAGGCCGCTGAGCTAGCAGAACATACTGCTCGTATTGCACTCCTGGAAGAAGCCAAAAGACGCAAGGAGGAGGAAGCTGTGACATGGCAGCACAGAGTAAGAGCATTAAGACATATGGAAATAATGATATCACCTCAAGATCACTTTTTTCAACCTTTATGAGTTTGCATTACTGCAAAAGTGTCCAAAGATATTCAGTCTATCCATACTCTCGGTGCATTCTCAAGTTCTTCAGTAATTGGATTGGTAGACTGTCTGATCTTTGTGATGTCGGACTGTGTTCCAGGCGAAAGAGGCCCAGGACGACCTGGTGAAGACCCGCGAGGAGCTTCACATGGTGATGGCGGCGCCACCTCTCCCTCCACCACCCCCCGCCTACGAACCTGATGAGAACGAGTATGAAGATGGGGAGGAGAGCAACGGGAGCTACAGTGCAGACCTCCAGACAGGAGTATTCCATGACCACCGCAACGAAGAACAGCGAATCACTGAGGCCGAGAAGAATGAACGAGTTCAGAAACAGCTGTTGGTAAGTATAACATTGTAACGATTGGTTGAACTTTACTAGGCTTTAAGATTAGAGCCCAGGGCAGGGTAGCCAAGACTGAGTTAAGGTCTGACTCCAGCATGTTCCTAACAGGGTTTGGTTAACCTTTTTGGAGTTTTATTCTTCTAGGTTGATCTAGTGTCTTCATTACCTCTAGTCCGGGGGTGTCATAACCTGCTCCTGAAGGACCACTGTCCTGCAAAGTTTAATTGGCTATTTCCTCCAAAAAGGGGTTTATTCAGCATAGGGAAGTCTCTCCTCCATTAACATCCATTAAAAGGCTTGCCTTTTAAAGGGATACTTCAGGATTTAGCATTAAGCTTTGTATTAGTAGAAAACCTGTAGTATTTTCGAATTACTGTGCTTTCCACCCTCATATCCCCCTGAGACGAGAGATTTATGTATTTTTTGTCTGGAAAAAATCCTCCGATGACGCAAAAATCGTCATTTTGTAGGAGCTGTCCCGCATGTTCTCAACCCGCCCCATAGAGGCTGGGATCTCACTCACAGAATGTACACATAGTGTCAGACATCATTTTTTGGAAGCTAAGCTAGCAGGCTCTTGTTCTTCTGTGGAGAAAGCAGAGTAGTAGGGGTTACCATCCTCTTTTTCCCGGACATGTCCGGCCGTCGATGTCCGGGATTCAGTTTTTGCTTTCTGCAGTCGCCATTCATTGTTTACATGCACACCTTTTGTTTCAGTCTAACTGAATTCATTCCGATTGGTGAATCTGAATGTAGTGTTTACATGAACGCTAAACAAGTGATCGGTTGATGTGCGTTTTAACATTGCTAAGAAAATTCCCGCTCCTCCGTGAGAGATACGAGACCGGTGCGTCTCACAGGTGTCGTTCATCGGTAATCACGCCCTCGGCCTCGTCCTGCTCGCCACAGTAAACATGATGAACGGCGACTGTAGAACGCAAAAGCCGAATCCCGGACATTTTGGGCGATCTCGAAATCCCGGGCAGACTCATCACGGAGACTCACTAGTAGCCTAGACTTGTTGTTTAACTACTGCGCTATGTTACCGGTAGGCGTGGCTTCCTAGGGCAGCGAAGGAATTGCATTCTGGGAGTTGTTGTCTTTCATCCACATAAGCCAAAAATACATTTTCTGGCTTTTCTCAGTCTAGAAAGCTCCAAATTCAAAAATAATTTCACATTTCTTCTACATAAATGACCCATTTTAAATACACATTCATCTTTCCAGAGGTGAAGTATCCCTTTAAGTGGCTTTGATGCCTAGTAAGACCTTGATCTGGTATGTTTAATTGGAGCTGGAGCTAATGTAAAATAACATAAAACTAACAAAAGCATTTGAAGAGTAATAAAAGTAGTCCTGATCCTGCCGTCCTCCATCATTGTAGTTGCGCACAGAAACCATTTTAAACTAAAAACCACATAAGATTGTTACTGCGGGGTTTCCATTTTAGGGTTGTGAATACAAGAGAACATAGTCACTGTGTAGGTCCTCTTTAGGGCTCGACAAAAGGGGCTTTTGCACCGGGTAGTAGAACTAGAACTTATAGCAACTAGCTCAACCATTAGTTCCCCGAGAACTAATGGTTTCCCTAGGAAAGTGTTCCTGGTTGCATTCGTACCGCCAGTAGGAACTCTGAAGTGACGTGAGCCGCCACGTGAGCCACTCTGAAGTGACGTGAGCCTACTGTTGTTGTGACTTTTATTTTGACGGTGTCGAGAATGCCAGAGCCTGAGCAAACAAACAGTGCTCGCATTTTCAGTGTTATCTTCAGATTTAGATCTGTCTAACAGTCCTGTCTAAAACAATATTAGGTAGAATTGTTATACATAGAAAGTAACATTAGACCGTAATGAAAAGTTATTAGTGTATGCCATGCGGTTCAGTAACAGTGTCCAGTGTTGCTAGCTGAGCAGAAATATAATCATGTTTGGCTTGGTCCCCTCAAAGTTGTGTTGGGCCTCTTAACCTTTACGCTGAGGAGAAAATCCATCTATCACGGTTTTCCATGTTTGTAGAGTTAATATATAGGCTATAATCTGAAATCCTTTTTTTTAAATGGCGGGTGCTGGTGTTTCGCGTGCGTTCGCCCAAACAGCAACCAATGGCTCCTACTTCAGAGTAGTCTAACCCAGCACAACCTGAACTACCAGTGACGCAAGTGTAGGCTGATTGGCCGAACACATGCCATACGAAACACCAGCACTGCTCGAACTAACGGCATGAACATGGAAAGCCTCGATAGATGGACCGCCACTGTGATCAGTTGAGAACTGCCTGGACTTTAGTGTCCTCCATCCTTCAGTTGTTGACGTTGATCAATAAATGACGTCGCTGTCGGCCGGCTTGCGTCACTTCAGAGTTCCTACTGACGTTGTGAATGCAACCAGGAAAATGTAGTTTTCAGGGGACCGCCCTGGCGGCTAGTTCCTACAACCGAGTGCCTATAACTACCCAGCCTCTCACGAGTAAGAATAAATAACCCTCCTCTGAAACAACAACAGGATCTACCAGTCAATTACTTCTGATTTTAAGAGAAAGTTGGGGTTAGGTTTAGGGTTGGATAGACCTAGAGATATGCTTGGTTGATAGCAATGTCTAGCACCAGGGATGTCTACAAACATGGCCTTAGGTTCATCAGGTTGTCTCATATGATTAGCGTAGTTCAGCCAACAGATCTTTGTTGGTCCTGGACATTCTTACCAACGAATCAGATTTTGGAAATAGGATTAGGCTTAGGTTTTAGGCTGGGGTTGGGGCTTGTCTTTTAAACCTATAATATCCTTCTGCCTTTAACTGTAGTTAATAGTTGGGGTTAGGAATAGTCAATAAGATTTCTCCAAGTAGGTCATGGTCATGAAATAACACTTTATCGGTCCTAAAACAACATTACTATCAAACAATCCAAACGATAACCTATTCCTAACCTAAAAAAGAATGTTATCAACTATATATCCAATTGGTATATGGGTTTAGGGGCTGACATTGTGTTTGGTCTTTGTGTTAATCCAGAAACATGTCCTACTTGGTAGAATCACGTTTGGATAGGTTTGTTTGACTGGAAGATTGATTCAGAACTGGTTGTATTCTTGAGTCAAAAAAGCATCCCAACATTCCTGACACTATCTTCTTTACAGGCTCTGACCTCCGAGTTATCCCAGGCTCGCGACGACACCAAGAAGACTCAGAACGACCTCCTGCACACAGAGAACGTGCGCGCCGGCCGAGACAAATACAAAACTCTCCGGCAGATCCGCCAGGGCAATACCAAACAGAGAATCGATGAGTTTGAGGCCTTATAAAATATCTGGACCAGGAAACTTTGGGAAGGAGGGGAAGGAAGGAGTCTCAAAGCCCTTGTCTGTTTTCTTTCTATCCCCTACATCTGAGTGGTCAATGCAAGAGGCGCACGCACGCACACGGTAATGCAACAGATTTCATTAGTATGATACGAACACTGGTTCAATGTGCACTAAACAAGAAATTATTTTAAAACCAAAAACATGCACTATGTAAATGTAATGACAAAAATGGGTTTTTTTTTGTCATTACATTTATATACATAAACACAAATGTTTACCCCTTAATGGTGTACATCGAAATTCACAGCAACACTTTACAGTAAGGTTCTACACTGTAGCGTTAGTTAAAGCATTGGGTATCATGAACAAACAATGAACATTTATTAATGTCTGTTCATTTATTGGTCATTCTTGGTTTGTAATGCATTAGTTAACTAGTGATAACAAACAACTTGTAATATCGATGTATTTATATATGTAGCAATACACATTAATAATCTTGGTTAATTGCTGACTAATGTTTATGTATAAAGGCTTATTTTAAAATGTTCCCAAAATCACACCACTGACTTTTTCACAGAATGTGCTTGAAATAAATCATTTTGCCATAAACATACGAAGCTAAATAATATGTAAACACACGTGCCAACAATGCATCCCCTTATGTTAATTATGTGTTATTAATTCAATAATCTGGCCAAATTCTAACTAGTTTGGGGTTGTAATAAGGGATTGTACTCGTTTTTGTTTTGTTTTTTTTTCTTGTTCATGATCCACTCAGCACAGGGCTTGGCAGTATGATAATAATTTTTATGTATTGTCTTATATTAAAACTCTTTCATTCATGTTGAATATGGCTTTTGCCAGAATATTTGTTATAGTGTTTATTTATTCTTTCTTTGGGTTATTTAAGGTTTTGGGGTAGATGTACTTCTGCTTATTTACTAATGACAGTGCAGATTCATTTGTTTATTGATTCTGTACTGACCCAAATGAAGATTTAATCCACCACATGCTCAAATCTTTAATGCTGATTAGAAGAGGATTCATATGATATCTGATTTTATACACATACATACATACATATATATAGCTCAGAGGCATGTTGTTAAATCATTAGACCTTCTGCATTAGGTACAAACTGATTTTTGTTATGGTTTTCAATTGAATTAGTTACTGAATGTTTATTGCCATGACATTGGGTTGGAGGAAGACTTGTTTTTAGAAACTTTAATAACCTTTTGTAATCTCAGCTTACTGTAAGTACGTTTTGGACCGTTTTCACTGACTTGCTAGCAGCTCTTTATATTTTAATTAAAACTTAAAAATAGCACAAATCAGGTAGTGTTAAAGACACCTTTCTTCTGCTGGAGGGATCACACTAGAACAGAGTTTTAGACATTCAGCATTTTGGGTGATATACCAATGGGCAAATATGAGGATTGTTTCTATGATGCCTGTAACCATGCAGTGCCACTTTCATAAAAATAGGAAAGTATTATTTATTTTTTTGTCGCATCTTTTTTTCTTCTTGCTACTGGGCAAGTTATTATAGGGCTTACATGTATTTGTTTCCTCCAAATGATGCTCATTATTACTAACTTTGTCACTGTTAATTCATTAATTGAGTTTCCATTATGAAAATAAGCTTGTTTAATCACTCGCACGCTTGTTTTAAATATTATTGACATCATATACAAATAAGCTTTTCACACTACCAACACTGCAGGGCTTAAAGGGACAGTTCACTCAAAAATGAAATTTCTGTCATTTATTCACACTCAAAGTTGTTCCAAACCTGTGTGAGTTTCTGTCGAGCACAAAATAAGCGATTTTAAAGAATGTTGGTAACCAGACAGTTTCTGGTCCCCATCGACTTCCTTAGTATTTCCCTCCCCGATACAATGGAAGTCAATGGGGACCAACATTCTTCAAAATATCTTCTTTTGCGTTCACGTCAACCCAACCTGGATTATGTAGCTGGGTCGTGGTAACAATGGTATACAAGTTACTAACCCATTGTAAGAACTAGTTGACCCCTGACGTGTGAAAAGCCTATGTGTATAACAGAAAAAGAGTTATTATTGTATAAAGCAGTAGTAATATAAGTATCATTGAGATTCACAACAACTGGATTTATTTATTTTCCCCCAAGAGGTGTTTATTATATTAGAAATAAAGATTTATGAACAACAAATCTGGGTGTCTTATTTAAGAAGTTCAGTGTATAATAACGTACCGCATACCATCTTTGTAGATATATTCAGTTTATTAATTTATGAAATAATTTATACATATTACATGAAATAAAACATCAAAACTGTTCATGTCTGATGAAATGGGATGCAAGAAATGAGAGTCTGTTCGCAGGATTCTGTGGCCTCTTGTGAGCACAACTGCCACATGCCAGGATCTGTGGGTCGATGGAAAGGGTCCACGTTCTTCAGTTATGACCTCATGTTTGTGCTGACAGTTGCGTGAAGTGGAAGAACGAAGTCATGCCACTCTCCTGGCATCTGCTGGAGGCGTTGCCATGAGGATTCTGCTGACAGAAGCAGACAGAGTATTTTTAGAGAAGTCTACTGGTGCTCATTTATAGATGCAAAGAAACAAATTCAAATGCTGACATCAAACATAAGATGATATAACTGGAATCTTGAGATCATGTGATTGTGCACTACCATTGAAAATTTCGGGGTCGATGAAATTTCTTTGTTTTTGTAAGATCAAAAATACTGGAAAAACAGTGAAATGTTACCATTTGAAATAGCTGTTTTCTATTTTATTATGTAATTTATTCCTGTGATGCAAAGCTGTATTTTCAGCATCATTATTCCAGTCTTCAGTGTCACATGATCCTTCAGAAATCATAAAATGCTGATTTGCTGCTCAAGAACCATTTCCTATTATCATCAATGTTGAAAACAGTTGTGCTACTTAATGTGTTTTTTAAACCGTGCTTCCAGAATTCAATAGAGTTCAAAAGAACAGCAATTACACTGAACAAAATTATAAATGTAACACTTTTGTTTTTGTCCCCATTTTTCATGAGCTGAACTCAAAGATCCAAGACTTTTTCTATGTACACAAAAGCCTATTTCTCTCAAATATTGTTCGGCAAAGGAGAAGTGCTCACTAACACAGATTTAGACAGATTTGTGAACAATATTTGAGAGAAATAGGCCTTTTGTGTACATAGAAAAAGTCTTGGATCTTTTGAGTTCAGCTCATGAAAAATGGGGGAAAAAACAAAAGTGTTCATTTATCATTTTGTTCAGTATTGAAATACATTTTTTTTGTAACATTATAACTGTCTTTACTGTCATTTTTAATCAATTTAATGCATCCTTGCTGAATAAAGGTAAAAAAAAAGCACAAAAATAATCATAGTGACCCCAAACTTTGATAAAAGAGTACTTCATTTGAAATGCATCATGTGCTTTTAGGTGTTAAACTTGTGGTAAATAAAGTGGTAAACAGCTAGTAATGTGCCGTGAGCGTGTGTCTCACCGCCGGCCAGTCGTGCTGATCTCAGTAAGCGGTCAGCGAGGCTGAAGGTGTGTTTCTCCCACAGGTTGATCTGCAGGATGGCCTGCTGGAGCTCCTGAAGTGAGACTCTGCTGAAGCTCATCTGGAGAGAATCAGTCTTCTTCAGTGCAGTTCTCTGCACCAGCTCTCTCTCTCCGGGAAGATGAAGAATCCTGGGGAGAACACACACAATTACTGCAACTGACATCAACTCATGTGCCACAAATGCCAATATGACTAGTATATCCTTGTGGAGAGGAGACAACAGATTCATATATATACAGTAGCAATAAAAAATTTGTTGACAAATTAATACTTTCATTCCAGAAGGACGCATTACACTAATCAAAAGTGGCTGAAAATAAATAATGCTTAAAAAAGAAAAAAGAAAAGTGTTAAAATTTAACATTCAATTACAACTTAGCTGAAAATGATGCCCAATTAAAATCATTCTGTGATTGTTAGCAAAGTTAATGATTTGGTTAGCATGCTAATCAATGTATGAGAAATGATACTAACTGAATGTCTTTCTAATGATTATTAAAGGTGGAAATCTTTCATAATTTGCAGTGACATTTTATGTTTATTTGTGCAAACTTTACACATGGTTCTATATTGTCGACTCACCCCTCGATGTAAGCTGTTTTTGAGACGGAGAGCTTCCACACATCAGTGATGACAACTTTCAGCTGTCCTGCAGATCCCATCAAAGTGTCTGTATTGATAGATGAATTAGTGTTTTCATTCTGAAATAGGCCAACTTAAGACTATTTGTAATGAGTCCCAGTGTGTGTGTGTGTGTGACAGAGTGTCGTACCGTCAGTGTGTGTCAGGAACTGTAGTTGTGCTTTAAGCAGCAGCAGGTCTGAGGTGAACAGCTCCACATCGCCACCCAGTGAATGTCTCTGCTGTAAAAGAACAAGCCTCTCGTTTCAGATCAGATCATTCACCTCAGAACATGAGCAGACGTTTGCACTTTGCATGATCGTGTTGATTTGTTCTTTACACTTCCTGCCAATCTATTTTACTTCCTTTTACTTGTTTATGATGGCGTTACAATTTGCATAGACAGTGCACGTTACTTCCCCAGACAGCGACACAGTGTCGGCCCATGTCCGGCCCACATCTGGTACATGTGGATTCAACGCGCACCAGATGTGGGCCGGATCTGGGCCGACACTGTGTCGCTGTCTGGGTCACCAGTTGCACTCCCACAAGTTAGGTTCAACCGATGTGCTAACTTCACTTTTGAGGACAATAATTTGCTCCCATTGTTTCAATTGGGTCAGTTATTCAAGCATCTGCAATGTTTACTGCTCCTGCTCTACTCTCCTGTTACTTGATAAACATGAATATTTATTAACTTTATTTAATTTGGCACACTTTTTTACACACTGAATTAACCATGAAATTTCGCAGTAGAAAGACTAAAATAATATTTTGTTGTAAAACGTACTTCAATTATTGATTACACTTTATTTAGTGTCCTTTTTACATGTTACATGTAGTTAGTAACAATGAATAATCCATAATTATCTATAATTGTACAAATTAGTCATGGCAACATCCCTTTTTACCTTACTTTAACTCATCAAAATAATTTAAGCAATTTCCACTTTTTTTAAGCTATAACAATTTTTTTTCAGCTGAATATGATTTAAGTTTAAATAACTTGTAAATCCATGTTGATTTGATTTAAAAATTTAAGACAGCACTTTCTCTCGCTCTCTACATATATATATATACTGTATATATATACAGAAATTAAGCAAATCATTTGATAAAGATGTAATGAGATAATGATCGATGTTACCTTAGGGCCGAGTGTGTTCCAGACGGAGCGCTGAGTGTGTGTGTTCTCCAGACTGAAGTCTGCCAGACGGAGGAGAGTCTCACCCAGAAAGAGCTTCCGCTTGAGTCCTCTGGAGTGCCAGACTGAGACCTGAACCACACTGCTGACCAGCTGCTCACGCTCAAGTGTACACTGCAAACACAACACCTGCATGAGGACCACTGCGCTCAAGTGCAGACTGCAAACACAACACCTGCACGAGGACCACTGCACTCAAGAGCACAATGCAAACACAACACCTGCACGAGGACCACTGCACTCAAGTGTACACTGCAAACACAACACCTGCATGAGGACCACTGCACTCAAGAGCACACTGCAAACACAACACCTGCACGAGGACCACTGCACTCAAGAGCACACTGCAAACACAACACCTGCATGAGGACCACTGCACTCAAGTGCACACTGCAAACACAACACCTGCATGAGGACCACTGCACTCAAGTGTACACTGCAAACACAACACCTGCATGAGGACCACTGCACTCAAGTGCACACTGCAAACACAACACCTGCATGAGGACCACTGCACTCAAGAGCACACTGCAAACACAACACCTGCACGAGGACCACTGCACTCAAGAGCACACTGCAAACACAACACCTGCATGAGGACCACTGCACTCAAGTGCACACTGCAAACACAACACCTGCATGAGGACCACTGCACTCAAGTGTACACTGCAAACACAACACCTGCATGAGGACCACTGCACTCAAGAGCACACTGCAAACACAACACCTGCATGAGGACCACTGCACTCAAGTGCACACTGCAAACACAACACCTGCATGAGGACCACTGCACTCAAGTGTACACTGCAAACACAACACCTGCATGAGGACCACTGGACTCAAGAGCACACTGCAAACACAACACCTGCATGAGGACCACTGCACTCAAGTGTACACTGCAAACACAACACCTGCATGAGGACCACTGCACTCAAGAGCACACTGCAAACATAACACCTGCACGAGGACCACTGCACTCAAGAGCACACTGCAAACACAACACCTGCATGAGGACCACTGCACTCAAGTGCACACTGCAAACACAACACCTGCACGAGGACCACTGCACTCAAGAGCACACTGCAAACACAACACCTGCATGAGGACCACTGCACTCAAGAGCACACTGCAAACACAACACCTGCACGAGGACCACTGCACTCAAGTGCACACTGCAAACACAACACCTGCATGAGGACCACTGCGCTAAAGTGCACACTGCAAACACAACACCTGCATGAGGACCACTGCACTCAAGAGCACACTGCAAACACAACACCTGCATGAGGACCACTGCTCTCAAGAGCACACTGCAAACACAACACCTGCACGAGGACCACTGCGCTAAAGTGCACACTGCAAACACAACACCTGCACGAGGACCACTGCACTCAAGTGCACACTGCAAAAACAACACCTGCACGAGGACCACTGCGCTCAAGTGCACACTGCAAACACAACACCTGCATGAGGACCACTGCGCTCAAGTGCACACTGCAAACACAACACCTGCATGAGGACCACTGCACTCAAGTGCAGACTGCAAACACAACACCTGCACGAGGACCACTGCACTCAAGTGCACACTGCAAAAACAACACCTGCACGAGGACCACTGCGCTCAAGTGCACACTGCAAAAAAACACCTGCACGAGGACCACTGCGCTCAAGTGCACACTGCAAACACAACACCTGCATGAGGACCACTGCACTCAAGTGCACACTGCAAACACAACACCTGCATGAGGACCACTGCACTCAAGTGCAGACTGCAAACACAACACCTGCATGAGGACCACTGCACTCAAGAGCACACTGCAAACACAACACCTGCATAAGGACCACTGCACTCAAGTGCACACTGCAAACACAACACCTGCACGAGGACCACTGCACTCAAGTGCACACTGCAAACACAACACCTGCACGAGGACCACTGCGCTAAAGTGCACACTGCAAACACAACACCTGCACGAGGACCACTGCACTCAAGTGCACACTGCAAAAACAACACCTGCACGAGGACCACTGCGCTCAAGTGCACACTGCAAACACAACACCTGCATGAGGACCACTGCACTCAAGTGCACACTGCAAACACAACACCTGCATGAGGACCACTGCACTCAAGTGCACACTGCAAACACAACACCTGCATGAGGACCACTGCACTCAAGTGCACACTGCAAACACAACACCTGCATGAGGACCACTGCACTCAAGGGCACACTGCAAACACAACACCTGCATGAGGACCACTGCACTCAAGTGCACACTGCAAACACAACACCTGCACGAGGACCACTGCACTCAAGGGCACACTGCAAACACAACACCTGCATGAGGACCACTGCACTCAAGTGCACACTGCAAACACAACACCTGCACGAGGACCACTGCACTCAAGGGCACACTGCAAACACAACACCTGCATGAGGACCACTGCACTCAAGTGCACACTGCAAACACAACACCTGCACGAGGACCACTGCACTCAAGGGCACACTGCAAACACAACACCTGCATGAGGACCACTGCACTCAAGTGCACACTGCAAACACAACACCTGCATGAGGACCACTGCACTCAAGTGCACACTGCAAACACAACACCTGCATGAGGACCACTGCACTCAAGTGCACAGTGCAAACACAACACCTGCACGAGGACCACTGCACTCAAGTGCACACTGCAAACACAACACCTGCATGAGGACCACTGCACTCAAGTGCACACTGCAAACACAACACCTGCATGAGGACCACTGCACTCAAGTGCACACTGCAAACACAACACCTGCATGAGGACCACTGCACTCAAGTGCACACTGCAAACACAACACCTGCATGAGGACCACTGCACTCAAGTGCACAGTGCAAACATAACACCTGCATGAGGACCACTGCACTCAAGTGCACACTGCAAACACAACACCTGCATGAGGACCACTGCACTCAAGAGCACACTGCAAACACAACACCTGCATGAGGACCACTGCACTCAAGTGCACAGTGCAAACACAACACCTGCATGAGGACCACTGCACTCAAGTGCACACTGCAAACACAACACCTGCATGAGGACCACTGCACTCAAGTGCACAGTGCAAACACAACACCTGCATGAGGACCACTGCACTCAAGTGCACACTGCAAACACAACACCTGCATGAGGACCACTGCACTCAAGAGCACACTGCAAACACAACACCTGCATGAGGACCACTGCACTCAAGTGCACAGTGCAAACACAACACCTGCATGAGGACCACTGCACTAAAGTGCACACTGCAAAAACAACACCTGCACGAGGACCACTGCGCTCAAGTGCACACTGCAAACACAACACCTGCATGAGGACCACTGCACTCAAGTGCACACTGCAAACACAACACCTGCATGAGGACCACTGCACTCAAGTGCACACTGCAAACACAACACCTGCACGAGGACCACTGCACTAAAGTGCACACTGCAAAAACAACACCTGCACGAGGACCACTGCGCTCAAGTGCACACTGCAAACACAACACCTGCATGAGGACCACTGCACTCAAGTGCAGACTGCAAACACAACACCTGCATGAGGACCACTGCACTCAAGTGCACACTGCAAACACAACACCTGCACGCTGACCACTGCGCTAAAGTGCACACTGCAAACACAACACCTGCACGAGGACCACTGCACTCAAGTGCACACTGCAAAAACAACACCTGCACGAGGACCACTGCACTCAAGTGCACACTGCAAACACAACACCTGCATGAGGACCACTGCGCTCAAGTGCACACTGCAAACACAACACCTGCATGAGGACCACTGCACTCAAGTGCACAGTGCAAACATAACACCTGCATGAGGACCACTGCACTCAAGTGCACACTGCAAACACAACACCTGCATGAGGACCACTGCACTCAAGAGCACACTGCAAACACAACACCTGCATGAGGACCACTGCACTCAAGTGCACAGTGCAAACACAACACCTGCATGAGGACCACTGCACTCAAGTGCACACTGCAAACACAACACCTGCATGAGGACCACTGCACTCAAGTGCACAGTGCAAACACAACACCTGCATGAGGACCACTGCACTCAAGTGCACACTGCAAACACAACACCTGCATGAGGACCACTGCACTCAAGAGCACACTGCAAACACAACACCTGCATGAGGACCACTGCACTCAAGTGCACAGTGCAAACACAACACCTGCATGAGGACCACTGCACTAAAGTGCACACTGCAAAAACAACACCTGCACGAGGACCACTGCGCTCAAGTGCACACTGCAAACACAACACCTGCATGAGGACCACTGCACTCAAGTGCACACTGCAAACACAACACCTGCATGAGGACCACTGCACTCAAGTGCACACTGCAAACACAACACCTGCACGAGGACCACTGCACTAAAGTGCACACTGCAAAAACAACACCTGCACGAGGACCACTGCGCTCAAGTGCACACTGCAAACACAACACCTGCATGAGGACCACTGCACTCAAGTGCAGACTGCAAACACAACACCTGCATGAGGACCACTGCACTCAAGTGCACACTGCAAACACAACACCTGCACGCTGACCACTGCGCTAAAGTGCACACTGCAAACACAACACCTGCACGAGGACCACTGCACTCAAGTGCACACTGCAAAAACAACACCTGCACGAGGACCACTGCACTCAAGTGCACACTGCAAACACAACACCTGCATGAGGACCACTGCGCTCAAGTGCACACTGCAAACACAACACCTGCATGAGGACCACTGCACTCAAGTGCACACTACAAACACAACACCTGCATGAGGACCACTGCGCTCAAGTGCACACTGCAAACACAACACCTGCATGAGGACCACTGCACTCAAGTGTACACTGCAAACACAACACCTGCATGAGGACCACTGCGCTCAAGTGCACACTGCAAACACAACACCTGCATGAGGACCACTGCACTCAAGTGCACACTGCAAACACAACACCTGCATGAGGACCACTGCACTCAAGTGCACACTGCAAACACAACACCTGCATGAGGACCACTGCACTCAAGTGCACACTGCAAACACAACACCTGCATGAGGACCACTGCGCTCAAGTGCACACTGCAAACACAACACCTGCATGAGGACCACTGCACTCAAGGGCACACTGCAAACACAACACCTGCATGAGGACCACTGCACTCAAGTTTACACTGCAAACACAACACCTGCATGAGGACCACTGCACTCAAGGGCACACTGCAAACACAACACCTGCATGAGGACCACTGCGCTCAAGTGCACACTGCAAACACAACACCTGCATGAGGACCACTGCACTCAAGTGCACACTGCAAACACAACACCTGCATGAGGACCACTGCACTCAAGTGCACACTGCAAACACAACACCTGCATGAGGACCACTGCGCTCAAGAGCACACTGCAAACACAACACCTGCACGAGGACCACTGCACTCAAGTGCAGACTGCAAACACAACGCCTGCATGAGGACCACTGGACTCAAGTGCACACTGCAAACACAACACCTGCATGAGGACCACTGCGCTCAAGTGCACACTGCAAACACAACACCTGCATGAGGACCACTGCACTCAAGGGCACACTGCAAACACAACACCTGCACGAGGACCACTGCACTCAAGTGCACACTGCAAACACAACACCTGCACGAGGACCACTGCACTCAAGTGCAGACTGCAAACACAACACCTGCATGAGGACCACTGCACTCAAGTGCAGACTGCAAACACAACACCTGCATGAGGACCGCTGCGCTCAAGTGTACACGTCAAACACAACACCTGCATGATGACCACTGCACTCAAGTGCAGACTGCAAACACAACACCTGCATGAGGACCACTGCGCTCAAGTGTACACTGCAAACACAACACCTGCATGAGGACCACTGCACTCAAGTGCAGACTGCAAACACAACACCTGCACGAGGACCACTGCACTCAAGTGCACACTGCAAACACAACACCTGGATGAGGACCACTGCACTCAAGTGCACACTGCAAACACAACACCTGCACGAGGACCACTGCACTCAAGTGCACACTGCAAACACAACACCTGCATGAGGACCACTGCACTCAAGTGCACACTGCAAACACAACACCTGCATGAGGACCACTGCACTCAAGTGCACACTGCAAACACAACACCTGCACGAGGACCACTGCACTCAAGTGCACACTGCAAACACAACACCTGCATGAGGACCACTGCACTCAAGTGCACACTGCAAACACAACACCTGCATGAGGACAACTGCACTCAAGAGCACACTGCAAACACAACACCTGCATGAGGACCACTGCACTCAAGTGCACACTGCAAACACAACACCTGCATTAGGACAACTGCACTCAAGGGCACACTGCAAACACAACGCCTGCATGAGGACCACTGGACTCAAGAGCACACTGCAAACACAAACCTGCATGAGGACCACTGCACTCAAGTGCACACTGCAAACACAACACCTGCATGAGGACCACTGCACTCAAGTGCACACTGCAAACACAACACCTGCATGAGGACCACTGCACTCAAGTGCACACTGCAAACACAACACCTGCATGAGGACCACTGCACTCAAGTGCACACTGCAAACACAACGCCTGCATGAGGACCACTGCACTCAAGTGCACACTGCAAACACAACGCCTGCATGAGGACCACTGGACTCAAGAGCACACTGCAAACACAAACCTGGATGAGGACCACTGCACTCAAGTGCACACTGCAAACACAACACCTGCATGAGGACCACTGCACTCAAGTGTACACTGCAAACACAACACCTGCATGAGGACCACTGCACTCAAGTGCACACTGCAAACACAACACCTGCATGAGGACCACTGCACTCAAGTGCACACTGCAAACACAACACCTGCATGAGGACCACTGCACTCAAGGGCACACTGCAAACACAACACCTGCATGAGGACCACTGCACTCAAGTGCACACTGCAAACACAACACCTGCATGAGGACCACTGCACTCAAGTGCACACTGCAAACACAACACCTGCACGAGGACCACTGCACTCAAGTGCACACTGCAAACACAACACCTGCATGAGGTCCACTGCACTCAAGTGCACACTGCAAACACAACACCTGCACGAGGACCACTGCACTCAAGTGCACACTGCAAACACAACACCTGCATGAGGACCACTGCACTCAAGTGCACATTGCAAACACAACACCTGCATGAGGTCCACTGCACTCAAGTGCACACTGCAAACACAACACCTGCACGAGGACCACTGCACTCAAGTGCACACTGCAAACACAACACCTGCACACTGCAAACACAACACCTGCATGAGGACAACTGCACTCAAGAGCACACTGCAAACACAACACCTGCATGAGGACCACTGCACTCAAGTGCACACTGCAAACACAACACCTGCACGAGGACCACTGCACTCAAGTGCACACTGCAAACACAACACCTGCAGGAGGTCCACTGCACTCAAGTGCACACTGCAAACACAACACCTGCACGAGGACCACTGCACTCAAGTGCACACTGCAAACACAACACCTGCATGAGGACCACTGCACTCAAGTGCAGACTGCAAACACAACACCTGCATGAGGTCCACTGCACTCAAGTGCACACTGCAAACACAACACCTGCACGAGGACCACTGCACTCAAGTGCACACTGCAAACACAACACCTGCATGAGGACCACTGCACTCAAGTGCACACTGCAAACACAACACCTGCATGAGGTCCACTGCACTCAAGTGCACACTGCAAACACAACACCTGCACGAGGACCACTGCACTCAAGTGCACACTGCAAACACAACACCTGCACACTGCAAACACAACACCTGCATGAGGACAACTGCACTCAAGAGCACACTGCAAACACAACGCCTGCATGAGGACCACTGCACTCAAGTGCACTCTGCAAACACAACACCTGCACGAGGACCACTGCGCTCAAGTGTACACTGCAAACACAACACCTGCATGAGGACCACCACACTCAAGTGTCAAGTGCAACTTTTACATTTTAAATTTACCAACGCAATAACCAATGAGAACAATGAACTGCAATACTGTCCTTTTGACACAAGATGGCCGACCACAAATCATTCAGGGCAAAGGCTTTTTAATTACTTTGATTGGATGTGAACTTTAACAAAAAATAGTTTGCTCACTCAGTTTCTGTTTGTAAACTTGACTTCACTAAAAAAAAATGTTTTGACTCTAACCAATAATGTTTTTTTATCTCACCCCTTTAAAATACACTTTCATTCCAGGGTTATTATAGTTAACTAAAAAGAAAAAAAAATAGAAACAAAAACATTTTTGATTCCTGAAATAAAATAAACATTAAATGAAATAAAATAAATAACAATATATCAACTTTTTTTTAACTAGTTGGCAAAATCTCTCATTTTCAGTGAGTTTAATTTGATGTACTAAAACAATTTTAAAACTGAAATACAGAATTATTAAAAACTATACATATTTTTAAAAGAATACTAAGAAATGACAAAAATACAGAACTAAATTACTAAAACTTTAACTAAAATTACAATAAAAAAGGAAAGTATAAAAAATAGAAACTAATTCAAAGTAATAATAAAACTATGTAGTATCTCGATGATACTAATAAAACACTTTCATTGTTGATTTTTTGTTTGTTTTTTGTTTCACTAGTAACTTCTTCTTGTAAATACTCACTGTAAACGCTTCATTGTAAACCGGGTTATTTCCCCTCTTGACTGCTGTTTTCATCTTATTATTGTGATATTTCTTCGGAAGCAAATGGACCATTACATACCTGTTTGTTCAGAAAGAAATGACATTTCTTATCAGACCAACTGCACTGTATATAAGCAAAATATGTTACAGCAACGATGTTCTCCTAACATTTTGCAAACATGTATTGTAATAAACAGCAAACTATCAAAACAACTTACGGATGACATTTCCTCCTCATATCTCCAAACATCAGATTTCTGCAGGCTTTGATAGTTATCTCCAAACAGGACGTCCTGTTGTCGTACCCAAAGGCAACCTCTATTTCTCCAGTCACACTGTTTTCAAAGAACCCACAATCCATTCCTGTGCTGCTGTTGCTGTCCTGTACAAAACAAGTCTTGGAATGAATTCATATTTCATTTAAATTCTCTTCATATATATATAAATATACAATTTTCAACATAAGCCTATAATCTATTAAACGTTGATGCCATAAAAGGCTATCTTGCAAATGTGTGGAGACTACAGGGGATTTTTACTGAAAGCTCTGCACTTGTTATCAGATTAAACAGAAAACTGATAGTGTGAATACACACCCTGTGCTCATCGCTGTATGCGGATGTAAATGAACCATCGTCATCTGTCAGGTAAACCGTGCTTGATGATGCGTACTGCTCCGAGGATTTGGTGTTCTGGGAAAGATCGGGAAGACTGGGAGCTTTGCACAGCTGTGAGGGAACAAAATCGATTAAGAGTCACACTAATGCCAAACATCTAGTCATGGTCATTAGATGTCAAATTAATATATATATATATATATATATATATATATATATATATATATATATATATATATATAAAGTCGCTGTGGCTTTACACATGAAGTTACGCTGATTTTCTTCTTCTTCTTTTTTTCACCCGTTACATCTGTTAGTTACATTTATCTCAAAATCTTCACACACATTCCCACTGCAGGGTTGCATTTTCTTTAGAAACATGCTTGTGCATACACACACACAATAATTTAAAATGAAAATAAAATGACAAATTAAATAAAAGTCTACTACCATTCAAAAGTTTGGAATAAGAATTTGTTTTTTTAAACAAATTCTGTTCTTTCACTCTTTCTATTCATCCAAAAATTCTAGGAAAGTTTCTACAAAAGTATTAAGAAGCTAAATAGTTCTGTACATTTGAAAACAGTAAGAACTATTATTAGTAATTGAACACCAAAGGATTTCTGGAGGATCATGTGACACTGAAGACTGGAGTAATGCTGAAAATGCAGCTTTGATCACAGGAGTAAAATACATTATAGAATACTTAACACATTTTGATCAAACAAATGCAGCCTTGATAAGAGACTTCTTTCAAAAGTTCAAAGGTTTCGTTCAATTTATTTTACAACCAAGAATGGCATTGCACAGCTCTGCCCTACTTAAACCTGACTGGCAGGAAGTCCACGGCGTTTATCAAGAACTTTATAGAAACGAGTTGCTTAGTAGATCTTAATTTAGATCTTCATTCAGAGGCCAGAGGAGAACTGGCTCATTGCTGTTGATGACTTGACATCGATTCAATTGAATTAACCCTCTGGGGTTCTTCGGGTCAAAAATGACCCGAAGCGTTTAAATAAAAAAAATGTTTAAAATCGTAGCTTCATCGGAATGGTCCAAAACTTGGTGACTTTATTGGTACTTGGTATATGAACACCCAAAAAAATTGGGGACAGGATTTGAAAAGTCTGGTGGTCGTAAAAAAAAATAGTCACACTCAGGGTCTTCGGGTCTAAAATGACCCGCATAGGAAATGAATGGGAAATTGGCAAAAAATATGAAAATACAGAGTTTTTTTGTGCGTACAATCTACCAAAACAGCCAGGATGCAGAAAAAAAGCACACAACAGTGAAGGGGTGAATCTCTTAAAACAATGGGTGACAAAATGCTTTCCATTTGTTCTCTTTATAATGCAGTGTTCAGGTTTGACTGTATTATAAAGTAAAACTGCCACTTCAAATTACCATTTGAACCAACCAAACAATAAATAATTTTTTTTTTTTTTTTTTTTTTTAATGACAAAAATAGTCTTTGAGAATCTGAAATCAACAACCTAAAAAAATTAAACAATATGTGAAAAAATCACTAGAGTGTTTCTACCATAGGTTTCTACAGAGAGCTGTAAATCCACTAGTGGTAAAAATGTGCTATTGCGTGATAAAAAATGCTCAGTGTGTCCACCAGATGGCTCCGATCTCATTTCAAAAATTGCTTTCATGAGGCCTAGACTTGACTCTAAAATGAAATACAGTTTCAATAATTTTTTTATTTTATTATATATATATATATATATATATAACAATTTTATTATTTTATTATATATACATATATATATATTCTATTATATTCAATGGGAAAAAATGGGTCTTAATTATTGCATAAATATTAATTATAAATCATAAAATTATCTCAAAACACCAAAAAAGAAAAGAAAAAATATTATTGAACAAAAATATATTTCATTGATTTTACTCAAATAAAATGTATCTTAATGCCGCCCTCCGGGTCATTTTTGACCCGAAGGTCCTGAGTGTGAGTCATAAATGAAGAACCCCCCAAAAAAACAGTTTATGAAAGCGTCCATCTCTTACATTGCAGGCTCTGTTGAGGGCGCTCTCTGAAAGACTCTTGCGTCTCGAGTTCATGCGCCCGTAATCCACAGTCAGCTGACCGGCTTCCACGCTCAAATCATTCTGAGACTTGGAGAGCTCTGGCATCAGGAAAAGACAAACACATCTGGATCAGGCAGTTGTAGACACTTTGGGGGATCTCGGAGTTATTACAATGTTATTACAATGAAAAGGTTCTATAGTTTTAGTTTTGTTCTCTTACTTTTTATGTGAGCACTGACAGAAATCATAAGGTTCTCCATAGATTTAGTAAACGCCTTTGATATTTTGGGATCCTATATGGCAAGTGCACACAAGCAAATTATAAGGTGATGAAGAAACAAAGAAAAAAAAAACCCCACAATAATACATTTAATTTTTTTCACCTCTGAATTGTTAAATGATGGGACTTCTTTAAAGGGAGGAGGAGTTGGAGGCACGACTGCAATGAAGCTTAAACCAAATAACAAAACACATTAAAATGACTCATTTTAAATTTTTTTAAATAATTGTCATGAAGTGAAGGTGGTTATTATAATGTTCTCCAACCTGAGCCGTTGATAAGACTGTAACAGTTTGTCTCCGGTGGTCTCGTGACTGTTTCCTGAAAACACAAAAAGACAGCATTCATGTATTAATATTGACATTTGACTGGGATGGTACTAAGGTTATTTCAACACAAATCATCATGCACAAATAGTACACACGTAGTGTTGTGAACGTAGATTGCTAGTATATATAGTACATCAGGAATTCCCACGTTTACCTCATGTACAAGTCTTGAAATATTAAGTTAATATTTAAATAATTTAACAAAACATTTATATGTTCACAGTTCTCTGATGCCGGTTAATACAATATATTATCTTTTTTTTTTAGTCTAATTGATTTACTTTAATAGTTTTTATTTTTAAATTATTTTATTATGATTGGATTCATTATTAGCTTTTCATCGACTGACAAACCCCTGCAGTTTCCTCAAAAACCTCACAAGCCCCAATTGAGGAAATAATATTATGTGTAAAATAGGCATAAATGTAAAGTTAGCAGGTATTTATCACAATATCATGACCCTCGTGACAAATAAGTCATATGACATTACAGTGAGCCGTGAAAAAGTGTTCAGTGCTGATGTATTTCATTGTAAATTCAGTGTAAATTTAGTTTGTTCAACCCAATTATCATCAGTAATTGTTCCTCTTAGCTAATTAAAGCAGACAAACCTTTGGCATCCGTAAATTTCTTTGCTTGCTGCTCCAGAAACCATTCGCCAGATTTGATCTTAAATTCCCTGGGGGGAAAAAATAAATAATAATTATAAAAAAAAAAAACTACTTATATTTACTCATTTATCCTTATGTCATCTATCTAAAGCTTTGGTAAAACCAATGGATGATGATGATGTGACGTATATCCTCAGCTAGAAACACTTATATGGCCCATTCAAGTATGTGTCGGACCGTAAACAAACCTTTCGCTTCTACAACGCTAAACCTAAAAGCTATGAGCAAATACAGATGGCAGAGCATTAAATAATATGACTTCAAAAAACGAAAAGGGTACCTAGGCCAACATAGAAAATATGATTCATCGATATTTTTGTATGTTTTAGATCACAATATACAGTATACAGGTCCTTCTCCAAAAATTAGCATATTGTGATAAAGTTCATTATTTTCCATAATGTAATGATAAAAATTAAACTTTCATATATTTTAGATTCATTGCACACCAACTGAAATATTTCAGGTCTTTTATTGTTTTAATACTGATTATTTTGGCATACAGCTCATGAAAACCCAAAATTCCTGTCTCAAAAAATTAGCATAACATGAAAAGGGTCTCTAAACGAGCTAATAACCTAATCATCTGAATCAACTAATTAACTCTAAACACCTGCAAAAGATTCCTGAGGCTTTTAAAAACTCCCAGCCTGTTTCATTACTCAAAACCGCAATCATGGGTAAGACTGCCGACCTGACTGCTGTCCAGAAGGCCATCATTGACACCCCCAAGCAAGAGGGTAAGACAGAAAGAAATTTCTGAACAAATAGGCTGTTCCCAGAGTGCTGTATCAAGGCACCTCAGTGGGAAGTCTGTGGGAAGGAAAAAGTGTGGCAAAAAACGCTGCACAACGAGAAGAGGTGACCGGACCCTGAGGAAGATTGTGGAGAAGGACCGATTCCAGACCTTGGGGGACCTGCGAAAGCAGTGGACTGAGTCTGGAGTAGAAACATCCAGAGCCACCTGGCACCTGCTCACAGTGCCAAAACCACTGGTAAATGGTTTACTGACCATGGTATTACTGTGCTCAATTGGCCTGCCAGCTCTCCTGACCTGAACCCCATAGAGAATCTGTGAGATATTGTGAAGAGAAAGTTGAGAGACGCAAGACCCAACACTCTGGATGAGCTTAAGGCCGCTATCGAAGCATCCTGGGCCTCCATAACACCTCAGCAGTGCCACAGGCTGATTGCCTCCATGCCACGCCGCATTGAAGCAGTCATTTCTGCAAAAGGATTCCCGACCAAGTATTGACTATTTAGTGAATAACTGAACATAATTATTTGAAGGTTGACTTTTTTTTTTTTGTATTAAAAACACTTCTTTTATTGGTCGGATGAAATATGAAAATTTTTTGAGACAGGAATTTTGGGTTTTCATGAGCTGTATGTCAAAATCATCAGTATTAAAACAATAAAAGACCTGAAATATTTCAGTTGGTGTGCAATGAATCTAAAATATATGAAAGTTTAATTTTTATCATTACATTATGGAAAATAATGACCTTTATCACAATATGCTAATTTTTTTAGAAGGACCTGTATATATACACGTCTTAGACTCAGCGGTGTCAGCTCTAAACATATATGATTTATATATATATATATATATATATATATATATATATATATATATATATCATCATACCTTTAGCCTACTCTGTAGAGCTGCATTTTTGTAGTTCAGGAAGTTCGTAGGTCAATGTGTCAAATGTGCCAAATGTGATTGGAAACAGAATGTCCTTGACTAAATTGTTGCTATAGTAGCCTAATATTGAAGCTAGAAAGCCTATGCACTTGGCAAATGTGATTTTTTAAGTCCCCTCCCTTAAATCCCCATTATAGTCAGGTTTAGGATTAGATGTGGGGTGGCGTTAGGCAATCAGCTAGCGGCTTTAACAACGGGAGTAGTACCGCAATTTGTCAGGGAGTCCAAATTAGGGACATCTTAGATTCGAATTAGATTCAAAGGTGTTATATAAACCCATGAGGGATGTATTGTTTTTACCTGAATGCATGACACATTGTGCACTTCCACTCTCTAGCGGACCGGACGACCCGGCAGCGGTTACAGATGCGGTGACTGCATCCACAGCACACCGAACCACAGTCCCAGAACTTCCCCAGAGGTCGCTGACATCTCGCACACGATCTCTGACCATACGGACGAGTAATGGTCTTGGCACCCTGACGATAGATACCTTGAAGTTCTACCTTTAGCCTCCTAAAAAAATAGTTTCAAATGTTATTTTTTCATAGTTTTTGCACACCAACAAAATAAATACAAGAACGTTCCAGGAACCCAGACGGCAACATAGTGTCGGCCCAGATCCGGCCCACACGCGTGGGATCCACATGAACCAGATGTGGCCCGGATCTGGGCCGACACTATGTTGCCGTCTGGGTCCATAGGGAAGAATTAGAACCATTTTCGGACCTGATTCTGTCTGCTTCGATGGTTCGAAGTGCTTTGTCTCTCTGAAGAACCTCCAGGACTCGTTCTCTCTCCAGAGCCTGGAACAATCCGAGATCCATAGGGCAGAGCTGATAGTGTCGGTTTTCCCAGTTTTCCTCTCTGAGTTTCATTTCAGTCCACAGTTCAGTTCAGTTCAGAAGACGCCACTCTACTTAGATTCTGAAAAAAATGTTCAATGACCAAAATGTTGTGGTGTTTTTATTTGGCTTTCCATCGATTAACATGTTTAATAAATATAAAATAATGTGTTCAATTTAGTACAATACATTTTATTTAAAACAAATGTTTAAAAAGGCTTATTTTTGTGAGTTCAGTCAGTGCAGCCCAAGCTGCTACTAGCCCATTCTCATGAGAAAACGTAACAATTTGACTAGTTGGCGACATACAGTGAAAAAAAACAAAAAAACATGGACTATTCCTAAACCTAACGCTCAGTGGGGCGTACCAATACAGGCAGCACAAAATAAATGTAAAAACAGTTTGACTGTGCGAAACACACCATCGTAAAGACGCTCCATATGGTCCGCTATTTCCCTATAGCGGCTAATGAATCAGAAATCTTGCTAATAACATAGTTCTGCGTTGCAAAATAAGTTGGATAAGCGAGTTATGTTCAATGACATTAGTTTATTTCAACAAACAGCAGGATTATATTGACTAAAGCCACTTTTTGTAATATTTATTCAAGATAACACTTTATTTCGATTGCCCACTTTAGACATTCAACTAACTAAGTAGCTTTGCCACTACATGTTAACTAACTGTCATTAGAGTATTAGTAGACCGTCTGCTTAATACACACTTTATTTTGATGGTCCGCCAACACACATTCTACTGACTCTAAGTAACTATGCAACAACATGTCAACTTATTCTACTAACCCAAACACTAACCTAACTGTCTACTACAGTCTACTGTCTACTAACATCTACTGTCTACTACAGTCTACTGTCTACTAATGTCTACTGTCTACTACAGTCTACTGTCTACTACAGTCTACTGTCTACTAATGTCTACTGTCTACTACAGTCTACTGTCTACTAATGTCTACTGTCTACTACAGTCTACTGTCTACTAATGTCTACTGTCTACTACAGTCTACTGTCTACTAATGTCTAATGTCTACTACAGTCTACTGTCTACTACAGTCTACTGTCTACTACTGTCTAGTGTCTACTACAGTCTACTGTCTACTAACGTCTACTGTCTACTAATGTCTACTACAGTCTACTGTCTACTAACGGCTACTAACGTCTACTGAGTGTCTACTAATGTCTACTACAGTCTACTAATGTCTACTAACGTCTACTGTCTACTAATGTCTACTACAGTCTACTGTCTACTAACGGCTACTAACGTCTACTGTCTACTACAGTCTACTGTCTACTAATGTCTACTAACGTCTACTGTCTACTAATGTCTACTAACATCTACTGTCTACTAATGTCTACTACAGTCTACTGTCTACTAATGTCTACTAACGTCTACTGTCTACTAATGTCTACTAACATCTACTGTCTACTAATGTCTACTGTCTACTAATGTCTACTACAGTCTACTGTCTACTAATGTCTACTAACGTCTACTGTCTACTAATGTCTACTAACATCTACTGTCTACTAATGTCTACTAACGTCTACTGTCTACCAATGTCTACTAACATCTACTGTCTACTAATGTCTACTGTCTACTAATGTCTACTACAGTCTACTGTCTACTAATGTCTACTAACGTCTACTGTCTACTACAGTCTACTAACGTCTACTGTCTACTAATGTCTACTAACGTCTACTGTCTACCAATGTCTACTACAGTCTACTGTCTACTAATGTCTACTAACGTCTACTGTCTACTACAGTCTACTGTCTACTAATGATTACTAACGTCTACTGTCTACTAATGTCTACTACAGTCTGCTGTCTACTAATGTCTACTAACGTCTACTAATAATGTCTACTGTCTACTACAGTCTACTGTCTACTAACGTCTACTGTCTACTAATGTCTACTACAGTCTACTGTCTACTAATGTCTACTACAGTCTACTGTCTACTAACGGCTACTGTCTACTAATGTCTACTACAGTCTACTGTCTACTAATGTCTACTGTCTACTAACGGCTACTGTCTACTAATGTCTACTACAGTCTACTGTGTACTAACGGCTACTGTCTACTAATGTCTACTACAGTCTACTGTTTACTAATGTCTACTACAGTCTACTGTCTACTAACGTCTACTGTCTACTACAGTCTACTGTCTACTAATGTCTACTATAGTGTACTGTCTACTAATGTCTACTACAGTCTACTGTCTACTAATGTCTACCACAGTCTACTGTCTACTAACGTCTACTGTCTATTAATGTCTACTACAGTCTACTGTCTACTAACGTCTACTGTCTACTAATGTCTACTATAGTCTACTGTCTACTAATGTCTACTACAGTCTACTGTCTACTAAAGTCTATTACAGTCTACTGTCTACTAACGTCTACTGTCTATTAATGTCTACTACAGTCTACTGTCTATTAATGTCTACTACAGTCTACTGTCTACTAATGTCTACCACAGTCTACTGTCTACTAACGTCTACTGTCTATTAATGTCTACTACAGTCTACTGTCTACTAACGTCTACTGTCTACTAATGTCTACTATAGTCTACTGTCTACTAATGTCTACTACAGTCTACTGTCTACTAAAGTCTATTACAGTCTACTGTCTACTAACGTCTACTGTCTATTAATGTCTACTACAGTCTACTGTCTATTAATGTCTACTACAGTCTACTGTCTACTAATGTCTACCACAGTCTACTGTCTACTAACGTCTACTGTCTATTAATGTCTACTACAGTCTACTGTCTACTAACGTCTACTGTCTACTAATGTCTACTATAGTCTACTGTCTACTAATGTCTACTACAGTCTACTGTCTACTAATGTCTACTACAGTCTACTGTCTACTAAAGTCTATTACAGTCTACTGTCTACTAACGTCTACTGTCTATTAATGTCTACTACAGTCTACTGTCTATTAATGTCTACTACAGTCTACTGTCTACTAACGTCTACTGTCTACTAATGTCTACTATAGTCTACTGTCTACTAATGTCTACTATAGTCTACTGTCTACTAATGTCTACTACAGTCTACTGTCTACTAAAGTCTATTACAGTCTACTGTCTACTAACGTCTACTGTCTATTAATGTCTACTACAGTCTACTGTCTATTAATGTCTACTACAGTCTACTGTCTACTAATGTCTACCACAGTCTACTGTCTACTAACGTCTACTGTCTATTAATGTCTACTACAGTCTACTGTCTACTAACGTCTACTGTCTACTAATGTCTACTATAGTCTACTGTCTACTAATGTCTACTACAGTCTACTGTCTACTAAAGTCTATTACAGTCTACTGTCTACTAACGTCTACTGTCTATTAATGTCTACTACAGTCTACTGTCTATTAATGTCTACTACAGTCTACTGTCTACTAATGTCTACCACAGTCTACTGTCTACTAACGTCTACTGTCTATTAATGTCTACTACAGTCTACTGTCTACTAACGTCTACTGTCTACTAATGTCTACTATAGTCTACTGTCTACTAATGTCTACTACAGTCTACTGTCTACTAATGTCTACTACAGTCTACTGTCTACTAACGTCTGCTGTCTATTAATGTCGACTACAGTCTACTGTCTATTAATGTCTACTACAGTCTACTGTGTACTAATGTCTACTGTCTACTAATGTCTACTACAGTCTACTGTCTATTAATGTCTACTACAGTCTACTGTCTACTAATGTCTACTGTCTATTAATGTCTACTACAGTCTACTGTCTACTAATGTCTACTATAGTCTACTAATGTCTACTACAGTCTACTGTCTACTAATGTCTACTACAGTCTACTGTCTACTAATGTCTACCACAGTCTACTGTCTACTAACGTCTACTGTCTATTAATGTCTACTACAGTCTACTACAGTCTACTGTCTACTAACGTCTACTGTCTACTAATGTCTACTATAGTCTACTGTCTACTAATGTCTACTACAGTCTACTACAGTCTACTGTCTACTAACGTCTACTGTCTACTAATGTCTACTATAGTCTACTGTCTACTAATGTCTACTACAGTCTACTGTCTACTAATGTCTACTACAGTCTACTGTCTACTAATGTCTACTACAGTCTACTGTCTACTAATGTCTACTACAGTCTACTGTCTACTAACGTCTACTGTCTACTAATGTCTACTATAGTCTACTGTCTACTAATGTCTACTACAGTCTACTGTCTACTAATGTCTACTATAGTCTACTGTCTACTAATGTCTACTACAGTCTACTGTCTACTAATGTCTACTACAGTCTACTGTCTACTAACGTCTACTGTCTATTAATGTCTACTACAGTCTACTGTCTATTAATGTCTACTACAGTCTACTGTCTACTAATGTCTACTACAGTCTACTGTCTATTAATGTCTACTACAGTCTACTGTCTACTAATGTCTACTACAGTCTACTGTCTACTAATGTCTACCACAGTCTACTGTCTACTAACGTCTACTGTCTATTAATGTCTACTACAGTCTACTACTGTCTACTGTCTACTAACGTCTACTGTCTACTAATGTCTACTATAGTCTACTGTCTACTAATGTCTACTACAGTCTACTGTTTACTAATGTCTACTACAGTCTACTGTCTACTAATGTCTACTGTCTACTAATGTCTATTATAGTCTACTGTCTAATGTCTACTACTGTCTACTGTCTACTAACGTCTACTGTCTACTAATGTCTACTATAGTCTACTGTCTACTAATGTCTACTACTGTCTACTATCTACTAACGTCTACTGTCTATTAATGTCTATTACAGTCTACTGTCTATTAATGTCTACTACAGTCTACTGTGTACTAATGTCTACTGTCTACTAATGTCTACTACAGTCTACTGTCTACTAATGTCTACTACAGTCTACTGTCTACTAATGTCTACCACAGTCTACTGTCTACTAACGTCTACTGTCTATTAATGTCTACTACAGTCTACTGTCTACTAACGTCTACTGTCTACTAATGTCTACTATAGTCTACTGTCTACTAATGTCTACTATAGTCTACTGTCTACTAATGTCTACTACAGTCTACTGTGTACTAATGTCTACTGTCTACTAATGTCTACTACAGTCTACTGTCTATTAATGCCTACTACAGTCTACTGTCTACTAACGTCTACTGTCTATTAATGTCTGCTACAGTCTACTGTCTACTAATGTCTACTGTCTACTAATGTCTACTACAGTCTACTAATGTCTACTACAGTCTACTGTCTACTAATGTCTACTACAGTCTACTGTCTACTAACGTCTACTGTCTACTAATGTCTACTACAGTCTACTAACAGTCTACAGTCTACTACGGTCTGTTAATAGTATACTACACTCTTTGTTTACTAATGTTTACTAATGTCTACTAATGGTCTACTACAGTCTACTAATGGTCTACTAATGGTCTACTACAGTCTACTAATGGTCAAGTACAATCTACTAATGTCTACTGCGGTCACGTCTACTACAGTCTACTAATGTTTTGCTAACATTCCCATTAGGTTATAAAAACGTAACTTCTGAATGTTCTCAAAACATTCAAAACGTCCAGTTTTTTTAAAGCCGTTTTTCTTGATTAGGCTATGATAACATGAAGGAAACATTCCATTTAATCATTTTGCAAACATTATGGGATACTTAATATTTATAAATAATACTTATAAAAAAAAATGTTAGACGAACTAAAACTTTTCAGAAAAAAACTCTTCCATGAATGTTGTATAAATAATGTTTTTGTACTAATATTTGAGAATATAATTAAAGACCAGATAAACTTTGAATGAACATTCATGTTCCTGGAAGAATGTTTGTTTATAACTTTAAACTTTCCCTGTTAGCTGGATTGATTAAAAATATAGATTTTTTTTTCTAATTAATCCTTGTATCAATGAAATGGTAATCGATTATCAGCCCTAGTTAAAAACACGCCAGATAACAAAACCCAAAGCCAAATCAAAAAGCAAATTTTTGAAATGATGTCATTCTGACAATGTGTGGGACGACCCATCAGCGATGGAACTGAGTCAGAAGACCCTACACAGAATTCAGAGGAGTGTGGGAAGAGTCTGCTGTCATTTCTCTTTATGAGCTCATTTACGTGAAGTCACTTCGTTGTACTCATATCTGGTGAACTGCGCTTGTCATGCGATGGATGGGGTTATGCGGGAACCCACAATGTCTGGCCTGGACGGCTGAACGTGAAGGGCTTCTGCTGCGAGAGCCACTTCCAGGAATTGGTTTGTGTAACAAAAGCCACAAGTATCTATTCTATGCATAGTTGTGAGAAGAGTGGACAACCTGGTTCACACAGATTGAATGTACTTTAGTTTGGCGTCCATTTTTTTTTAATTGCCAAACACTAAACAAACAAAACTAAACTGATGTACAGTGAATGGTCCAATTCGTTCAACTGAGCTATGCATAGGCTAGGCTAGGCTTTTTTGTTGAAAATTAAGGACCCCCAAATTGTTCTTACTGTTATTATAGTATTACAATCAATTAACCTCATGCTTTTCTAAATAATCTTTAAGCAGAATGAAATATTAATGTTGTCAAATTTGGTAAAATCATTGTTTTGAGCATATTCCACATTTAAGTCTTTGGACACATTAACATTTGCAGCCCTAAAAATACATCGTCTTCATGGCAAGCTCAAAGTACTAAGACAGCAATACTATTTAGATTTTACAAAATTAAAATGTTTATTAAAATCCATGAACTTCTCTAAAACACTTCATAGCTTGCTGCTAACATACGTTATAAACTTTACTCGACCTATATTTTGCAGCTCTGATAAATCTGCTTGTAATAATAATCGTTACATTGATGTGTCATGATGAAATATTGAATGCAAGCTTACCCTCCAGCTGGTGAGATGTGACAGCTCAAAGATCTGCAATCTCAACTCTCTATATAAAGACTCAACGCTGGTCGTCATTCTCCACTTCCTTCCTGTTCACACGATGATGACACAGGTCTGTGAAACTGGAATAAACAGGCACGACAGTATCTTCATTTCAAGACTGCTGTGCAAGGCCACAATTTGATTCACATCTTAAAGAGATAGTTTGAAGCTGCACATGTATGCAATCAGTTAAATAATAAACCAGATTATGATTACGGAAGATTACGGCATTTCATTTAGTATACTTCTAACATGCTTTTTTGCCTTGATGATCTTAATCAGTTCCATTTTTGATTTTGACCTACCAGCCTTTACATACAAACATGAAGGTCTGCAGGGGTCCTCTCTGTGATATCATTTCCTGTGGTTTTCTTTTCACTTGACAGCAAAAAAAGTTTCCTGCTTGTTCATAACTTCTCATTTTGATTGTGACGTTTGATTTTTGGTTTCAAATATTAAAGTCCCCCTCTGGTAAAAAAAAATCACGTTTTTAATGTTGTCTATATGTCTATGTGGTGTTTTTAATAGGCTTTAAGACAAACCATGTGCAAATTCATCAGTCAACACCATTGCTGAGTATTTTCTCTTTAAAACTGCAGTGATCCAAAGACAGTCTTAAAAACACGTTTGAAATGGCTGGTGTTTCTGACGTCACGAACAGCCATCTGTACCTCGAGGTTCAGGACCCGCTGCAGCAGAGGCGAGTAAGAGACTGAAATCGAGGCTTCTGTAAGCCTCCTTGGTATGCTGTTCTGAGTATAGGACATTGCCAGGCCTCCTCTCGCTTTGGAGAATTGTTATGTTGAGGTCTCTGTCTGCAGAGCTCCACCACACAATGGTGCTGAGTTGTCAGGCTTTTGTAGCCACTTTGGCCACTGCCTTTAGGAAGCGCAATGGGCCTCCTCCTTTTGCTATAGAGTTATTTTAGCCTCTGCTCTTTTTAAGCTTCACCGGCAAATGAGCTGATTAAGCTCCATCAAGCCTCCTCAGGAAGCTGTTTTCGGCTCTCTGGGCCACCTTAGCTATAGCTTAGGTCTGGAGCATTGTTAGGCTTCTTCTCGTTATGAGAGTCTTCCTGCGAGGCAGTGTTGTCAAGCCGTTAGGCTTCCTTTGAGGCTCTTTGGCTACTGCTTTTATAGAAACTTCTCCTCAGTGCCTTCTTGACGGGAGCTTGACAGGGTAACAATGCTGAGTCGTTAGGTTCTCTCAAGCATCCTCAGCTGCTTTTTTGATAAAGTGTTGCTAGGCCTACTGTTAGGCCTCTGCTCCCCTGGAGCTCAACCCTTTTTTTCAATTCTGAGTTGTAGGGTCTCTTTGAGCCTTCTTGGAGCTGCCCTGAGTATAAGGGTGCATTCACACCTGCCTTGTTTGGTTCGATTGAATCGAACTCTAGTTCCCCCCTTGGTGCGGACCTTTTGGGCAGGTGTGAATACAGCAATCGAACTCGGGTGCGGACCAAACAACCGAACCGAGACCCAGGGGTGGTAAAAGTACTCAAAAGTTATACTCGAGTAAAAGTATATATACCTAAATAAAAAAATTACTCCAGTAAAAGTAGAAAGTCCTCCATTCAAACATCACTTGAGTAAAAGTACAAAAGTATCTGATTTAAAACATACTCAAGTACCGAAAGTAAAAAGTAAATATTCAAATTAACTGTAAATATCAATAATTAAGCAGATCAATTGTTTTGGAAGTGATATGCAATGTTTTATTTGAACAAATGATAAGATTAGATACTGCAATTAAGAATGTTAGCTAGCTGTTTACAAGGCATATTTCAATATGAAATCACCTGGCTAACAATAGTAACATTAAAGCAACACTAAAGAACTTTTCCTCTGCGTTCCCCCTACAGGTTAGAAGCGGCATTGTCCGTTACCGCTGTCGTAAATAATTTAGCCTATACAGCATCCTACTGTCGCACGCATGCTCGCTTTTTATCCACTGTTTATCCAGCACAATGATGTCCAATTGTAACGCTTGACGTAAAGCAAGTCAAATTTGTAGTTTTCTTATGTCTCATTCGAAATACAGAAACGCGACCCGATCTGGCAAACTTATATAGTGTGGTTCTAGCAGATATACACTCACCGGCCACTTTATTAGGTACACCTGTCCAACCGCTCGTTAACACTTAATTTCTAAGCAGCCAATCACATGGCGGCAACTCAGTGCATTTAGGCATGTAGACATGGTCAAGACAATCTCCTGCAGTTCAAACCGAGCATCAGTATGGGGAAGAAAGGTGATTTGAGTGACTTTGAACGTGGCATGATTGTTGGTGCCAGAAGGGCTGGTCTGAGTATTTCAGAAACTGCTAATCTACTGGGATTTTCACGCACAACCATCTCTAGGGTTTACAGAGAATGGTCCGAAAAAGAAAAAACATCCAGTGAGCGGCAGTTCTGTGGGCGGAAATGCCTTGTTGATGCCAGAGGTCAGAGGAGAATGGCCAGACTGGTTCGAGCTGATAGAAGGGCAACAGTGACTGAAATAACCACTCGTTACAACCGAGGTATGCAGCAAAGCATTTGTGAAGCCACAACACGCACAACCTTGAGGCGGATGGGCTACAACAGCAGAAGACTCCACCGGGTACCACTCATCTCCACTACAAATAGGAAAAAGAGGCTACAATTTGCAAGAGCTCACCAAAATTGAACAGTTGAAGACTGGAAAAATGTTGCCTGGTCTGATGAGTCTCGATTTCTGTTGAGACATTCAGATGTTAGAGTCAGAATTTGGCGTAAACAGAATGAGAACATGGAACCATCATGCCTTGTTACCACTGTGCAGGCTGGTGGTGGTGGTGTAATGGTGTGGGGGATGTTTTCCTGGCACACTTTAGGCCCCTTAGTGCCAATTGGGCATCGTTTAAATGCCACGGCCTACCTGAGCATTGTTTCTGACCATGTCCATCCCTTTATGGCCACCATGTACCCATCCTCTGATGGCTACTTCCACCATGTCACAAAGCTCTAATCATTTCAAATTGGTTTCTTGAACATGACAATGAGTTCACTGTACTAAAATGGCCTCCACAGTCACCAGATCTCAACCCAATAGAGCATCTTTGGGATGTGGTGGAACGGGAGATTCGCATCATGGATGTGCAGCCGACAAATCTGCGGCAACTGTGTGATGCCATCATGTCAATATGGACCAAACTCCCTGAGGAATGCTTCCAGCACCTTGTTGAATCTATGCCACGAAGAATTGAGGCAGTTCTGAAGGCAAAAGGGGGTCCAACCCGTTACTAGCATGGGGCACCTAATAAAGTGGCCGGTGAGTGTAGGACCACAAAGCTAAGGCAGAAGTGCCTTTCACCCTGTTACGACTTGATGAACCGCTGAAACGATTTTGGAAACATTATTTTAAGGTAAAAAATCTTCTTTAGTGTTGCTTTAACGTCAACTCACCTTAATATGTTTTCTCAGATTTGAGGGTGAAGTTTTGAATGCTGAAATTTAATTCACCTGTGGCAGGCGAAGAAGACATTTCAGCCGATATTAATCTCCCTTGACTTCAGTGAATTCGAACATATCATTGATACATGGCCATGGGTGATCCCTGTCGGAAATCTTGGGATCATTGCTGGCAGCGAGAGCTCCACCTTCACCGGTTTCTGCGGTCAATGGTGAACTGACTGCTATGTGAGCGTATACTGGTAAAGAGCTTGCGCGTTCTTTTTTTAAAAAGAAAAACAAGTTTTTCATTGGTTTGGAAAGCCAGTGTAATAAATACTTGAAGCGGGCATGGGGAAATGTATTGGAGTAAAAAGTAAACTTTCTCCTTACAATTGTAGTGGAGTAAAAGTGAAAGTAGATACAAATAAAACATACTCAAGTAAAGTACAGATCCCCGAAAAAAATACTTTACTTCATTACTTACCACCCCTGCCGAGACCCAGCTGAAGAGGTGGTCTCGGTACGGTTCCAAACGAACTCTGGTACGGTTCGTTTACGGTGTGAACATGAACCGACCCAATTGCAAGAAAGCACTGCGCCTTTGAGTTAACAGGCTTCCGTAGTCGGAGTTGCGTTATGGGAAAGTGATCTGTTGCAGCCTACTACATTTGATAAAATGAGTCGTGGTTTGACCTGGAGCTTCGAAGAGACGAGCTGCCTTATTTACATTTGGGCAGATGCCCATGTAGCACAGCTGCTGGAGAGGACACATAAAAATACTGATGTGTTCAACATGTTTACTGAACGGATGAAGGAGAGGGGCTATGAGAGGTCTCCGGCACAGTGCCGCGTTAAAGTAAAAAAACTTCGGCAACATTATTTGAAAGTGCGCGATGCTCTAAACAAGAGTGGAAATTCAGGAGAAGAGAAAGATAAATGTCAATGGTACGACGAACTGGACAAAATCCTAGGAACGCGACCAACAGTTTGTCCCGTTGACATTGTCGAGTCATACAGCCCTACAGCAGGGATAGGCAACGTCGATCCTGGAGTGCCGCTGTCCTGCAGAGTTTAGCTCCAACCCTTGATATAAACTCACCTGCCTTTAGCATTAGTAATCCTGAAGACATTGATTAGCTTGCTCAGGTGTGTTTGATTAGGGTTGGAGCTAAACTCTGCAGGACAGCGGCACTCCAGGATCGACGTTGCCTATCCCTGCCCTACAGACAAGACCTCATCAAGCCTTTTTTGCACTTCCTGATTTCCCTACTTGAGAATCCTTGTCCAATGAATGGACGACCTTAGCACATGTGTGGTTTTGTTTACAAATGTTGGTTCACTTGCAAAAAGAGCAGTGTGAAAGCGAACCGTACCAAAAAAAAAAAGGAAAAAAAAAAGTATTTGGTCCGGACCAAAGCAAGTGAACTATCGGACTTTCCTGGTGTGAATACACCCTAAAACATAGCTAGGTCGCCTCTTGTCTTAGAGAATCAGTATCTTGATTGAGGTCTCCGTTCTCTAAGCCAGATTTGGGCAGTAGCACTGAGTTGTAGGCTCTTTTCCCGAGGCTCCTCTGTTGCATCTGGGTTGGGAGTACTTTTAACCATTGTTTATCAGCTCCCCTGAGCTCCATTGGTTTCGTTGGGCCTCCCTGACATTCGTTAGATGTAGCTAGGCCTCTCTCTCTCTCTCTCTCTCTCTCTCTCTCTCTCTCTCTCTCTCTCTCTCTCTCTCTCTCTCTCTCTCAAGAGTGAGTCCTTATCAAAAGGCCTCTGTCCTCCAAGCTCAGTCTGGGGCTAAGTTGTTAGGCTCTCTGTGAGCCTACTTAGTCACTGCCCTTGAACTAGAGCATTGTTATAGGCCTCCTCCCGCTATAGAGAGTCGTACTATTAGAGGCTTCCGTTCCTTTGACCTCCGTCCATTATTGTGTCAGACTACTAGCCCTGTTATGTAGCTTCCTTGTGTATTCGTCCTATGAGCACAGCCATAGGCTAAGTGGTTAGTCTTTTTTTGAGCCTCCTTGGCTACTGCGAGCGTTTGCTAGGCCTCCTCTCGCTAGAGAGAGTATCTGATTGAGGCCTCCGCTCCCTTGAGCTCTGCTAGGGTAGCATTTGTGAGTGTTAGGCCCTCTGGGAGCCTCCTTGGCTACTGACCCTAGTGTGTAGTGTTGCTAGGCCTCCTCTCATTAGGAGAGTCGTTGTATTGATGCCTGTACTCTGCGGAGCTCCGAGGGTCAGTTAGACTGAGTTTATAGCTCCTTTTTTAGATTTCTCTGTACTGTCTTTGCGTTAGAGCATTGCTAGGCCTCTTGTTTTTGGCCTCCACGCTTCAGGGCTGTCAGAAAAGAAGTTCTGAGTGTTAAGGTGATGATACACAGGGCAACTTTTTGAGCAATGTTGCTGGGCAATGTTGCCGTCAACGGGCAACCAGATGAGACACAAGGCCCACGACCGATCTAAATTATCCAGATAGAAATTGATTGTCCATTTTCAATGGGAAAGTGCCCAAGCAACAATTGCCCAGCAACATTGCTCAAAGAGTTGCCCTGTGTATCATCACCTTTAGGCTCTCTGTGAGCCTCCTTGGACGCTGGCCTGAATGTGAACGTAGTTAGGCTTCCTCTCTTTAGAATCATCCTGTTGAGGCCTCCGTTCTTGAAAAGCTCCGGTCTGTGACTATTTTGCCTTTAAGATACCAAGCTCTTGAGCATGCCTGTGAGGAGCCTTGTAGCTCAGGCTCTGGCCGCAGGGAATTGATCACGTTGCTGGTGTGCACCTTAGGGATGAGGACTCCTTTGAGTCTTTGACTTAGGTCAGCCAATAGGGCACTCATCCCTTCAGCATGTTCCCCATAGCGCACTCTTTCGAAAGGGAACGTCTCAGGTTACATGGGGAATGCACACATCTCCTTCAGGCAAGAAGTGGATGACGTTTTTCACAGGTGCCCTTTTATACTCAGAGTAGTGTATACACACTAACATTTGAAAAGTATGGAATTAATGTTTTTTTTTTAAAGAAGCCTCTTCTGCTCATCAAGGCTGAATTTGTTGATCAAAAATACAGTAAATATGGTAATATTGTGAAATATTATACCGTTTTATATTTTAATTTGTAAAATATATAATATTTTAACACATGTAATGGCAAAGCTAAATTTTCAGCATCATTACGCCAGTCTTCAGAGTCACATGACCCTTCGGAAATCATTCTAAAATGATGATTTTGTGATCAAGAAACTTTTCTTCTCATTTTAAGTTGAAAAGAACAGCATTTATTTGAAATAGAAATCTTTTGTAACATTATGAATGTCTTTACAGTCACCTTTGATCAATTGAATGCACTTTTGCTGAATAAAATGACCAATAACTAACTTCTGAATGTTAGAAGGTCATTTTAATAAGAAATGTATAGGTCCATAATGTAGTAAAAATCTTATTGAAGATAATATTGACAGTGATGCTTAATGACATTGAACTATAACAAACTGCACAAACAAAATACATACACAAATATTAAATATTTAATCATTATCCAGCAAACGAGACAACCGAGACGTTAATCGTTGCTTACACATTGTAAACCTTGAATAACAAAAGTAACATACAAATGTAATAAGAATGTTGATCCAGATTGAGTAGTAATATCAAAACTGACCTGAGAGAGTGAATCAATTAAGTCATCAGAAACTGATACACAGTGTCACAAATGCCTCCAATTGTTGATGTAATTCTGCTTTCTGGCCTGAAGGGGGAGTAAAAGCCACTATTATACTAGAGTAAATAAATCTTGAATTGGCTTACAAACAGCTGGAAAGAGCATTTGCTGTAGAACAATTTAATAAAACAACACAAGTGACACATTGAGAGTGATTCCTGTGGAAAATGTGGCTTTCCCGTTGTTTACGCAAAAACTCTTGATAAAGTTTCTTTTTAGATATTTTTTTCCTTTTTAACTGGCTGAATGCAAGATCAAGTCTAATGGTTAGACTTGATCCTGCATTCAGCCAGTTTTACAGCACACATGTTAGTGATTTGCGGTCAGTAACCACATGTGTGCAGAAAAACTGTTTTTGTTTTTTTGGAAAACAGATTCTTTGTAACTCTTGCTGGGCAGTTTCTAGTTCAGTCGGTACTTTCCCAGTTATAAATAGATCGCCTCTGAGAATACAGAATTAAAGCAGAGATCATAAAGGGTTTCATTTTTCCATTTTAGGACTTCAAAGGCTCTCTGGATAAACGTGCGTCTTTGTTTCAGAGTCTGGTAAAGCTCAGCCGCATTTCAATGTTGGAAAAAAATCCATCGCGAATGAGCCTTTTGTGGCCTGCAGATGCGGTAAAATGAGGATCCTAAAACGTTTTGAGTGTGGTCTTGAGTTGTAATGTTTCAGCAACAGATATCCGGTCATGATAAAAGCTCAAGCCCGTCAGAAGCTCGACGTCTCTGACTCGAGCCACGTGAAGCTGAACCCAGTCCTGGACCCATGAGTAGTCTGTGCCATTCTGGAGAAATAAACGGTAATAATTTAAAGTGTACTTCTGAATGTACTGACAAGCTTTTATGGTCCACTAAAATATACTTTGTCATTTCTTCTAAAACATGTAAGTCAAGTATTTAAATTATAATTTACATATATATTTTTATTTATTTATACAGCAAGTGCTTTACAAGTGCATTAGTGCTCGCTAGTGGATATTAAAATGACTCTTGAGAGTCTCAGGTTCACACGAATGCAACATGAAAGCTTAACAGTTAACACATTTCCTAACAAGCAAGTTATTCAACTACTTTCTCAGTACAATCTTATGGTGGCTGTGGTTTAGATCATGAATGGCTGATTACATACATGACATGTTTCCTGATGATCAGGTCGATGAGGTAGAATGAAAGACACAGCGTCTAGAGGGCCGTCACACTCTCGGATGGGAAGGGACGAGTTCTTACAACTTGTAAGAATCACAAAGAAATGTGTAGGGATGGGCGTCCCGTTCCTGAAAGCAGAAGAGAATCATCTGGATGAAGGGAGGAATACAATCTTATGCATTTTGAAATAAACATCTGGCCACCAGTGGGCGGTATGGGCTGTTTGTGAGGTAGCAATAAGGAAACAAACTCATCAGGTCTAAGGCCTGTTGACAAATGGTGCACTAGGCCTAATAAAACATTTCTCATCTCATATTATCAGATTTTTATAAAGTTGGGTCTATTTTGCATCTCATTCCGGCCAAGAACCGCCCACTTAGACAGGAAGAGACCGTGTGACCATTCCACAGTTTGTTGTTTTTACGTGTCATTTAAGATAAGGTAAATCTAAAATAATTATCCACTACCGCTTCAAAAGTTTGAAAGAAATTAATACTTGAATACAGGACGGATGCAATAAATTGATCAAAAGCCGAAGTAAAGTCATTTATAATGTTACGAATAAACGTTGTATTCATCAAAGAGCCCTGAAAATATATATCACGCTATTCGCAAAAATATTATGCAGCAATTCAAATTAAACAAATTAAAACTGAAATATTCAAACAGAAAACTGCTATTAAAAATGTTTCACAATATTACTGTATTTTTGTTTGTGAAAGAGTGCTAGGATCTATTTGTGTACTCTGTTCAGCTTGTATATATTTCACACTCCATCAACACTGGTTAATTTTGCAAACTTACGGTGTTCCCTTGTTCATTAAGTCATAGTTCCCATCAAAGTCGTTATCGAATATTGGCCCGCTCACAACATTTACACCGTTCAGCTCTTGTGAATACTTCACCAGCAAAACATTGTGGAAGTGATTCCAAATATCTGTTACAAAGACATTAGACAAGAACAACAGTGACACGATCAGCAAACATGAAAGTATGGGGTTTATGTGACAAGAAATCATATGATATCAGAAAATGATACCCAATAAAGTGATAACTGTGCTGTCCATAATTCTGTTTATACATGCTTAAAGTGGTCAAGACATGATTTTTTCCTTAATATATGATGAGTTTTTAAGTGCCGGCTCCTTTAAGGCTTAAACAGCCCTGTTATGATTGGCTAACATCAGTTAAAGGATTAGTTCACTTTAAAAAAAACATTTGCTGATAATTTACTAACCCCAATGTCATCCAAGATGTCCATGTCTTTCTTTCTTCAGTCGAAAAGAAATTAAGGTTTTTGATGAAAACATTACAGGATTTTTCTCCATATAATGCACTTTGCTGGGCAGCAAACGGTTCAAGGTCCAAAAGACAGTTTCAGTGCAAACTGTTCAAAGGGCTTTAAACGACACCAGACGATGAATAAGGCTCTTATCAAGCAAAACGATCGCTCATTTAAAAAATAAATAACAAAGTTTAAGTTTTATAAGCTCAAATGCTCGCCTTGCTCTGTTCTGTGTGACTCTCCTGTTCGAACTCGTTCATCAAAATGAACGAATCTTTTTCCGAGTCAATTCGTTCATTTCGTTCGTTAAATGAACCAAATGACTCGAAAAAAGATTTGTTCATTTTGATGAACGAGTTCGAACAGGAGAGTCACACAGAACAGAGCAAGGCGAGCATTTGAGCTTATAAAACTTAAACTTTGTTATTTATTTTTTAAATGAGCGATCGTTTTGCTTGATAAGAGCCTTATTCATCGTCTGGTGTCGTTTAAAGCCATTTGAACAATTTGCAGTTTGCACTGAAACTGTCTTTTGGACCTTGAACCGTTTGGTAGCCAGTAAAGTGCATTATATGGAGAAAAACCCTGGAATGTTTTCATCAAAAACCTTAATTTCTTTTCGACTGAAGAAAGAAAGACATGGACATCTTGGATGACATGGGGGTGAGTAAATTATCAGCAAAAGTTTTTTTAAAAGTGAACTAATCCTTTAAGTGACTGAATGTAAGTGGGCGGGGCCTATGGTGCGATGATGTAAAACTATTTGTTGATGTCTTGCTCTGGAGGCGGGCATATGCAAATGTTTTGCCCATGTGACATCACAGATCCCTCAATATCGAAACGAGCCATTTTTGGAGCTTTATTTTATGTTTTAAATGCTTTGTTTATAACCAGGAGGACATTTTAAGTTTTGAAACTTACAGGATATTTTAATGGTACAAAGACCTCTCATATGTCAAAAGATTTGCCAATTTTTATGTCAAAAGATTTGCAAATGTAGCCTCTTATCCATCGCCGGGCCATTCCGTGCTGATCCGGTCCAGATATGGTTTCATTTTTCCACTGTATAGGGCTGATAACGGAGCTCTTTGGAATCTAATACAAATGCATCAGTCATAGCCTTGGTAACGCAAGTGTTTACAGATAATATTATATGTAAATAGTGACCATGTTGATCAGATATTTCTTTCAATTTTATTATTAACTTGCCAGGCAACAGACAAGTGACCAATCCTGAGTGGCGACGTCACTACACACATTCAACCGGTGAAAAAGCGGCTTTTGATTTCTCATGTCATGACTCCTTTAATAACCCCGATATGTTTCTAACTTCAGCAAGGAACAAATGAAGCATTTTAACTGATTGAAACCAAACGTGTTATTGCAAAAGAGCCACAAAGGAATGGTGGGGAAACAAAGAATGAACCGTGCTTACTCGGGTTCTTTTGAATAATATGCTTATGATAAAAGCATAAACTATAAACTTTTGTAATCAAGCCAATCACTGATAACAGATAAATGTGTAATGAAATACTGGTGCAACTAAAGTTCAAACCACACACACATTCTGATATGCTCTGTATATGCACTAAAGTACATGAATACTTAGTCTATCAGATGAATGATTTCGAATGGAGTGCAGATGATGTTCTACATGAAGTTAGTGGGGGAATAAACTTGGTAATCTTCACTCTAAATGATCTAAACACTTGCACAACAGAATGAAGAAAGAGTTTACCATACACAGGTGTTGCAATACCACTGATGAGACTCTGAAGTTAAAGCAGAACATCAATTCACTTGGCATATTATTGTGTAAATTAACCAATACTGTCTATAAATACAGCAGGCCTTCATCATGACTTGTGAGGATTGCCTGGATTAAAGCTACTAAGCAATTTAAACTTATAAAAAATTAAAGCGTAAATAAACCCACTCAACTTTCTGATACTGGTGTTCCCATCAGGCACTGGGGAGTGAATAATTAATAAAGTTGAATTTTCACTGTTTTCCATCTGTATTTACACTGTTTTATCATTGCTTTTGTTTAGTAACTTGCTGTTTTGTGACATCTGGATTCAGTGGTTTGTGAGTTGATAAAAAGCTAATAATTAAATGGAATGTTAAATTATTTTAAATGTGGCTGCGGAATAAATAGACATACACTGTAAAAAACAATGAGTAAAATTTACTTAATTTTTTTAAGGCAAGTTTTTGCTCTGATATTTTTTGAGTAAATTTCACACATAGAATTAAGTAAACTATACTTAACTTAAGTGAAAGTAACATAAGAAATTAAGTAATTTTTATTTAGCTAATTAAAGATTAAGTAATATCTATTTAATTGAATTTTTCTTTGTACAAAATTTCACTCAATCAATATAACATTGGATTAGACTACACTTTTTAAGTATATGATTTACTCAGAAATGTTGAAGTAATCAATACATATAGTGTGTGTCACCATATCTTCATTTCTAAAGTTAAATGTGTGAACACAGACCTCAATACTTGGTAGACAATACACAATGACGGTAACATTTGATGGATCGTTTTTGTGTTTGAATGTGTCATTTTAAGTAGAAAATGAACTCCAAATGTCACAAAATGGCAGGTTACTAATCCTAACAACAAAAGCAATGATAAAATAGTGTAAATACATATGGAAAACAGTGAAAAATATACCTCATTAATTATTCATGGCCCAGTGCATGATGGGAACACCAGTATCAGAAAAGTTGAGTAATTTTACTTAATTTTATAATGTTTATATTTACGCTTTCATTTCTACACGATTGAATTGAGTACGACTATAGAATTTACTTATTTTTTTAAATTCTTGTTTTTTCATGTAAATTACATTGTTTTTTCTGTAGTATTTACTTCACCACAAAAACATTTTTATCAGTGTAGTCTAAGTAAAGCATACACTAAAATACACAAAGTAAAGCGTATGCTTTAAAAGCATGGCTTAATTCAGTGCTTGAGTAAAATGTACTTAAAACAGAGTATTGCAAAGTAAACTTCAACTAATTAGAAATTACTCAATAAACATTAACTGGCAAAGTAACAGTTACTTTTTTGCTTTGTTAATTTACTTAACTTGGTTAAGTAGATGTTACTTAATTCCATACGTAAAATTTACTTTAAAAATTTTTTAAAATAGGCAAAATAAAAATTAAGTACATTTTACTTAGTTTCTTCTTAGTATATGAGAAGCCCATGTGTCTAAAGATCCACTCAAACAGCTGATCCTGCTACAGAAAGGTTCAGAGAACCAACCAATAAGTAAATAAAATGACTAAAAAACTAAAATGACACTTGATAGTACATCAATAAAATAACTTTAAAACACATATGACATATAAGATCATATATGAAGTCTCACTGAGAAGCCAGTTATGTTCCCACACAAACAAGAAACAGCATCTCTGCTGAGAAAACTGCAGCTCTCTGGACGCTCTTTTCTTTTCAATCCTAGGTGTTTTTGGCAGGTCACCTGCTCCCGTGGGACTCTTTCCTGTGATTCTGGTATAAAGGCCTCAATTCAGCTGTGATCCACTGATTCTAATCATAGAGCAGCTTTAGGCAGCATTTACCTTTCCAGGGAGTGTTGCATATCTTCATTAAATATAAAAAGCACAGCTTTTCAATAGTCTATTTTGGTTCAAATGCGTTTTTAGATTCAGTTAGAAGGCTGGCATACTTTTTATAGCACTGTAGATCATGTTTTACACCCATGCTGATGCTAATGTATGCAAAACAGTTTTATTATCTTGTAATGCAGGAACCTTGACTTATTAAAGGATTTTATTAGCTTGAAGTGAATGTGTATCATTCAAAAGTGTAAATCTTCACAGGTGCCGTCATGTTCTAGACACATTTCTGGAGTCATTCTATTACACTTTTCTAAATAGAAAGTTGGCCATTCTTATTTTATGAGTTGGAATGCAGAATTACAGCTGTTTGAGTAAAACAGGAAACATGTTTATTGACATTCTGAATTCAAAGTTCAACATTTTCTGATGATTATTGACAACGGCACTCCATACCCATTATTCTTTGTTTATGTCGGCGTCAATGGCTGTGCGTCCAATACAGTATTTTAGGAGAAAAATAATAAACAGATAATGATGACTAAAACAACAGGGTTCCCAGCAGTCTATGCTTGAATCATTAAAAGCTACAGAACAATCAACCATAGGGTTCACTAAGAGTAGAATTGGAACTTTTTTTTATTCCAGCATGCCAACAACTTTTAATTTACACAAGTACTGAGTGTGTGTTTTGCTATAAGCTGAATATAAAACACGGCGTACCTTTGAAGGCTGGAAACATGGGCACCATGTTGCTTGTAATGAAGGAGTCTGGCTCAGTTCCTGTAGGACTGAAGTCTGAGGAAGAAAGATAATCGGCCATTAGTACAGTAAACACAACAGCTCTTTCATCACACAGACTTACAGGATACTTGCCAATTGAGAGGTTAAATATTTGTGTATAATGACCACTAAACTATTCATGCAAACGTTTGGGGTCAGTAAGATTTTAGTTTTGAAAGATATGAATACTTTTATTCAGCAAGGGTGCATTCAATTGATCAAAAGTGACAGTAAAGACTGTTACATTGTTACACAAGACTTCAATTTTAAATAAAGGCTGTTTCTATTTATCAGAGTCCTGTAACAAACAATACATTTTATTTCCACAACAATAATAAGCAGCACAACTGTTTTCACCATTGATAATATTAAGAAATTTACCTTAGAATGATAATAAAATTAATTTAAAATTGTAATGATATTTCACAATATAATATTTTATATATATATATATATATATATATATATATATATGCTGTCAAATCGATTAATCGTGATTAATCACATCTAACATAAAGGTTTGTGTTTATATAATGTATATATATATATATGTTTGTATATACATAAAGGTTTGTGTTTATTTAATATATGTGGGTTTGTATATATATATATATATACAGTATATATACATATATTAATTTTTTTAAGATTGTTTTATATATATATATATTAGTGATGCACGATATATCGGCCACCATATCGGTATCAGCTGATATCGGTTCATTTTAACGTTATCATTATCGGCCCGATAGGAAAATTTGTCTGATATATTAAAGCCGATAAATAGTGTATTATTTCCTTCAGCTGAGACTCTTCAGATTCGCACTGTTCAACATTATGCTTTTGAATTGCTTGAAATATGATTGGAATCACTTCAAAAAAGGAAAATATGGTTCAGTCTGTCATATCGGGTTACATAAAATTATAATAAGAACATCATAATTGTGTGTTTGGGACGTGGCTTTTACTGGTGAGGCTTTTGTTTTTGTAATCAGGCTCTCAAAAATTACACACAAATTTGGATTTATATTTATCGGCCAATATATCGGTTATCGGCTTTCAAATATAAAGAATTATCGGTTATCGGTATCGGCCAAAATGTTCATATCGGTGCATCCCTAATATATATATATATATATATATATGGCAATATATAAAAAAATGTATATATATATATAAAATTGTATTATATATTGCCATATATATATATATATATATATATATATAAACAATCTTAAAAAATTATAAAAATGTACTTATGTACATAACATGTATATAATTCAAATTAAATTTGAACACAGCCATAAATAATAAAGAATATCACTCATAGCTCTAATTGAATTTTCAGTAGAGGGCAGAAAGTGAAATGATTTGTGAGCTTTGTTTAAAGCTCTTAAAGTAAATATAGATATCCTGTTGGACTCACTGGGCCGATGCAGGAGGCCAAAGGTCAGAGTGGAACTGTTCTTATAGAACGAGCAGGACTGTCTCGCACTGGCCTGAACTCGCACATCTGCACGCACACATGTGTCTGCTGAGGGACGCACGCTAACCTTGGATTGACAAAGACAGAAAGAAAGTCAGCATTCAGATGAAAGAGTGCTTACCTGACCATTAAAACACTCATCAAGTGTATGACGCAAATCTTGACAGAAACATAACAGTGAAAATACAGTGACTGCTATTTAGTAAATAGACATTTCCACACATTTACATCTGAAAACTGTTTCAAGCCTCATGAGAAAGGTAAGTTTGCATTCTAATCTTGGCTTAATAGTCTTAAACTGTGCTAGATACTTTACATCTCAAATGAGAGCACCTAAATACAAATACAAGCTTAACATTTCAGCTTTTAAACCTTCCAAAACAGTATGATTTGGTAATATGGCTTGTTACTCCCATACATAAACAACAACAACAAAACATTTATTGCAAGATCAAGCCTGAACTCCCACTGTGCCATTTCACAATCTCATATTGGCTTGCAGTCGGTTTATGAGTCAAGAGAGCCAGAAGATACTGTAAGGATGATTGAATTTAATTCAACACCCTTATGACATTCAAACCTGTGTGAATTTATTTTTTCCCATTGAACATAAAAGAAGAATATCCTGGTTATTCCTCGGAGGACTATAGCGCAGTCAAGCCCCATAATGACAAAAACACCATAAAGCTCGATTGAAACATTCAGTAGCTTGTTTAAGGAACAGGTCGAAAATTAGAGCCATTTCTGCTGACTAAATTCCTGTTTAGTTAACTTTTATCAAATTCAATTTCTGTCTGTTTCTCACACAAAGCTATCATATGGTGTCAGAAAACTTGGAATATAGTGCACAAGTCCTTTTGGACAACATTTATGGTACTTGAAGCTCATAGTTCACTTTGGTTCTTATGTGTACACTATGATATATGTACAGTGCACGTGACATACAGTGTACTGTATGCGCTCATCTTGAACATGTCCCTTAATTTTATTTGCACACATTAGTTTGTCCACAAGGTGGCAACATTGTCCCAGGCTCTTGTTTCACAGTCGAAAAAAGACACAGATGGGACGGAAAAAAACAAAAACAAACCTAGGCTGCATTTAAGTTTTTTGTGCCCTTCCCTCGCTAACTTCCCTTCGTCTCGCTCGGATGTGCGTCATTGCTTACGTTGCACTAGTGCCCACTACTGGCGGAACCCTTGGGACGTGTTTAATAATAATAATAATAATATTTAATAATTCATTACATTTATATAGCGCTTTTCTAGGCACTCAAAGCGCTTCATATGGAAGGGGGAATCTCCTCAACCACCACCAATGTGCAGCATCCACTTGGATAATGCGACGGCAGCCATAGTGCGCCAGAACGCCCACCACACACCAGCTTACTGGTGGAGAGGAGACAGAGTGATGAAGCCAATCAGTGTATATATATATATGGGGATGATTAGGAGGCCATGATGGACAGAGGCCACTGGGCAAATTAAATGGGACGCCCTCCGCCCTTGATCACTAGGAATCCAATATGGAGTTGATTCATTATTTATATATATATTTCCTTATAGATTTGTTTACGCACCATTCTAAAGGCCTGTATCTACAGTATGCTTGTAAAAAATCACAGAAATGAAAATGATAACAATACAGTCAACTATAACTGTGTAAATAACAGTCAGCTTAAGATAGCTACTAGTATTATGTGGTTAAATATCTAAATAACTCCAGTATCAAACACTTGAGTTGTGTGGGGAGGTAAAATTAAGCGTGATCTGCTGTGATGTCACAATCAGGGTGCATTTTGGATCTGTCTGAAGTGTACATGTTGAGTAGTCAAAATCGAGGGTTCAAGGGTTTATCCAATATAAGCTTCCCTCGTCCACTTGACGAAGTCGAACGCACTTCAAAATGGTGTCAGTGATTCCCCCGCTCAGGGAAGTTCGCGAGTGTATGTCGAAATGAGATTGGTTCACTGGTTAGTCCAGTTATCCAATCACATCTTCTGCTGAGGTAAAGTCATGTGAGGTTTTTTTTTATTAGGTGCTCGAGTTAAACTATTCTATTCTATTCGTTACTTTGATAGCACACATGATCAAAGTTAGACAAACCTTCTAACTAGAATGCATTGCGTTTGTCAGGCACCAATCGGTCTGTGCAGTGCTGTATTAAAGTCAATTTCTATTCAGTTAATGTGTTTTCATATTTTTTTTAGAATGTATGCAAATAGCAAATTTCAGTTCCAGTCAAAACACATTTCACAATTGCATTTCACATGAATTACAATAACAAACACAAGATCTGCATGAAGCTGAGAAAACACTTGATGAGTCTGTCTGTCACTGTCCCGTTGAGTGTGAAGATGATGATGCCAGAGACTGAGATTTACTCAGCGGTCGGCCCACATAATGAGTAGCACATGCTCTGTGAGGTCAGAAAATAGGACATATATGATATATGATATCCCTCTCCTCCCTTCAGCATCACCATTAAACCTCTGCACATTTACACCGTCCTTTTTCAACGTCAGAACAAATTCCCCTTTTAGGAAGCGTTTAATTGCACTTATAGTGTACTTCAAATCTTAAAAGTATATATATTTGATATATACTAGTAGTACTTATAAAAGGCCACTTAAGTGTACTTAAAGAGAGTTAAAAGTAAACTTAATATCAAGCTAAAAGTTTTACTTCAGTATTCTTTAATTCTTTACTTAAAGAACATTTTAAATCATTGTTTTAAAATTCTTATGTCATGCTTTAAATATGTACACTTATTTTAATGTGTTGACTAACATACTAAAGCACATGTAAAATACTAGATCATTTTAACTGTGGTGTGTTACTCGATTAAAGTTAATATATTTTAAATGCACTAAATTGCAAATGCAACATAATTTTTTTATTTATTTAAATACATGACATACAAGTTTCAATAACAAATGATATTATATATTTTAGTAGCCAAAATGCTTCTATAGTATATTCGGCAGTAAACTTAAACCATATTTCCATCATAATAGTAGTAATTATGAAATTAAATGCAAGTCCTTCTCAAAGTTTAAACTTTAATACCTTCTCATGTATCAATTAACATGCAAAATAATTGCATTCACTTCGCTCTAAAGTGTATTCTCTTAAAGTATATTATTTCTGTAATAAGTATTCTTAAAAGTACGCTAATGTGTACTTTGTTTTCACAAATGTTTGAAGTTAAAGTCCTGTAATGATTTGAAAAAGGGCGTAGTTCACTTAAATCCCACTAGATTAATTATCACAAAAAAATATCAAACGAAAACCCCCGCTGTGCAAAATGAGCTATTGTGTGTGAGGCAACCTCTACAATAAACTCAACTTTAAAGACCACATCACAATTAAGCCATATCAGTTAGCATTGAGATCATCCGTATACTAGTGTACTCCTAAAAGTTGACAAAATCAACTTTTAGCAAATAAACCTGTACACATTTAAAATGTACAGTCACTTTTGGGAGGATACTGTCCACTACATGACTCGTCTTGCTCTCATGGGCGTATCCAAATATGTGTCAAATAAGAAAGTGCACTCTAAAAAAAGATGGTTCCTCCCTTTTAATTATAAATACTACCTCTGACTAACAGTAAGCTGTACCAGTCTGTACACCTCATGTTTAAAATACGTCAACAAAGAAGAAACAGCTGTGCCTGTGGAGTGATAGTTGGGGCCGTAAACGAATCTCACCGTTGCATTCAAAGAGTATGAAACCCAGAGGGGCATCAGGATGTCTCGGCTGTATCCGCTGATGTACGCACTGTGCTGAAGTATACAGTGATCCGACTGCTCCTGAAGGACACGCGGGAGTCCGTAAGGCAGATGAACAGGCTTGACAATGCTGTCTATTAAAGGATTAAACAGAACGTTTTTCACTGTACAATTATGTCACTAAAAATAGTGTCGATATGAACTATCATTTACTCACTTGAATTTGAGTCGATGAGATGCTGGTCCAGACGGCTCACCTGAAAACGTTTTTGGAAATTCATTTTTAATGAATAAGCAACAAAAACATCATTTAGAAATATATATACACACACACAAAGCTCACAAAGGCTGCATTTATTTGATCAAAAACAGTATTATTGTGAAATATTGTGAAATGTAATTTATGTGATCAAACCTGAATTTTCAGACACATGATCCTTCAGAAATCATTATAATATGCTGACTTGCGGCTCAAGAAACATTTCTTGTTATGGTCAATGTTGAAAACAGCAGCACAGCTTCATATTTTTGTGGAAAAATATTTCATGATTCTTTGATGAATAGAATCATATCATTTTTTTTGTCTTTGCTGTCACATTTGATCAATTTAATGTATCCTTGTGGAATAAAAGTATTAAATTCAATACAAAAGAAAATATAACTGCCCCCAAATTTTGAACGGCAGTGTATACACTAAATCATTTGGAGTGGTTAAGCACAAGTGGCTTGACTCACTTCCCTTTCAAAAACTGGAAAGCTATGTAATTGTGACAAACCACGGGGGAAACAATTAAGAAATCCAGACAACACCACAAAGCCAAAAGTGTGTATGTGATATGGATCAGAAAAGACAAACAAACAACAATCATAACTCAAAAATAAATCCTCAGAGCTACAGTGTTACACTGCAGAACTCTCTGGCAGAGACTGACATGACCTCAACTCCGTAACAACATTAAAGATGCATGGAAGATGTATCAATGCTAAAGGGCATTAGTCTAAATGACATACTCTATCCACTTTTTTCTTCAGAATTGTAATAGGTAAAGGTAATATAATTGGCTTCCAAGTCAACGCGTCTAATGCAGTTCTGGTTGCAGTGCAACTATATTTAATTTGTACATTGACCATGCATTCACAAGATTTGAGGCCCCCTGTTAACAAGCACAAAGCAACAATGGCAAGGAAAAACTCCAAGAGTAAGGAGGAAACCTTGGGTGGAACCAAGACTCTTCCAAGGAGTGAGTAATCTAATAACAGCCGGTTCAAAGACACAGGATTATACCATAAAACAAGGTAGGCATTCGATTTAAAGCCTTCGCTTGGCCTTTGAAGGGAACTAATCATGGCCTGGATTAAAGTGTTCCTATTATGCTTTTTCGAATATTACCTTTCATGCATTGTAATATAGCTGTTTGTGAATGTAAAATGTCTGCAAAGTTTTAAAGATCAAAGTGCACAACAAATAAAGTGGTTTTCTCCTAAAAGAAAGAATTGATTCTAAACTGCATAAACGAGTCGTCAGCATTTCCAGTCTCACTTAACAGTAACACACCTACGTACGATTGTTAGAAATTTGCATAATGCCAGCTTGGTCTTTACTGGCTGCCTGCGAATGAAGTCTACTTTTCCCTCAAACACTGTAGCTGTAGCTTCGTCCGGGAATTGATACAGAAAAAAACGACGCCATTGTTCGTATCACTGTGTATCAAGTGCTGATGAAGAGCTGAAATGCAGATATGGTAATAGGCATTTAGTTTTAGACATGCTCTGTAAGCGGTAGACCAATCACAACAGACTGGGCCATCTGACCAATCAGAGCAGAGTAGGCTCTCGGAAAGGAGGGGTTTAGAGAGACCGAATCTTCAAACGAACCGTTTTCAGACTCTATGAGAAATGAGGGGATCCTGCAATCTATATTATGAGCAAATGAAAGTGTTTTTTAACCTTGGATACATGTAAACCTATTGTAGGATACCTCCAAAACAGAATTAGGAACCTTCAAAATAGCATAATAGGGGCACTAGGAGTACATCAATATGTACAATTATAAACAAAGGTTCCAAAAGAGGGTTTTCGTAGCAATGCCAGAAGAACTAGTAGAAGAACCATTTTTAGTTCCCCAAAGAACCTTTCAGAGAACAGTTCTTAAAAGAACGTTTTTTTTCTAAGTATGAAGAACATATTAATAATCTAAAGAAACTTCTTCCACTATAAAGAATGTTTTGTTCAATGGAAAGGTTCCAACTTCCATGAATGTAAAAGGTTCTTCATGAATCCACCAATGCCCATAAAGAACCATTATTTTTTAAGAGTGTACATGATACAGTACAGTAGGCTGAATAGGAAAACATGCCCTTTAGACAAATGAATTTTGATCGTTTCACCATGTCCTGCTGTTCAGTGTTGTCTGGATTGGTTTTCTTTTACCTTGTGTAGTTTTGTTCATGATTTTTGAGGACAAGGGTACATCATGCAGTCTCTCCCTGTTGGAATCTGCGTAATTTGACTTAATCTTTAGCGACAGATGAATTTGTATCAAACTACAATAGAGTTTGATTGGATGCAAGGACATTAACAGCAAAAGATATGAGAAGGACCTGCTCCTTCCTTTTCAAAGTTGATAAGTCTATTTGTTTTGCTACCATAACTATGCACAATGAAACAGTTGCATTTTAGTATAGTCATTTAGCATTGTCTCTGCGACCCTATTAGAACAGACCCAGATTAACATGTTTTGCATAACGAATCACAGGATGAAAAATGCAGAAGCCCTGAATAATGTCTGTGATGCCCACCTCAGCCTCAGTGAGGGAGTCACAGGTGCAGCCCCGGGGGTCACGTGGGGTCCCGCTAACAGGGGTGCATGTGGACGGAGCCGAGCGCTGTGCGGGGTACACCGGCTGATGGGGGGGGTTCTTCAGCAGATGGTTTAAACTGCCATGGGTGCCGTTATTGGGAGCCGGAGGAACACCCAGTAAATCTAAAGAGAAATACACAGCTTTTTTACTTTTACTTAGTACTTACGATACACAGTGCAGAAATACACTTATTGGGAGGCAGCCAAGCCAATATACTGTGGCACATGCTAAATAGGATCATTTACCTCAAAATGATAGATCTGTCATAATTTACTTACTCTTACAAACCAGTATGACTTAGTAAGTCTTTCATCTGTGGATCACTTTTTATAGAATGTTAGTAACTAAACAGTTTCGTTTCCCATTGACTTTCATTGTATGGGCAAAAATAAAATAAAAAATGCAATGGAAGTCAATGGGACCCGAAACTGTTTGGTTACTACCATTCTTCAATATATATATATATATATATATACACTCACCAGCCACTTTATTAGGTACACCTGTCCAACTGCTCGTTAACACTTAATTTCTAAGCAGCCAATCACATGGCGGCAACTCAGTGCATTTAGGCATGTAGACATGGTCAAGACAATCTCCTGCAGTTCAAACCGAGCATCAGTATGGGGAAGAAAGGTGATTTGAGTGACTTTGAACGTGGCATGATTGTTGGTGCCAGAAGGGCTGGTCTGAGTATTTCAGAAACTGCTAATCTACTGGGATTTTCACGCACAACCATCTCTAGGGTTTACAGAGAATGGTCCGAAAAAGAAAAAACATCCAGTGAGCGGCAGTTCTGTGGGCGGAAATGCCTTGTTGATGCCAGAGGTCAGAGGAGAATGGCCAGACTGGTTCGAGCTGATAGAAGGGCAACAGGGACTGAAATAACCACTCGTTACAACCGAGGTATGCAGCAAAGCATTTGTGAAGCCACAACACGCACAACCTTGAGGCGGATGGGCTACGACAGCAGAAGACTCCACCGGGTACCACTCATCTCCACTACAAATAGGAAAAAGAGGCTACAATTTGCAAGAGCTCAGCAAAATTGAACAGTTGAAGACTGGAAAAATGTTGCCTGGTCTGATGAGTCTCGATTTCTGTTGAGACATTCAGATGTTAGAGTCAGAATTTGGCGTAAACAGAATGAGAACATGGAACCATCATGCCTTGTTACCACTGTGCAGGCTGGTGGTGGTGGTGTAATGGTGTGGGGGATGTTTTCCTGGCACACTTTAGGCCCCTTAGTGCCAATTGGGCATCGTTTAAATGCCATGGCCTACCTGAGCATTGTTTCTGACCATGTCCATCCCTTTATGGCCACCATGTACCCATCCTCTGATGGCTACTTCCACCATGTCACAAAGCTCTAATCATTTCAAATTGGTTTCTTGAACATGTCAATGAGTTCACTGTACTAAAATGGCCTCCACAGTCACCAGATCTCAACCCAATAGAGCATCTTTGGGATGTGGTGGAACGGGAGATTCGCAACATGGATGTGCAGCCGACAAATCTGCGGCAACTGTGTGATGCCATCATGTCAATATGGACCAAACTCCCTGAGGAATGCTTCCAGCACCTTGTTGAATCTATGCCACGAAGAATTGAGGCAGTTCTGAAGGCAAAAGGGGGTCCAACCCGTTACTAGCATGGGGCACCTAATAAAGTGGCCGGTGAGTGTATATATATATATATTTTTTTTTTTGTGTGTGTTTGTTCAGAAGAAGAAATGTATCCATGACTGGAACAACATGAGGGTGAGTAAATGATGACTCAATTACCAAGAAGCATCATCCATCTACAACATTGCCAAATTTGGTTGCTTGGCTGGAGTGAGATTTTGATTACACTGGTTGACTCAATGACATGCCCCTATTTGAGGTTTTAAGGATGCAATAATTATTCCCTAAAGTTCCCTAAATACTTCAGTCTATTGTTGTACTAGATGCACTATCCAAATTTGCTCTCTGTACATCCGCTGATCAATGTCTATGCAAATAAAAGCCATTTCATCATATAAAGTGATCATGTCTCTTCAGAAGACTTTGATTTAACCACTCGATTCATGTGGATCTCTTTACAAACGTGGAGAGTGGAGAGACAGAAATCTCTCAGATTGCATTAAAAATATATTCATTCGTGTTTCAAAGATGAATGAAAGTCTGGGAGTGGGTAATTAATGACAGAATTTTCATTTTTGGATGAACTATCCCTTTAACTATATGCTGGTTAGCTTGCAACTTAACATTAACAGCTAATGCTAACAGCTAGCAATACTTACTGACTGATTTGTTAACAACCAAAAATCTCATTTATTTTATAAGCTCTACATTGTATGTCAGAAAGGTGTAGTATATGCTATAGTATATAAAAAGTGTTGCAGGCTATAAAAAGCTTTAAAGTAGAAAGACAGTTTAAGTCTAAATTATAGGTAATATGGAGAAACAAAGGCACAATCTAAGTATGAATAGGTCAAAGGTTTATGAGCTGTAAGAACACACATTCAGTCTTCTGAATACATGCAGTAACATGCTAATGTCATTCATTTTTCCTGAAGGGCCTAAACGTAGCCTAATGACTTTTTTAAAAGATCCTGTTATAGTAACTTGTAAAAAATATGTAGTTATGTCTGGTTGTACATTAAATGGTAATATGTGCATAATTGAAATGCGAGTTAAGCGCTTGGGAAAGCATCTCTCGACTCCATTAAACGGTAACAGTCTATTAGCATCAAAGCAGCCCAAATTAAACTCAATTTTAGAGACAAATGGTGTCATGCTATTATTTTTTTTTGCATTGACTTGTTTTTTGGCATGATATTTAGTTGGGTAGCGTGAGGCAGAGCCTAAAAAAAGCTTGTGTCTTACACCAAATGTGTGAGAGTTGGCAACCCTGTGACATCCTGGTGACAGATACTATTTATGGCCTCAAATACCTTTTCGGATGCTTACATATAGTGTAACTAGAGCGAATAGAGAAGCAGAGTGGATGATGAAACCAGATGTATTAGTAGGTCATCTATAGTCGATCTACACTTTAAAAAGTACTTAGCTACACCTATCTATTATCTTTTTTAAATAGAACGATAAGATGACCAGAGCAGTGTTTACCTGGCTCAGAAACAATGAGGACCTCAGACAGGGTGACAGTATTAAAGTTGGCATGAAATAAAACATTTACCCTATCTACAGTGTTTTCTAAATGCATGTTATTGATATCACGATGAAAGATTCATTCGTGTATATTTTTCATTAAATAAAAACTGATCTGATTAAAAACTCGATCATTTAAACATTTATTTTTATTTGTTAAAAATCCATTTCTCTCAGTACATGACAATAGTCAACTGTTTACAAAAACAAAAACACAATTATAAACCATCATAATTTCTTAAACTCAAAACATGGCTGGAAAGCAGCATTAAACTAAATATTGCATTATTTTGTGCATTTTTTTATGTCCCTTTAGGGGCTCCATAGGAAATAGACAGCTAGTACAATAACTAAAATGTCTCGTTTATTGAACTGTCATATAAAAGCAATGTCACACTTGCAATCATGCTGTAGTTAATGCTGGAGAAAGACTCAAGCAAACCTTGTGAATCAGTTTTTGAATGGGTTCATTTAACAAAGTGACTCACGAAAAAGAAAATAACTTGCTTTGTATAAGAGAAAGTGGATATTGTAGGCGAGTGTTTCATTATGACCTTATTTACTTGGCTGTTAAACTGTGTGCACAATTCAATATGACAACAAATAGCGATTTAGCATTTTTGTAGCTAAGTTAGTAGCGTCACTAACTTTTAGTTACTCCTCACCTGTTGTGTCAGGGAATAAGTTGCCAATGATGGCCACTTTGTTTTCGAAGTGGGTCATTAAGTCCTTAGCAGTGATCGTGAATGACGGAGACTGTGACTGGAAAACAAGTCTCAAAATTCTGCACAATTTTCCATATAATAAGACTTATTTTGGATTTAAACCAATATGAGAGCATAAACATTCCTATGCAAGAAGTGCTGGGCAGCAAAATAATTTAATCTCTTAATCCCACATTCTTTGTTTCAAATCAAAGATGAAGAGAACAAATTACACACAATACACACTACAGGACGCAGCACATTTTAGCATTGGCAAGGACAAGGACAAAACAGTTAAAATATGCTACAGTTGTAACCAACCTTGTAACCAATCAGGTCAACGTGTGATCGTCAACGAGTGGATCTCTGAGCTGGTGCGAGTGAGTGGAGGCGGGGCTCATTTGCATATGCATAGAACCGTGTATACTAAATGAGGCAAGTGTGTAGAGTTACATTATTATAAGGCATGAATATATTTTTTTTTCAGGGAAAACAACATTTAAATATGTAATTTAGGTGATCAAAGATGAGTTTTAAGGCATGAAATTATTGACTACAGGGGGAATTTAAGTATATTCTTTTAAAATATATTATAGGCCTATATAAAAAGTATTTTTTTTAAAGCATGCTAAAGTGTAGTTTTTTGACAAGGGCAATTTGCACACTAGAATTGTCTACACAGTCACAGTCTGCGAACTTTACTAGTGGCTATCCTGAGCTGGGATATCAAAGGCAGTGATATATAAATTCTGTCAGAAAGCTTTTGACTATTATACAGCTGTCAAAAATGCCTTTTGCCACTTTATGGTGTGGTTACAGCATCTACTGCAGGTTCTAACTGAAACTAACCAGCCAAGCTTCAAACCATCAGGCAAACCCCAGTCCTGAGGGTCTCCAGGAGAAAACTTGAGGAACAACAGCAACAACCTTCACAGCTCTATGAGGAACCATAACCCTGCAATATCTGATGAACATGATGAAAGGAACTTCTTTCCTTTCATGATACCAAACTGAAAACAGAACTTACCGCATAGGAGGTTGTAGACTTCAATGTTCTCGAAGGGAGCCACAGTCGTCTTATAATGGATTCCTGGTCCATATCCAATAAAAATGGCCTGCAAACAGTAACATTTAGTTAATTAAATCACAAAAAAAAACAAAAAAAAACACTTGATTTACACTTGGAATTTGCAAACATTTAAACCATTTGGGTCTGTCTGTCTGTCTGTCTGTCTGTCTATCTATCATCTTCAAAATTCTAAAATTACTTCAAACTTAAGCGATTTCAAGTCGTCAAAGTTTATTTATAAAGCACTTTTAAAACAGCAAGTGTTCAGTGTTCATCAAAGTGCTGTACACACATATCCCATATCAATGGTACAAACAGTCAACAGCACATAATAAAATAACAAGGCAACTCTCAGACAGCGTCAAATGCCAAACTATAAAAATACGTTTTTATGGTAGTTTTAAAAACAGCAAGTGTTTGAGCATGTCTAATGTAGAGGGGCAAACTATTCCAGAGCTTGGGTGCCGCCACTGCAAATGCTCTGTCACCCATGCTCTTCAACTTTACCCGTGGTACAACTAAAACCCAATGATCAGCAGAGCTAAGTGCTCTTGGCGGAGCATACGGCTTGATCAGGTCAGAAAGATATTTAGGTGCAAAACCATAAGAGATTTAAAAACAAACACCAAAATCTTAAAATAAATCCTGAAATAGACAGGTAACCAGTGAAGAGAAGCGAGAACAGGGGTAATGTGTTCCCACTTACATGTACCCATCAACAGGCGAGCTGCCGCATTCTGGACCATCTGCAGTCTGGAGAGAGAGGCCTGACTAATGCCTATATAAAGACCATTACAATAATCCAGACGAGATGAGATGAAGATATGAACAAGTCTTTGAAAGTCTTTAAAAGGCATGAAAGATTTCACCTTGGTGAGCTGTCTCAATTGGAAAAAAATAGCTTTAACTACCGAGTTAATCTGTTTGTCCAATTTAAAATCACTATCCATAATTTTTGATTATGGATAATCCCTTATCCATAATAAATTTTTTTAAATAGGTCTTCAGAAGTGGATTCAATTCACCAAGGTCCAATTGTATTGACTCAGAAGTGCCTTCTGGCGTAAACATCATAACTTCTGTTTTATTTTCATTAAAACCAAGGAAATTTAGTGCCATCCAGGCCTTAATTTCCTCAAGACACTGCAATAGAGGCGCTAAAGTGTGAGTATCTTTTCTTTTCAAAGGCAGATAAATTTGCGTATCATCTGCATAACAATGAAAAGAAATACCAAATGTCCTAAAAATATGTCCCATGGGGAGCATATACAGGGAGAACAAAATAGGCCCAAGGATGGAGCCCTGGGGGACCACACACGCGAAGGAAGCCGTTGAGGAGATAAAGTCTCCAAAACGAACTGAAAAAGTTCTATCAGACAAATAAGATCTAAACCATGCCAACGCAGTACCCTCAATACCAACACATTGTTCTAAGCGTGTGATCAAGATCTTATGGTCTACAGTACCGAATGCAGCCGAAAGGTCTAGTAAGATTAAAATAGCACAGTTAGTTCTCTGAGTCAGTAGTAAATAACAAGTCATTAAAAACCTTCAACAGTGTAGTTTTTGTACTATGTAGGGATTTAAAACCAGACTGAAACACTTCATGAATACCATGTTGATCTAGAAATGAATTCAATTGTCCAAATACGACCTTCTCCAGTAGTTTGGACAGAAACGGAAGTTTTGAGATCGGTCTAAAATTAGCAAAGACTGATGAATCCAGATTAGATTTCTTAATTACTGGTTCCACTGCTGCATGTTTAAAAGACTTAGGCCAGGCTACTATTATTTTTACAATTATTATTGCAAGTACTATAGGACCAATAGCTTCAAATTAATATTTTAGGAGACGTGGAGGAACAATGTCGATCCCACATGAGGACGATTTCATTTCAACAATGATCTCCCTCAATGAGACAAGAGACAACGGCTCAAACTGGTTGAAAACAGCGGAGCACTCAGTGAAAATAGATTTAAAAAAGTCACAGGGAAAGAAATATTAGCTCTAACTAATAGTTTTTTGATATTTAAACAAATTCTCCTTTAAAATATCTAATGAGATCTGTAATTTATACTTCTTCCAGCGGCATTCCGCCCTTCTACATTCAAGCCTTATAGATCGAGTATTCAGCTATGGTTGAACTCAAGTTATTTCTCGAACCATCCTAAAAGGGGCCACTATATCCAAAATACTTTGACAGGTTAGAGAGAACAATGTTAAGTCAGAGTTAAGGGCATATGAGGACAGTGAATAATCATTCTCAATGCCATTAAAAGCAAAGAGGAGGCGTGTTCCGGCGCAAATTCTCCCTCATGCTATTTTGCTGTTCTATAGAACAAATGCGCCACTGACCAGAAAAAAACCTAGTCTAAAGTCAGTGGCGCGTTGTTCATTATGCTATTTTAAGGGCGCATGCTTGGCCATAATCAATGTAGCGGGTGCACAACGCGCATACACTTTGATTCTGTCATCTAAGCAGCAGTTTTCATTTTTGCAAATCATACATTATAGATAGATAGATAGATAGATAGATAGATAGATAGATAGATAGATAGATAGATAGATAGATAGATAGATAGATAGATAGATAGATAGATAGATAGATAGATAGATAGATAGATAGATAGATAGATAGATAGATAGATAGATAGATAGACAATTTATTATAAAAGCATGTAGCTTACACATTTACCCAAATTATCATACGCCTGTTTAGCAGAAGTTAATTTGGGTGGGTTTCTCCATCCCCAACGTCACTTCTCTGTGTTTCTCACGGCCCTGACGAGAACGTTGCTCTCCTCGGCTGTGAACCGCTCCTGGTAAATCCGCCGTTATAATAGGAATCCGCTTTAGAACAAGCGCGCCTGCTCTTAAAGGGAATGTGAGATGACGCTCTGATTGGTTCATTTCACGTTACGCCCAAACCACACCTATGAATAATGAAGCTACTTCAGACCAACCCCTTTTAGATTTGCGCCAGGCGCAAGAGGCATTTATCCCGCCGGGAAAATAGCAACAGCGCCGGGATCCGCCCACAAAGTTACTTGCGCTTTGACACTTGCGTTTCAGATCGTTAAAATAGGGCCCTATATCTAACTTTATCTAGTTATTAGTGCTGTCAAATCACTATATTTACACACACACTGTATATTGTATATTTACAAACTTTTATGCTAGATACGATTAATCATGATTAATCGATTTGACAGCACTACAAGTTTTCCAACTTTATCTAGTTATTGCTTAATATTTCATTAAAAAGTAGTTGGTTCTGAGAAAAGATTATTTGTTTGAAAATGCCACTTAAAGGGATAGTTCACCCAAAAATTTAAATTAGCCCATGCATTACTCACCCTGAAGCCATCCTTGGTGTAAGGTGAGTAAATCATGGGCTAGTTTTAATTTTTGGGTGAACTATCCCTTTAACATTTTGTTGTCTAATGCAATGGCAATTTGACATTTTAAAGTGTGGCTTTGGTATCCAAGTACTATTCGGGGTCCTTGGATATGTCAACAAAACGCCCACAATAGTTCCAAAAACACAGACCACAGAATAACTAAAAGGACTTATTTTGATTTGCAGTCACAAAGAGACACACATTCCACTCGCCTCTGGCTGAAACACGGAACATTTGAGTGGTGGAAACTAGACTGATCTCATTGCCTTGACACTGAGTAGCAAACATGAAAATGATCTTCATTCCTCCTAACAGGAGATTTCACTTTCACAAAGATAGCCTAAAGTAAAGAAGAAAAAAAACATCCCTGTGTTTGTGACTACTTTTGTGCAATTTACCTCAACCAGTTACCTCATAACGAGTTCCTGTAAGATGTTTGTGTAAGCCCTACCAGCTGCATTAGACATTCCTAGACAACCACATAGACCGGGGGCAAAGATGGCTAGAAGTAAACCCACGCCACAGACATAAACAAGACTCTGTCAAAGGTCCAAAATGTGGCTTGAGTGTGTGTTTAAAACTGCAATCTGAACACCTTCCAGTTTGAAGAAACTACTAAGTGTGAATCTGGCACAATGGAGTTATTCTCAATGGACAAGAGTTCGTTTAAAGGGCATGTCTGGATTTTTCACAGTGTTTGTAGAAAGACCCAGGGTATCATAATCCTCTTCATGGGAATTTCCCCAGATCCTTTAATATGAATTCAGTATAATCCCCATCTTAAGTACTTGGTCTCCTAAACCTCATTAAATTCCATCACACAAGCATTTGAATAGAGCCTCGAGCAGAAACTGAAAATAGAAATGTTTTTTGGTGTCTATGACAGATTTAAGCAATATTTGCTCTGGATTTAGGGGATAATGCTTAATTTTGTGGATGAGGGTTTATGTTGATGGAGTAGAAGCTAAAAGAGAAGAAAACGCTGGAGCAGCCAAAAGAAGTAATGGAGAACTTATGGGCCAACTCTGTGAACCATTTTCTTTAAAAAATAAATAAATAATGAATAAAAAAATGCAGAGCAAAGAGACTAAAGAAGTAATAAATAATTATTGTAATAGTGTTTAAAAAAATATGCTCTTCATTTTAAACATTAAAATAAACATTAAAACATTTAATATTATACAGAGAAAATTATGTATATGTATATATATATATCATACAACAATATTATATTATTCTTCCACAAGAACCATTCTCGTGTTACGCAGCACGTTTGAGCTTCCTCAAGAACCAATGAGGTTCATTCTTGTGTTACGCAGCACATTTGAACTTCTACAAGAACCAATGAGGTTCATTCTCGTGTTACGCAGCACGTTTGAGCTTCTACAAGAACCAATGAGGTTCATTCTCATGTTACGCAGCACGTTGAGCTTCCGCAAGAACCAATGAGGTTCATTCTCGTGTTACGCAGCACATTTGAACTTCTACAAGAACCAATGAGGTTCATTCTCGTGTTACGCAGCACGTTTGAGCTTCTACAAGAACCAATGAGGTTCATTCTCATGTTACGCAGCACGTTGAGCTTCCGCAAGAACCAATGAGGTTCATTCTCGTGTTACGCAGCACGTTTGAGCTTCTACAAGA